ATCACGGCAGTGGCCGGACGCGAGCGGAGCGAACGAGGCCAATCTCTCTACACTGTACTGTAACGCCGTAACTCCGTAAATAGAAGCAGAGTGAAGCCGTTGACGCCAGTCTCCACACGGCACTTGACTCCCGTTGGCAGCCGACCAACTCCGCTCGTTTCAAACATTGTCTCAACATCATCGCCCACGTCCTCGTAATAAAGTGACCACTCTAGACCATGACTACGATCCACAGCGCCGGAAATACAGATATTGGACAGGCGGTTACAGAAATGACGTTGCCCGTGGAGTAGGAATGCGGAATGGGATGCACTCAGCTAGGTGGCGAATTGTGCCGGGGACGGTAACCACAGCTCCGGGGAGTCTAGAATGCGCCTTCGTCGAGGTACGACAAATGGACAACCGGACCTGTTCCAGTTCTGGGGCTACGCAGGGTTGAGACACGATTTACAAGCTGAGTGCTGAGTGTTGAGTGCTTTGTCCATCTCTCGGTCGGGGTTTCCACTGCGTCCAATTATTGCATCCGAGTCGAACGATGCAAGGTGGTTATGAGGGGTCATGCCATGCTTCGGTTGTGTTGACTCGGCAACCGGTTGGGGAGTCGACCTGTCAAACACACGAGTCACTTCCACGTTCGTGCGTACTCGTTGCCTGAAACTTGGTCATTGCGGTGCCCCTTGTTTACCTACGTGGAAACATTGAAATCGGGACCGGAACGTTAGTCAACAGCGACTTTCTACTGTCCGTACTCGGTATTCAGTATGCCATTGCGATGCCTGCACTGATCAAGAAAAGATCGGGTAAACCTAAAATCACTGATTTGAGCCTTGTGAGGATCAATTATGGAGGTATTGTACCTCGTTAAACTAATGCACAAAAGGTTATTTCGTCAAAGGATCTCTCCAGGGTCCGTGTTGGCCCCAGCCACTTTGAAAGGGCCCCGGCTGATCTGTGTCTTTGAATATTCCAAATATATGCCACCGCCATTGGATATGTAAATTTTGTTAGGTAGGGACTAATAGGGGCAGAGAGATAAAAAGAATTTCAGTTTATTCTTTCCTGCTGCCAATCAAGAATATGCAGCGGCTACTGCGCCTGGGGGCTGATAATATTTGATCGGAACAGATAGTTACCTCTGTACCATATGGTAGTCTATATTGATACACAACTATAACTACATAACTGATGGAGATTTGTCACCCTAAGCTACGAGGGTCAAAAAAGGCGCCTCCCACCAAGAACTGATTTATTCACCGGTTGGAAATGTGGAATCGCTTCTACCCTTAACGAGAAACTCCTTTATTATTCAAAATAAGCGCAGATCCGCGCAGACTGTTGACTATACATCGACTATATATTGACAATTCGGTGCTTTGTGTTTCTCTCTCTTAACTTAGAAGGCGACAACGGTCGGCTCTGTTGAAGAAGATAATAATCATCGATTATTTGGTTATATAGGGGAAAAAAGGCTTTTGTAGCTAACTACATTAGACACAATGAAAGAGGCATATAGGTCAGATATGGTGGGGAGATCCTGGTTATGATGTTTATACCGTACCCCTATGCTATTAGGTGAAATCAGAAAACTGTATATTGCACAGATTTGAAAAAGGCTTGGAGGTCAAGGGTATAACTAGAAATCTTACTCTGTATTGTTCCTGTTCCTTACCCGCCGGGGTCCATGATGAATAGAATCTGACAAAACAGGAATTTTGAGTTTCTCATATCCTAGGACCAAGTAGCAGGTATGACCATAGCTAGCATAGATAGAGGAGGCCAGCCTGTAAGTATGTCTTTTAAGATGGCCAGGAACCCTCGTGAGTCCCAGGAGACAAGCTCTTGCAATGAATGTCCGAAGCCAACCGAAGGCGAGGATGATTCAACACTTTTGCCGCCTTCAATTGGCGGAGAAGCGCTCGGCGCCCCACAAGCGATCTGAAAAAACGACATCAACGATAGCAAGGGAGTCGCGACACATTGGAGAATGAGGCACAATGAGCAAGCGCTCGCTCGAGGAATCTAGAGTCCAGGTGTCCGAAGGCGACAATGGCCTGCTGCCCATTCAAGACCTGCTGTCACCGGACGAGCAGGACAGTGCCACGTCGACTGGCGCGAAGAAGCCTAGGAACTTCATTGCGACCGTGGTATGTAGTCCCCTCCCTCGCCTTAGTATACGGTCATTCTAATTGGAAAAAGGCTTGTGAGACTTGCCGCTTGAAGAAGACGCGATGCGATGAATCGCGACCGCGCTGCGGACTGTGCAAGTCCCTGGGCCTTGAATGCGTCTACAATGAACGCAAGACATCCAAGTATGTAACTTGCCATATTCGATCGCATTCGCTAACATGTAATCTAGACGAGATCAGTCTCTTTCGATGATCATGAGCACTCTCCATCGTCTCGAGACGAAGCTGGAGAACATTCCGTCATCCATCTTTAATGATCTTCAGTCGCTTCGCGGCCAGATGCACCATATCACTAATACTCCGCATGGGCAGCCCTCACCTGCGATCGGTGATGATGGTTATCGGTCAACGCTGACTCAAACACCAATGAACCCCAGCTTCACCCCGGCAAACGATGGGGACGACTTCGACCTTGAAGAGAATCAAACCAATCCCGACGCGACTGGTCGGATCGCCATTTCATTTAGCCAGCACGGTGTCATCCTCTGGCCTGGAACACGGCAGATCCTTCCCAAACAGCTGCTCGCCGCCTATGAACTACTTGGCAAAAACTATGTCATTGAGCTGGAATCGACTCGACCACCATTGTCGATTTTCACCAGTCCATTTCCCCTGCATGCAGGCGAACACTGGCTGGAACTACTGCCTCTGGCAATGATAAAGGGGCTAGCCGATGTCTTCTTCAGCGTATTCAATCCGTTCACACCAATCATGGACAAGAGCTTCTTCTTTTCCTTTACCCTTGGCTCAGCTATCGAAAGTGGCTTTGGGTACACCATGGAGACCTGTATCGTCCTGAATGTCATGGCATTAGGATGCTTGGCTGTTCTAGCTCATCAAGAGGGAAATTATCCATTACCAGGGACTCAGGGTCATCGATTTGAGCCGCCCGAATGGATGAATGTAGTCTATGAGGAACAGCCCGGATTGAGATTCTTCAACGAGGCCCGTCGACGCATTGGATTCTTGATGTGCAACAATGACCTTCAAAGTTGCCAATTTTACCTCCTTTCTGCGTATGTTCACCCTGTCTTAACATCTATTGTGGGCTTCGTTGAGCTAACAAAATGCAGTGTCTACTACAGCCAGATTCTCCGCCCAATGGACGCGTGGGCAATGATACATCGCGCCGCGACTTGCTGCATGTCAATGTTGACCAAGTATGTTCACTACACAAAACCTGGATGAAGGAAACGCTAATTTCGTTATAGCCATGACGTGAACTTCGACGAGTGGGAAGGTGACATGAAGTCTCGCGTATACTGGAACTGCCTCATGAATGAGACAATTCTTGTCCAAGAGCTGCATCTCCCGCCAAGTGGCTTATCACGCCTTGAGGAACAAGTCCCAATTCCAAAGTTCATTGGATTTGAAACCACTGGCTACGTTTCCACCCGATATCCCTCGTCGACGGTGGTCGACGACTCCTACTTCCAGTATCATTTCTTGGCGCAAGTGGCGCACCGAATCATCCTCACGCGCATTCGCCATTCACTATACTTCTACTGTAAGTATACTCCCGGCTCATGAATACTTGATTCTAATCATATACTTAGCCGACTCGGGTGCCATTCCTCTCCCCGCCGTCAACGCCGAACTACGCCACCAACTCGAACAATGGCGCACCAACCTTCCATCCGCCATCCAATTCCCCGACTCATACCACCCACAATCATACTCCACTCCAGTAGACCCCTCACCATCATCCGCCGCCTCACCAAACCCAATATCGCCTCGGCCAGCTGATCCAAACCGCCCCCTCTCCCCAGCAGTAGCAGTTACAGACGCCATGCTACGTGGCCGCCACATGATCGCCCAGTTCCACATCGGCCGACCATATATTTACAAAGCCCTCCGGATTCCAGACTTACTAACAGAGGACGACCTGGAACAAATCAAAAGCGGGCTCCAAAACGCAATGGATTGGCCCGTTACCCAGGGCATCTTCCGAAAAATGAAAAGCTGCATCCCTATCAAGTTCGCCTTTTGCTCGCAGTTCTTTGGACAAATCCTTCTATTCTATTGCATTGCACACTCGCCTAGTCCGCGCGTGCGTGAGACGCTTCCGGCTGGCTGGGAGCGCTGGAATGAGGAGATGGTGCGGTTTTTGGAGGATTGTGCAAGACAGAGTCCTGCCGTCGCGCAGGACTTGGAGCTTCTCGGGTCTCTGTGGCCTGGGCATAATTGATCGTGCCATATTTCTTTTGCTTTGTGCTTGGTTTGCTTTGTGCTTGGTTTGCTTTGTGCTTGGTTTGCTTTGTGCTTGGTTTGCTTTGTGCTTGGTTTGCTTTGTGCTTGGTTTGCTTTGTGCTTGGTTTGCTTTGTGCTTGGTTTGCTTTGTGCTTGGTTTGCTTTGTGCTTGGTTTGCTTTGTGCTTGGTTTGCTTTGTGCTTGGTTTGCTTTGTGCTTGGTTTGCTTTGTGCTTGGTTTGCTTTGTGCTTGGTTTGCTTTGTGCTTGGTTTGCTTTGTGCTTGGGGTTTCTGCATGGAGTTGGATGGGTCTACGGGCTCCTGGGTGTCTCTTTTTTTGCCTTGCCTGCTACTGAAAGCTACAATGTAACAGCAATGTAATAGCTATGTAAAGAATTGAACGATAGAACTTGAATTATCACAAGATATATTGATGGCTATGTACGTAGTTTCACCGTGGATACAATGCATTTGTGGGTAGAAAAGGGTATTGCAACATGAGAGGTTGCCTCAAATTGGGCCGAGATAGGCAATCGGTGACAGTAAAAAGTGAAGCTGCTCCTCAGACAACTGGTGCTGATGGCAAAGCTAAGAGCCGCTATGGAGGAGGTCAATTACCACGTAATTACAGAGTCCATTCATCTGTTGTCTCCGAGGCCGTGATGAAGGGCTTGTCGATTTGCTTGATAGCGTGGTCACCGCACAGGATACTACAAATGGGTTAGTAAGTCAGGTAAGTTGCAAAGATATAGAAAACTCACCAGGCTTCAGCAACCAGTCCATCTAATTCCTTCACAATCTCGTCTCGTCGTGACGGGGTAATATCGCTCTTGCTCAGCTGCCCCTGCAAATCACGAATATATTTCTTCTTACCTCCAGCACCTTCCAGCACCTCCTTACCCAGACAGTCACTGTGGAAGGCATGCTGACAGGGAAAGACAAAGAACTGGCGACTTAGAAGAGGCAACGAGCAGATCCAGCACTTCTCACCCGGCTCTACAATCGCATAGCGGGAATCTAGGCCAGCGATCTCGGAGCGAATTTGCCGAGCTGTTTGTGCGGAGTTGTCCATCTCTTGTCGTAGAGCGTCGATATGGCGCGAGTAATCTTCCAGTGCGGTACAGATTTCATCTTTAAAGTCATCGATGACGACAAAGTCTGGGAAGAAGGGGATGAGATCTTCGATGCGCAGAAGCTCACAGCGGCGCAAGAATTCAATTGCATCTTTGATTCCTGTACCGGGCTGGCGGATCTTCTTCTCCGCGACCAGAAGCCAGAGTTTTTTGCGTAGCTTGTCGTTGCCATCTGGGCGATCGGCGACAATAGCCGCGAGCTCAATGTCATTGTGTTCCAAGGCGAGCTCTACTGCTTGAAGGTATTGACCCATCGCACTGTATATGTGGACGCATGATTGGACCCTCTTGTGCTGGATACAAAGTCGAAGAGCAAAGTCTGCATCGTATAGAGGTGGTGAAGAGGATTGCGATTGGAGATAAGTGAGCAGTCCGGCTTCCGAGGCTGACGGACTGGAGGCATGAATCGAGATGAGTGTGTTATGAACAGCAGCAGATGGGTGAGGGTGGTTGACAATGATGAAGTTCAGATAACGAACGGCCTGGTTCTGGTTGAGAGAGATACTGGCAGTCTTGTTGTAGTTTAGTAAGGCAGGAATAAGTCTCTCGGGATCCAAGTTCGTCTGCCGCATAAGAATCTCAATGAGTTCAGTAGCCGCATGGGTCATGAGGACACTGCTGTACTTGTAGAAGACGTCGGGCTCGCTCTGTCGCTGCAGGACGTTCAAAGCCTCTGACCATTTCTCGCGTTGAATCCAATAAGACAGCACGTAGTTGTGGTCGTTGGTGATGGTCGCAAAAAATAGCAACTCTGCCTCCCGTCCGTGACTGCTGATGATATCGTAGACCGTTTTTTTGTCCAAGTCAGCCTTGTGCTTGGTCACAAAATCCTGGAATTCGGCTCGTACGCTGCCCAGTTGATCCTTGATCTCACCCGTGGTGGCGCCCTCTGTCAACTCGGCCTTGGTAGCAATGTTGTCGTCCAAAGAATTCAGTTTCGACATGAAAAGCTCCACAAGCCAGCTTGCAACCATGATTCTCTGCATGACAGACGCCTTCTTATAGGTAGATAATTGAGACAAAAGGTACTTCCGCAGAGCATCATACTCTTTGTTATCCACCATTGTCAGACAAACCTCCTCAAAGCCCTTGCTGCTTTTGCCCCAGACTTTCGCTGCCTCCAGAAAGTTACCACCTGCAGCAAGATGGTCTCCCGAAGCAGTCAAGACAGCATCACGCTGTGCTTGACTGTGAGCATATTGAAGGGCTTCGTCAAACTTCTTTTCCTTCAAGAAAACCTTCCACACATCGCGATCCTCATCATTAGCGACAACTTCAAAGATCTCCTGCCCGGTAAACAGCCAGTATGTGCTTTGTGTCAAGTCGGTCAACAAGCCCAGAGCACTCTGCCTAGGCTCCAGGACAGCTTGATCATACACAATTTCTTCGCTCAGGCGATTCACAGCAACCACTCGACCTTCAACCAGAGCCAACACATGCCACTGGGATAACGTCACTGAGGAGATTGGATCCTGGATCATTTTCCTACCACCGCGAGCAGATTGAGAAGCTGGATATTTTGAGCGTGGAAGGAGACTCGCGTGTTCGAATAGGTCGCTAGAAGACAATTGCCCATGGTAGATTCCTTGAGCACTCAGCCACGCGAACTCCTTCTCCATGGATCCTTCTGTCTGGGGGCCTCCGGAAGCAGAGGGGGAAACCGTCAGAGAGGCCGGCGCAGAGCCAGACAGGTTTGAGCCGTCCTGGATCGAAGGCGTCTCGCGCTGAAAAAGCTCCGTGTATATGGAACCACCGCCTTCCCTGCCCTGCCTTGTGGCTCCGGCACGACCTAGGAAGTGTATCAACTTTCCATATGTCGCAACAAAGACCCTCCGTTGTTCGGGTCTCGCGGGGACGGGCTCGGCGCATATTCCAATGACTGGCGAGGCGTCTGGAACCTTGTAAACTGCAGCGACGTACTTCTCCTCGCGCCGATAGAATTCCGTAGACGGTTCGATGTAGGTTTCGTAGACATTGCCATCAGTGGTTCCCAAGAGGATCTCACGAGTCGATGCAGTGGGTAGAGAAGGGTTCCAGGCAATGCTTTCGATTGAGACTCCCTTTAACCGGGACAAGGCCTTGGGCTGTCGCGACTGGGTATGAAGGTAATAGTTCTCGCCAAGCGTAGTACTGACAATCAAATGAGATGCTGATGGGTCCAGGAACATGCGTCGGATCAAACCAGTCTCCGAGGACTTCTTTGGGAGGTCGATGTCTGTTACAAAAGAACATGATCAGCTCGGTTCGTTACTGCTAGCAAGCGTTGCGGGGGCGTGGTGTTGCATACCATCAATGTCTTCAGGGGTATCGAGATCAATTCGGAGAATGCGGCCAGTCGACAGCGCCAACACTAGAACATTGTTTGCGACTTGAGCCGCTACGAAGTCCGCGGCGATAGGGAACTGGAGCTGCACCCGCTGGACGTCGAAGATAGGTAGGGAGTCCGAGGGCTCTGTTAGGTTGCTAGGAGCAACATAACTGTTGGTTCCTTCCAGCGCCATGATGCGCAATATATCAGCTATATCATGCCGACCGCTAAAGGGTCCGGAGGGAAGCTGTAAGGAGCTGATGGAGCTTGCGTGATTGCGAGACGGCGGGCGGAATGCGGAGGGCTAGGTGCCTTGATGCCTGATAACTTAGGCCGCACTATAACTAACTATCACAAGGCTGCGATTTTACGTCTACTAGAAGAACAATAGCTCCCAGAAATAATGCCGTGCCTCGTGTATTGGGGTATCATCATAATCAGAATGCAACAGCTGGGGAATATTACAGATGAATTGGGGTATCTTGAGAACCCGATCCTTTAGACATCACATCACCGCGCACTCTCGCTCAGGCTTTCGTGCCTTCTCCTTTGACTTCTCCTTCGATTTACCTTTGCTTCCTCGATCCTTCGTTCTACCTCTCCTCGATTTCTCTTTGCCTTCGTAGGCGGCTGGCCCGAGCTTCATATCATCAGGAGAAACATCGTCAGTCTCCAGGGCAGACTCGTCAGCCTCGCCTTCACCATCACTAGTAAATTTGTCGCGGCTCAGTCGCCCAGTAAACCGAGAGAAAGTCGATCCCATTCTATTGTCGCCTGATTGACTGCCAGCACGGCTTCCCGAGTTGCTCTTGGTACGTGATCCGCGGCGTGAGAAGCCAAATGTGCCTCTGGTGCTTTCCTCTTCCATAGGTGCTAAGCGCGGAGACATGGATGGTACTGATCGTGCCTGAGGACCTAGAGGACCTAAAGCACCTTCTGAAAATGCAACACTGGGTCGCCTCACTGCGTTTTGGCCGTCTCCATTGTCAGGTGCAGTAATTTCAAAGCTAGGTCGAGCAGAGGTAATATCTCCAGTGGTGCTACCGTCCATGTCGTCAACCGCAAGGCCGAAAAGCTTTCGAGAGATCTCGTTCATATCTCCGTCTAGAGTGCCATCAGATGCCCGGGATGAAGGAGCCTTGTATGAGAGATTGGCCATGGAGGCATCTTGATCCATGGGAAGGATTTGGTAGAAGAGAAGATACGGCGATTCATTTTTGAGGGCCGTTTCAATGTCGATGAGAGTAACCCGCTCGGAAGCCAGGTCATCAAAACGCATCCAGTGCTTTGGTGTCTCGGGATGGTGATCGAGGTTGGTGCTGGAACCAGACCGCGCAACATCATGACTTGTGCCCCGGACGACGGAGATGTAGTGGCCCGAGTCAACAGAATTGCCACGATGGCAGACCATCGCCTGCAGAGAAAGTTTAAAGTTTCCATACATCGGTGAGTCCGAATCCAGGTTATCATCTTGAATGAAATGAGGCAACCCGATTTCGGTGGGTATGTCAATGTACGTATTGAGCCGCGTTGCCGTTCCATTCGGGAGGAATGAGTAGCGCTTCAAGCACATTCCAAGAATTGGTCTTTTGGAGGAGAAGTGTGCTGCAACTTGAGCATCGCTGGTGGGCGTATTATCGGTGTACCACGCTATAATCAATATTAGTTTCATTCTCACTCGGCTGAAGTCAAGACTTACGTATTAGACTAAAGAATTGCCATGCTGGCATCATCACCTCCTTCCGGTATGAACCTTTCCGCTGTTGAAGGTCCGACGGAGGCAAGTCCGTTTTCCCGGGCCTTTCTTCCGACTCTGGAATGAAACGCTCCCGAACGATGCTATCGCGCCGACCGAGCCGGCGTGCAGTAAGAGCCTCGTTAAACTCTGTAAAAGAGGACCATGGGCTCAGTCCCTCAGTTCGAGGAGAGTTTGAGTGGTCTGGGGATATAGTTGATCTCGCGTCAACCTCCTCCACGTGTGCGGTGAAGCCCTTGGAGATGGACAGAGAATCCACGGAGCGAGTGGAAGGAAGAGTATTCCGACGCTCGAGATAGCGCTTTACTTCAATACGATTGTTGAAGTATGCCTCCAGGCAATCTTCGAGAGTAAGGGGTTGGCCGTCGGTAGGCTCTGGTGGAATCGCCACCTCAAGAAGTCGTTCATTGATGAACTTATGGTCATCACTGGCATCTTCCTTGCCAGTGTGGTAGATGTCCATTTTGAGAGTAAGAAGCGGTAATTCTAACTTCTCAGTGATGAAAGTGAAAGCCTCTGAAGCATCTTGCTGATGGAGGTTGGCTGCATCCTCCCAGCCACACTCTGCGAGGGCATCCTGTATGTGCTTTGTCTGCATGAAGATGTCAGCCTTTGAGTATAGGGCAAAAGGCTCAAGAAATAAAGTCGTACAATATCGGTTGTGATGAGCTTTCCTGCCCGTAGCAGGTTCACCCAGAATCGGAGCAGAATGACGAGCTTCCGACGGGGTTCGTCGTTAAATGATTTGTACAGAATGGCTTCGAAGGAATCAAGGTGGGCAAACATGGCGAAAAGCAATGCGTCAAGGTAGCAAGTGACTCCTTGGCGGTTCACTGCGCCGAGAAGTTTTGTGTTGGGGGTATAGCTTCTGATGATGCCTTCGATTGAGTCTTCGAGTAAAAGCAACAAGCTGATCGCTGTATCGACATCGCCCTTGGTTGAATGCAATGCATAACTGAAATGTCGTTCCTCTAGTGTCGTGATTCCCAGTCTTTTGATTCGGTTCTCGACATCCTTAACCTATGAAAACCGACACGGTTAACGAGACGTCGAGCGACCGTTTGGACATCGGACAGTACCTTCTTCTCGTGATCTTGATTGTCCTCTTGGTTCGGCTGCGATGCGAAAAATTCTCGAAAAAAGGGAATGTGTGTGCTCTTGGGAATGTGACAATTAGCGACTGTGTTCTCCTCGTCGTGGACTGTAAACCGCCAGGCAAACCGGACAGCGCAAAATGGGGGGCGAGTAGTGTACCTCATCTTTACTGTGCCGCCCTTTACCGCGCCCCCTGGTAAGGAATCGATGAATGCCACTCATGGTGGATAATTATTCAGAGAACAGGGATTCTAGATCGATCGGGGTTGTGTTTTGTTAAGATGCGACATGCGGGGGAGGCAAGCTCTCACGCGGAGAGACTAGTCGAGGCTGCAAGATTTCCATAGAGAGCAAGGAAGACACATCATCGAACTCGTCTGACTTGGGCACGGGACAGGGTCAATAACCACTCATAAGCAAAGAAAAGACGCGTGCAAGTCAGAGGTAATGGAATAGATCGCGGGACGATCGAATGAAGCTAAAGTGTTGATCACTTTCCGCGGGGCTCGTTGCCTGACTTACGAGGCACAATACACACGTGACCAATCCTGTGCTTTGCAAACAATTTTCGGCCGCGAGTCTCTTGATGATCCGCGAATCCGACATCACCACCCTTCACGCATAATGGCTGCTAGGGAGCAGTCCAGATATTTAGCGCGGGCATTGCCCCGGGCTTTCATGCCCTCGGCTCGTCCCCAGGCCTTCCTCGGTCGCCGCAATGCCTCCGACGAGGCCCCGGCCAGACGTCTTTCAGACGAACTGGAAACCGCATCCTCCTTGACCACATCTGTCTCTGAAGACGCAGCAAAGTCCTTTGACCCAGCTGCGCAGGCCAAGGCACGCAAGACGAAGCTTCCTCGGGGCCGGTATGTGATATTTGCCGAAGACTTCTCCTTAGTCGTGTGACTTGCGGAGTTCTCGTGAGAATCAAACCAACTGATCATCTGACTCCAGATACCAATTCCGATCCCCCAAATACGACCGTGGTCCCCTCCACCCTCATCAGCCGCCTCCACCCTCAGACCCATCTTCCAGATTGTTCGTCCCCGGTCCCTTTGCTCTTCCGCGCGCCGAGCAAACATACCACTCGACCGTCGCATCGGACATCCTCACCCTCTGCTACGTGCACACACCACCTGGATTCAAGCCCCCGCCTAAGGCTCCCCGTCTGCGCGAGTGGGATGACAGCTCTCCCTATCACAAGAACCGTCCCCTTCGCGGGCCTCGTGGTGGTGATGTCCTGCGTTTAATCCGAAAGCCCATCCGCTTCAACAACATCCCCAAGATCGAGCGCATCACAATCCACAGTTACGTGAAGAACGCCGCCCATGAGAACTCGTCATGGCTACACGTTGCCGGTATGGCTATCCAGGCCATCTCCAACACGCGTGTTGAGACCTTTAAGTCCAAGTCCAGCGTCGCGACCTGGAGCATTGCCCCTGGCCGAGACACCGTTGCCGTCAAGGCTGAGCTGCAGGGTGAGACCATGTATCACTTCCTGGGCAAGCTGATCGATGTGGTTCTGCCCCGGATTAAGGATTGGCCCGGTATCAAGGGTAGCAGTGGTGACAGCAGTGGAAACATTACCTTCGGTCTGGTACCAGAGAATGTTGCCATGTTCCCCGAGATCGAGGTCAACTATGATATGTGAGTTCTTTCTTTGCTACTTTGTGGTTTTCTTTTCTAACCAGTATTCAGGTACCCTCCTAAGATGATTCCTGGTTGTCACATCACCCTCCACACCACCGCTAAGGCGGACAAGGATGCCCGTCTTCTCCTGAGCGCCATGGGTGTACCTTTCTACGGCAAAATCGCTCACTAAATGTTGACCAAAGCTTCTTTTTGACGTCTTCGGTTTTGCTATCAAATATCTTGGGGCACTATGTCCCCTCAACCTGTAACTTTAGAGGTGGCCTGCATAGTGGTCATTGCGATTCACCAACCTTGTGTATTATCCTAGTCATTTCTTCGAGCGAAATATATGAATCTTTTCTAAAAGCTAATCATTCACATATTCATTAGTTCTAATTAGTTCTAGAAGCCATCGAAACGCTTTGTTCCTGCGTATGATGATGACTATGTGCGTTCTAGCACTCAAGTGCTGGAAGTTGCTAATTTAATATCCCAATGATAAGAATTATTTATGCATGTTAAATTCAGTTCTATACAGACATGGGCCAGAAAATGCGACAATAAAAGTCCCTGGAGAATTGTATAACTACCGAAAGGGTCACTCTCACTCGACCAAGGCAAGACAATCAAATAACAACCGTCATGCGTAATATCATAGTACAGTCAACCCTGTTCAAGTTCACGTCATAGGCATAGCCAAGAACTGGCACTTAAGCAGCTCATCAGCACTAGGCCTCTTCTCAAAGTCAACCTGGAAAGTCATATCGAGGAACTCCTTAGCCTCATCGCTAACATGTTCCGGAGCAGGCGGACGAGCCTGGTTACTTCCAATCGCAAAGATAGCTTGTAGCTGGCTGCAGTCGGGGAAGGGGTGGGCTCCGCTCAACATTTCCACGACTAGACAGCCTAGACTCCAGATGTCGGCTTTCTTGGTGTGCGCGGTTTGGCGCACCACTTCGGGCGCCATCCAGTAGACACTGCCTTGCATGGATGGTCGGTGGATGTGGCCGCCGCCGCCGCCGCTGGCACGAGCGCCGAGGAGGGTGGATGCTTCGACGCGCTTGGAGATACCGAAATCGGAGATTTTGACACCACCCTTGTTATCGACGAGGATGTTGGCTCCCTTGATGTCTCGGTGGATGATGCCCTGGCTGTGTAGGTAGGAAAGACCGGCCAGGATCTGTCGGACGAAGTTCTTGACCAACGGCTCCTGGAAGGTGTTATACTGCTTCAACATTGTAGCGATAGAGCCACCGGGCACATATTCCAAGAAAATATTGAGATATTGGTCGTCGGCCTGGGTGCCCAGATACTGCACGATGTTGGGGTGGTGCATTCCTTGCAGAAGTTCAATTTCGTGCTTCAAAGCAGTGACCATACCGTTCTTGCGTTTGTCAAATTCAGTACCCTTGGTAGCGGATGGGATTTCGACTTGCTTAACGGCCAAAAGCTCTCCAGTAATGGCATGAAGCGCCAGGTAGACGCTGCCAAAGGAACCTTCACCAATGAGAGATCCCTTCATCCAATTCTTAGGCGCGAAATTATTGCCAGCCAGGAAGTCACTCATCAAGTTCTCATCGTCTTCTTCCTCTACTTCTTCATCGTCCCCTTCGTCGGGCACAATCATGCTAGAACGGTCATTAGAGGAATGTCCGTCGGTAGCAATGACACTAGCAGTCTCATCCAGAATGCTCTGGCGCGATGGATTGGGTTCGTCAGAACCACTATCAAACGAGACGTAGGATTTGCGGTTCGGTTCAATAGGAGACTCCTCCTGAAGAGGCTGCAGGGAGCTTGATGCAATCGAATCGCGGTAGGAAGACTGGGGGAGGTTGAACCTGGTAGAAATGGGCCGTGATGCACGGGCGGCCTGCGCTCCACCCGACTGGAACCATGTGTCGGCAATATTGGGCATGGGGGGAATCGGAGGTAAGGGGGGAAGGGGAGGTGCATCCTTAAGACTCGATGCCACACTGTAATTGCTGACAACACTGAGACGACTTGCTGCTCGGCTGAGACGTTGAGATCTCCGCATCGTTTTCGCAATGTCTTCTTTATCGTGACTGGGGAAGAACGATTGAAGTTCATGGATAATCATCTCACTTGGCGGTCTCTGTCCGAAGAACGATCGCAGTTTATTGGCCACGGGGTTGTTGCGCTCGCTATTAGGTGACAGATCTGTCTCATTCGTAGTATTTGTAGAGTTTGTACGATGCCGAGCACCCACGGGAGAGAGAGGTTGCTTGGTGTTGAGAGTATGCCATGATTCTCCAGTCAGCTGTTGAATTTTGGACTTCTGGCGAGAAGTGGATTTGTCCAAGGCCATCCGGTGCGTGACCTGACTTTCATCCACCGCCAGTTGTGATGCGCGGCGAACCTCATCGATGTCAGGTTCCCCGGCGTGAATCTTGCGCAGAATCAACCGACCACGCTCGGACTTGTTGACTCCTTCGCAGATTTCCATGAGTTCCGCCTCCGTCAATCGCCTGCAGTTCGAGAGATCCGCATCTAAGCCGTCCAGGACATAGAAGCAGTAGTTTCGATATTGGTGCTCAGGCAGCTGCAATTTCTTAAGAACGTTGATGATGACCTCGTCCGGTGTTTTGCAGTGGCGGATATCAAGAACCTTGGTCTGGCCGCCAGTATAAATCACCCGAATCACCGGGGAATTGAGCGGAAGAGGGCCCATAGTAAGACCGTCAAGACTAGGATTCCTCGGATGTGAGCTTCCTCGGGGTCCTTCATTCGGCGTGCTTGGGTTACGCCCAGATCCCGAACCAGCTGTGAGATAGCCATCTTTACGCCATGAATCACCAGGAGATGTGGGTTGAGAAGGCGATTTGCCCAAATAATTAAACCCATCATCCACCAGCTGCGACATGCGTCGGTTGCTCAGAGTTGTCGGGCGAGCACTAGATACGCGGGAAAGATCCGGGGACAATGCGGCGGCTTCCAGCGCGGCTAGTTTGTTCTATATCAAGATTTAGCAAGCAAAAAAGAGGAAAAATTCTGGAAGTACTGACCAAGTTCTTCTGTCTCGGGTTGGGCATTGATTTGTTCCGGAGCTGCTTGATCGCCACGAAAATGCGAACCCGATCACCGACTTTTTTGATGCCCATCTCCTGCAATATCTTTTGGTCACAATCAAGCAAGTTATCTCCGTTGAAATTATTAGCTGGCAATGATTAGTGTCTGTCCATTCCAAGCGGGCTACAGCAGGAAGATACCTCTGAAGATCGACTCGTACTGGCCACACTTGATGCTCTGTAACCACTGAACCACCCTTTTCTCATCCCAGGACCTGGATTGGGGTCAGAACAATATGCATGTTTTGGCACTTAGATTTCATGAGTCTCACCGAACTGCCGCAAGTTCGTCCTGCCCCTCGGAGAATTCCGACCTCGTCGGACTGCTGAACCCAACCCCATCCTGTACCTTTGTTGCCGTCGCGGGGCGTTGCGAGCCGGTGTGGTAGGCAGTTGCCGGTGTCTGGGATCCAGATGCGCCCATAGGCGGTACGTACTGCTTGGAAGCCAGCATTATGAAGTTGAATGGCGTCCCGCGTTCTTAAAACTTTGTGATCCTCCAGCTGAGTCGGAGCCTCGCAGCGCCCTCTCCTCGCCGGACAATGGCGTCTTAACACCAGATTCGATACGGGAGCCGTCGGGGGTGATGCGACGAGGTTCAACGCATAATCTCGAGCCCCTGAAGTCTAGTTAGTTTCCCATGGTCTTGCTTGACCGGTCGCTGGGGCCGGGAGGGGCGATAGGAGCGAGATCCGCACCACATCGCGGAAGGGAGGAGACGACGACTGACCGGAGTTGCACAATGAAACCAAGCGATGTCCGTCTTGTCGCCGGGCAGGATTTCAATGGAAAGTTGTCTTGGTAGTCGCGATCGCGACGTCTGAGCTTTTTTTAGGGTGAGATCGCTGGGGCCACTTAGTGTGGTCTCGATCGGGCGTTTATCAAAGATAAACCAGGACTCCCCCACTCACACAGGAACGAGGAAGGAACACAGAGCACGGAGTCCTCACAAAGGAAGATCAAGTGCTGTTGAGGAGCTTGAGACCGGGCCGAGTGTTCAAGGGGCCAGGGCTTTTCCCCACGCGTTTCAAGCTGACGAATGTACGAGCCATCGGAGACATCGGAGCTGTCATGTCCTATGCCCCCTTGCGATCGTGAAACTTACACTTATTGAACTATGATCGACTATGAACCAATTATGTACTCTACATCAAGAGCCATCTGAAGCAGCCCTACCTTCCTCTCCAGGTCTACAGAAAGACACACTTTATCTTCTAGGCCCCACTGTTGAAACAACGTGAAACGGCGGCTCTGAGATTGTCTTGGGACCGGCCATGCTTTCTAAATTGGTGATAGCGGAGACATAGGTTACGAATAGCTGGAACTGCGTATTTGGAATAGTCTGAACATACGGAGTAAGGAGTAATTCCTTATAAGGAGACCGCGATAACTGCACGCCGGCCTAAAATACCTTATATCTTATTCTCGTGTTCGTTCTTCCTTATCGCTTGAATCACGGGGCATTCCCAGGGTTCATCAATGTTGGTTTTGCGTCGCACTTCAGTTCTCCTCCGGGAACCCTTCTCGACGTTTCCCTGAAAGATGTCGGGCTAACCTGGAATATGGGATATAGCAATAGCCATGGACGATACCCGCGAAACAAATCGGAACCCCGCGGGTGAAGGATAGCCCTAATTCTGTACAGGCATTCTTCGAACTGGTCGGTGCTTCTATGTAAAGGCGGCATAATACCTGCCAACTCCATCGCTTGGGTCTAGGCCACTCGTATTCCCTCTATAGCTGATTACTCGTGTTCTCCTGCCCGAGATTTCAAAAAGCTCCGGCGCGGTCTCTCCGCACCGGTGGAGACGCTGCATGTTCGGACCTAGGCTTTCACCCCCAGAGACTCCAACTCTCCAACATGCACGATCCGGCCATTGACTGCGTTGTCTACATTGTTCTGCCGTCTCTTTCTTAAAGTAAACAGATGTGTTGTGCAGCCACGTGACCATCCCCTCATCTGAGCCAAACCCCACAGTTCAATTTTCCCCGCTCAAAGGGCCTCAAATTCTTTCCCCTCTTGGCCCCCCAGGAACCCCAACAAACCCCAATATGGAGGACGAGAAATCTGCAAAAGTCAAGAAGAAGGGTGCCGCTCACCGAAAGTCTCTCTCTTGCGAGTATTGCAGTCGATCTTTCGCCCGCTTGGAGCATCTCCAACGCCATCTCCGCACCCGTTGAGTAACCCCGATCTATCCTATCCTTTACCCCTACTAATGTAGGACAACAGATACCAAGGAGAAACCTTTCTCATGTGACATTTGCTCTAAATCTTTTGCCCGGAGGTAAAGCCACTCTCTTGTTTTCAATGACCCAATCGCTTATCGTACGACCCTCGCAGTGATCTTCTGGTGCGACATGAACGATTGGTCCACCCAGCCGAGAGTGCTGCCAATCGAGAACATCGGACACAGAATGGTATCGATAACACCCACCATGACATTCAAATACAGCCGACTATAAGTCAACCTGCCCACCATGAGTCGCGCATGCTAGAGCTTGCCGATGCCATCCCGGTCCACACCCAAGTGCCTCCACCTCCCGAGGTCCAGGTCCAGCCTCCATCGATAGTCGAGACACCACATTTCAATCCTTCCTGGGGCTATGATTTGAATCTCTTGTCGCACGCCGCAAGCCATGTCGCTTTGGAAGGGCAGCAGGAAAGTCTGGAGTCGCTTCGAAAACCGTCGCATTCGGTCGGCACACCATCCCAATCCGTTGCACAAGTTCCAGGAAGAGGGATTACGGATAACTACGGCCTTGAACCTTCTATTTTGGACTTGACGGATCTGGGGGATCCCGTTCAAGACTTCACGGTCTTTCTGGAAAGTGTGGGTCTGTCGTCCGACTGGGACTCTGGGGTGTTCTCGTCGGTTGAGGATCCTATGTTGCCTCCAAATATGCCCATGGATTCGAAATCACAAGTCAGAGAGCAAACAGCATCGACAAGGCTGGGCGGAGATTTGATGGGTGATCCACGAATGCAAGCAGAAGAACCACCGTCCTTCTCCAACTTCGGGTCCCGATTACCGTCCCTGCAACCCGAATCTCACGAGATTGAAGATCGCATTGGTCTATCCGATGAAGGTTCACGACCCGCATGGGATATCACAAATACTGATCGCCAAGTCTTCATGTCAAAGCTCGAAGAATTCTCCTCTGTTCTTCCTAAGGGGTTTGTTCCGCCGTCTCGGCATGCTCTATCTCGCTTTTTCGCTGGATATATCAATGGGCTGAATGAACATCTTCCCTTTGTGCACGTCCCTACATTATCTGTTGCCAAATGCTCTCCCGAGCTTACCCTGGCAACAGCAGCGGCCGGATCACACTACCGCTTTGAAAATGGCCGAGGAATTGACCTTTTTCATGCAGCAAAAGCAATCCTTTTAGAGCGTCTCCGTCGAAGAGATAGCAGACAGGTTCCTCACCCATCATGGAACTATATTTCTCCTCCATCGAATTTTCACAACTCCCGTGGTTCGTCCATGATTTCGAACACCGCAAGCAGTCCCTTTCAAAATCAACACCTCCCACCTCCTATCAATGCGTCGATCTATACGCCAGACGATTCTGATGCCCATATGGAGGTGATTCGGACCTTTTTACTATTGACCGTGTTTGCATCCTGGGAGAGACACCCAGAACTCCTTCGAGAGATTCTTTCGCTTCAGAGTACACTGGCTCGGCTTGTTCGGGAACACGGTCTGGCAGAACCACCACCCACCCTCGAACCCATAAGCTGGGAAGATTGGGTGCGAAGAGAAGGAAATAGACGAACAAAATTGATCGTCTATTGTTTCTCCAACCTCCATTCTATCATGTACAATATTCCTCCGCTGATTTTGAATGGGGAGTTGAAGCTGAATATGCCCTGTTCACACGACCTTTGGAAAGCTTCCAACCCGGCCCAATGGCGGCGAGTACTCCGCACCCGACAAGGCTCGGATGTTCCTTTTCAGGATGCATTTGCTCGGCTTTTCTTAAAATCATCTATTTCGCTTCCATCGGCTCCTATTTCTCCTCTCGGCAATTACATCCTCATTCACGCCATTATTCAGCAAATTTTTTTTGCCCGCCAACTTTGTCTGTCGGCTCCAAACATGCATGGAACTAGTCTGAGACAGGAAGATCTCAACGTGTTAGATAACTCGTTGAGTGCCTGGAAGGCATTGTGGAAACGCACGCCCGAATCCAGCATCGACCCTCAGAATCCAGCCGGCCCTATCGCCTTTACATCAACAGCACTCCTAGGGCTTGCCTACATCCGACTACATGTTGACCTCGGCCCCTGCCGACATCTGATCACTCAGGACCCGGTCCAAATCGCAGGAGCTCTGATCGAGTCGCCACCTATCGTCCGAAGCCCGCGATTGATTATGGCACTACTACACTCAGCCCATGCTCTGTCTATTCCCGTTCGACTAGGCATCGACTTCGTGGCAAGAACACACTCATTCTTCTGGAGCATTCAGCACTCTCTCTGTAGTTTAGAATGTGCTTTCCTCTTGAGTAGGTGGCTCCTCGCCATCCCCGCCACACAACCAGAGCAGAGATTATCTGAACACGAGCGCAAACTGCTTCTATGGATCAAGAGCATGATGGATGAAACCGAAATGGCTGTTGATCCGCCAGGGGCACCCGATACGGAATTCATGGCCAACCCGTACAAAGTGCGTCAGCTCAGTGTTGCTATTGTTCGGGTTTGGGCCCGGACGTTCAAGGGCAATACCAGTTGGGCGATTGTGGACTTGGTAGGCTCGAGCTTGGACACCTACGCCGATCTCTTGGAGACTACAACAGGTTTTGCATGATAATTAAAGGTCTCGGCATGATTCGGTCAGATCTGACCAAGGAAATTGGTTTGATGCATTTATGCACCACCGTTATAGTGACACTGGCTTCTTTTCTTTTCTTTTCTTTTTCTGATGGACATGACAACTAGCGGAGTTCTGTACATGCGTGGTCTGGGGTTTGGATTGGGATTTGGAAGGAATCTTCTGGTGGGGTTTCTTCATGGTCTGTATGTATTATGGCTTGTCGTCACTTGTGATTGCTGTCTATACCCGGTGATGCGAGTATCTCAGCTGGGGCTGGGTTGTTTGGCCTCGATATGTTTGGCATTTGCCGGACAATTGAAACACGTTATATGACAACTAAAAGTTGAATTGGACCTCATGGCAGTCATTACTTCATAAGAGGGGTTTTTCGTGGTATCAGGTTTTCTTTTGAGGTGCTACGGGCCGGTTTCTGGCCACGCTGGTCGGCACAAAGCGGAGTGCGGACATCGACTTTTCCAGCTCGTCGATTTCCATATCATCTGACTTCTGTGGAGCTTTTAGCTGAGTCTCTGGCGCCTGGGGTGAATTAACTGGCGGTTGCGTTTGAGATGCTGAGCTGCGGCGCCGCAATCTTCCCTCGTGGGATGAGATAGACACATTAGAGATGCGTCTTCTGTGACTGTTCAGGGGCCTCAGCATCGACGTCTGTCTATCAATACCATCATTGATGATGTAGAAATTATAGCTCTAAAGAGAATGAATCAGGAAGCAAGTTCTCGAAAGTAAGAGAGGGTATCATACCCGAGGGAACATGTGCTTATCTATAAGATGAAGTCTACGCTTCTGAGGAGTCGAGCACTTTCGGTCGCATGTCTCAATAAAACAACCAAACTATATAGTTCGAGTCAGTTCAATGTTGTTAATGCAATAGAAAGCATAAAGCAGCACATACAGTCTTATCGCCGCGCGCCCGCCTCGCGGATGCAAAAGGATCATGATTCTCTTCGATATGGAGGGTCAGGAAATGACCTGTGGGGAAATTCTTACTGCATTGAGAGCAGCGGTTGACATGGGCTTGTCGGTAGTGAACCTCGTAGTCTTCGTACGAAGTGAACGAGAGAGTCTCGCGGTGCGGAGGGAGAGCACACTGCATAACCTCGGCGACAGGCTCTGGATATCGGTGTAAGGCCTTACTGTTCGGTTCAGGTGTAGCAGTCCCCGGAGTCGGGGATGACGATATGTCAAGAGATGGTGGACTCGAGCTTCGCGAGCGTTTGGACATGGCGGTGTTGTGATCGATCCACCAAGGCGGGGCAATTCACTGCAGCAGGGGATAAAATGTGACTGAGCGAATCATAGTGCGAAGATCATCTGGAAATCGAAGAGGATTTAGAATATCAAGTGAGAAACAAACCAAGTAGAAGAATAGAAGAGGTAGAAAAGCAGAAAAGTAGAAAAGTAAAAGGTCACCAGCCACAATTTGATCGGCGCCACAGGGGGAGAGTCCGCAAGTACTCCACGTCTTTTTCCGTGACGGCAGTTTTGTGACTTCCACACTTCTTCCCGGACTCATGGCTACTTCGTCCACCTACCCAGTCAAAGCCATCTGACGGGCGTCTACGGTGGGGGAAAAGTCTCCCATCCTGAGCCATGGCGTTCCAAGATGCGTGGCAGTGAGTTCCTTTGTCCCCAGCCAATCTCAAATCTAATGACCCGCTAGGACTGCGCTCCATGCCGAAAAAGAGCTCTTGCAGCGCCTTGTTGAGAAGGAGCCCACCTTCGCCGAAATCTCTCACTTTTTATCAGAGTCAGTCCCGTTACCTACATTGCCGTGCGGCTTCCAGCTGACAGCAGCGAACTTGCACAGATTCCGCACCGCTTGTCAAAACGCCATCCTCCTCGACTTCGAGACCGCTCGCGATACCGATGTCGAAGGTCGCCTGTGGGACGCGCATCTGAAATTGAATACTCGGTTTCGCAAGCTGCTTTCCCGCGTGAGTGCAGACGCTACGAATGACTTGCCGGATTTACAGTTGGCTAATGGATGCGACACAATAGTACCGCGAGGAAAACGCTAAAAAGAAGCCGGTCGAGAAGCGCAAGCTCGAGAAGCACTACCTAGACTTTATCAAGTCGAGCCAGCGGTTCTACCGGGGATACATCCAGCACCTCTCGTCGCACTTTGGAGGCATTGTGGAACTGGACAAGGTCGCGCGCAAGTTCAATTATGAGAGTGCGCAATTCTTCGGTCCTCAAATTCGGTAGTCATTGGACTAACTCCGCTATTTTCCCCCAGACTTGTCGACGCAGCTTTCGTCCATCGTTACACCTGATTTGCACAAGCGCATCCTCCAATCCTGCCATGCGACACTAATCCGACTCGGCGATCTTTCTCGCTATCGCGAAACCGAACTCGTCGCCAAGGACCGCAACTGGGGCCCTGCAATTGGATACTATGATTTGGCTTCGGTGATCTACCCCGTCTCTGGCGCATCGCACAACCAGCTGGCTGTCATCGCCCTCGCCGATGGTAATCATCTCCGAGCCACCTATCATCTGTACAGAGCATTGTCCGCCCAAGACCCGCACCCTTCCGCAAAAGGAAACCTGGAGATTGAATTTCGCAAGATTATGAATCTGTGGACCAAGAGGGAGCTGATCCGTCCGGAGGATGCCGGTTTTCCAGGAAGAGCCTTGGCTCCTTGGTTCGTCTACCTTCATGCACAGTGTTATAAAGGCAATGATTTCCCGGAGCATGACGAACTGGAGAGTGAGGTGATGAGCCAGTTGTCCGTCGACATTAGAGAACGTTCTCTTGAGGGAACTCTCCAGAAGTTGTGCCTCGTCAACATTGCTGCCGAAGACTTTGCCCGAACTCGGTCTACTGAGGAGTCCGTCTCGAATGCTCGCGCCTTTTTCCAAAGAATCAACGTGAAGACTTTCTTTACTTTGTTGCAGATCCTTTTGGTTGAACTGGAGCGATTTGCCGCTGAAGATTCCAGCACAAGCAGCAAAGATACCCTCAAGAATGGTCCGGATAAGGTGACTGTCGTCGCGCGACGGATCTTGCCTGCGCTGCGCCATTACAGCTCTTGGCTTCTGACTACTAGTGATCTCCTGGTTGCGCAAAAAGAAGAGAAGGACTCGATCCTCTCCATTCAGATCCAGGAGTTCTGGAAAATATATGCGGGCACTCTTACACTCCTTGCGTCTACTTTCGATGTTGTACATCTCCCAGAGATCGACTATCTTCTGGAAGAAGACGAAGAAAGTCTCGGATTCGCACCCTTGGATCAACCGGCAACCTCCCGCCGATACCTTGGCATGGGTGACCAGATCAAGCCTCGTGTGAATGATCCTGGTGTCGAAAGAAGCCATCCCAATGAGGAGATGCTCTACCGAATTCGCGAGTTCGTGATTGATGGTTTGGACCTTGTCGTCAGAAATAAAATCCCTATTACGCTTGTCGACGACGAGGATAAGAAGACTTTCATTTACCAAGAGGACGGCCTTCCCTCTCAGTTCTTTTCAAGCCCTCATTCCCGTCAGCACACTCTGTCAACCCCGAATATTGAGCGAGACGAGATTCCCCAGGCAACACAGGACTCGATCTCTGTTGCCGAGGGTCGCAGCATGTTTGATGGCTCACAGTCGGCGTCTGCATCGATGTCTGCTAACATGCACGGCATTGTCGAGGGCGTAGAGCGATTGGTTGAGTCTGACACATACGAGAATTCTCCCGATTTCCCAAATCAGTTCTCGTACTTCCATGACAGTGGAGAAATGCCCACGCCTTCTGCGCGAATGGCATCAACGGCCAATCCTTTCCCTTTTAACGAGAGAACTCCGCAACAGTTCAGCACCCCCCTTGCCCCGCCGGGTCTTGGTCCACCTGCCGTCAATGCAGCCGATTCTCTTCGCGGATCTATCTCCCAAGGTTACGGAGCATTACCTGCCCTCCCAAGTATCTGGAACACTTCGTCTCCCGGTCCACTGAGAGATGGAGCTTCTCCGAGGACCCCTCCAGGCCTGGGAGGACAATCTCCAATGCACGCAATGGGTCCAGCAGGCATGAACGCCTCCGAGCGATCCCCATCGCAGGACCAGATGACAAATGATCTCCTTCGCCAGAGTCTCGCGGGCCAATCCCAGTTCTCACATGGCATCGACACCGCTAGCTCTATTCCATCCTCATGGATTCCTCCGACCAACCTATCCGCGCAACCGTGTCCCCCAGGGAACAGCTGGGACCGCGACATGGGTCGTATGACTTTCGGCTCCTACAAGCTTCCTAGCCAGCCAATGTCCAGTGGCATGCCAGGGCAAGCCTGGGCAAACGACGCCTTCATCGCGAGTAGTCTAGCCTCAGGTGCCGGGCACTATAACTCCGCATTCAGTGGCCACCGCAAGCCAGCGACCCAGCTTGGCGCAATTGGCCAGACCCCGCCATGTGGCCAAGGCGGTTGATCACAGTTACGAGCTACAATCTTCCAATTTGTACGAAAACCGCATTCTAATCTGCGTAACACCCCTACACAGCCGAGCGAGACCAGGAAAATTCCAACATCCGGGCCCTTTCTTCTCAGCCCTGGCTCGTGTTCTGTTTCTCACTGGAGGCCATCAAGGACGACGAAAGTGCCCTACTCATTCTCTGAAATAGACCCAAGTACGTGCCTTTCATTTCCCTCGGCCCGATTCTCCAGATTCCAGAAACGCAAATGCCTTGAGCATGAGCTTCGGCCTGGATTCCACGGCCCTCATTACCCTGCTTTCCCTGTGGCAGTTTTCTCTTTCTTTTCATTCCGATTGGGATTAGGAGGACGGGCACTGCACGTTTCCACACGGGGGAAGATCAAGAACCGAGTTACCCCTGCTTTTAGCGGATGATTTCGTTCGTCATTCAGTTTTTGATGCGTTTTGCCCTTTTGTGCGTGTGATGAAGCCCTTGGTAACGAAAACTTCTTTTGTAATGCCTTTCTTTGATTTTGATGGTGGACATGTTTATGATGATGGGTTTGGCCCTATGCCGGATATTATCTTGACAGGTCTGCTATTCAATGGACAGTCATTTTACGTCTACCCCTAATTGCTAAATTCCGGCTGAAATATCTGTAAAAGCTGCAGATTGTAACCTAGGTGACGGTGATGCCTCAAAAAGGCGATCGGCTTCCCCATAGAGTTATTCCATTGAATGTAAGTATCAGTCCATCCCGGTTGTGGTAAGTAAAAGGGGTAATGGCGAGACACGTCTAATTGACATACTCTGCCACCACGGGAGGATACCATCCGAGGTGCTTCTCGATCACCTGTCTGTAAATACATCGCTACCATTTCATTCATTCCCGCCTGCAGGGCATGGCCACTCCATTCAGTCATGGGCAAAGTGTCCAATGGCCTCCCCTGACTCCCCAGTGGCTGCGCCAGTTCATGAACGGGGAAGGCATCAGGGTGTGGACCACACGAACCACATCGCGGGTTTCAGCAGTGTTCGACTCCTCCAAAAGAGCAAGTAGTTAGCTCCTTTATTCCATATAGGAGTGTAGCTCAAGGCCACGATAGAGTAAGCTCGTAGCAGTGTGGCCGATTGATCGCGCGCAAGCCAAGTGTTGAAAGACTGCCGGACAATTCCTATACATGTAGGCTTTAATTTAGCATATCGGTACGAACCCCAAATACTTGTAGCTGCGTGTTGATGCATCGGACAGGTCTGATAAGTTGCTAGGAACTATACATTGCTTGCTGTCTGTGGGGTGCATTTTCTAATACTTCCAGGACCTCAGATCTCGATCTCAAACTCTTTGCCTCCTAATTCAGCAAGCAAAGCATAAGCAGATTTTGAGCCTAGAGATGATTATGCCTGTACGGTCCTCTATGCTTAAGCTTGAGATACAGTCTCGATGCGATATTGTACTCGGGAAATGATTTAATCGTTATATCGTTGTTGAAAACATATGCACTTTTCCAGCGCTCGCGGGTCTCCCCAGGTTTCACACGCTCTTTTCTCTATACCAGATTGCCCCATGCTGTACATGAAAGTATCATAGGTAAATAACAGACACAGTGTTGTATGAGAAAGGAGAGCAAGGTTTCTTCCGAAAAGGATCAATGCCTTTCGAGTTCAGTTGGTCGACGTTAAGTCGTTTATTTCAAGGTATATGGGAATGGAAAAAACGAAAATTGTTTGGGTATAGAGGGTTGAATCATCCAAAGGTTGTTTGGTGCTTGTCAATTATTTGAGCTGCACTGGGATCTTCATGGGAAGATGTCTGTGTTGAAGGTCTTCTTTTCTATTTTGTTTGAGAGAAGTTTGACCGTTTAAGAGCGGGAGTAGGCCTGCTTGGGGTAGGGGTAGCTAGAATTGACTGTCAGCTTGGTAGGTTCTTCGTGTGGATGACTGGGTGGAAACTCACGAAGGTCCGAGCTCCTGGATGCTCTTGCTGGCCAACCACTGACCCATGTCGACGCTGTCCGCAAGAGGCTTGCCCTGGACAAGACCGGCGCAGAAGCCACCGGCGAAGGCATCACTTTGGGGAACACAGATTAGACAATTGCTCATATACATGCGGAGAGGACAAAACTTACCCGGCACCGTTGGTGTCGTTGATGGCATCCTCGGAGAGCTTGTGGACGGGGAACTGCTGGACCTCGACCTTGTCGCTGGAGCCAATGGCAACAATGGTGGGCTCAAGACCCTGGGTCACGACGACAGTGCGGGGGCGCTGGGTGTTCTTCTTGGGGAGGGCAGCAAGCTTCTTGGCGATCTCAACAACGTCTTCGGTGCCCCACTCGTGGCTGGCAGAGTAGGCACGAGCCTCAGTCTCATTACAGCAGGTGTAGTCGGTGTAGGGCAGGACGCTGTCGAGCTGATCCTTGAAGAACTGGGGGATGAAGGGGGCGGAAAGGTTGAGCATGAAGACCTGGAAGTCGTAAATAACGATTCAATCCATGAACATCTGATTTACATACCTTGTTCTTGGCGGCAGCCTCCTCGGCGAGAGCCAGGATGGCGGGAACGCAGACAGTCAGGTGGAAACCACCGACGTAGAAGAACTGGGCCTTCTCAACGAGAGACCAGATGTGGGGCTGCTGCAGGTGCTCGAGCTTGTACTCGTTGGCAGCAGCGAGGTGAGTGCACATGCTGCGGTCGTGGCCAGTGATGATGACACCGCACTTGCCGGTGGGCTGAGACTCGTCGACACGGTACTCGGTGTGGACACCAGCCTCCTCACAGGTCTTCTTCAAGATGTCACCGTACTTGTCCTTGCCGACACAGCCAATGTAGACAACGGAGTTGTCAGGAAGAAGGTACTATATCGATTATTAGTATAATTGATAGATAAGCCCAATATCGAATCTTACCTGAGCACCACGGGCAGTGTTCTGGGCGGCACCGCCGGGAATCAGCTTAGCATCCTTGGCCATGAGCTCCTCATAGAGACCCATGTGCTGCTCCTCAGCGAGGATGGCATCGTTGGCCTTGAGGCCGTACTTCTCAAGAAGAGCGGCATCGCTAGAAAAGACATGTCAGCAATTAAATTGGTAGATAGATCCCCTGAAGTCAATTCGTACCCACGAGCCTGGATGTCTAGAGAAACATTAGCAATTTATCACAACTTTCAATATGTTGAGCACACGTACCGAGGAGAGGGTTCTCCAAGCACAGAAGAGGGTAAGATTGAGCAGACATTTTGATAGATGAATTGGGTAAGATGTAAGAGAGAAAAGGTGAGAAAGGTGGGAGGATGGAGGGGTCCGGCAGAAAAGCAACCGGGCGGAACAGTCCTCAAGGTTGAGCTCCACCGTCAACACATCCAGTCTACTGTAACCCGTCAACACGTCACTCTAACATCCACAATGGCCGACCATACATTGGACATCCCGGAGCTCCTCCAGTCCGCTTCAATCAAGAGACACCCTGACCCGGCCCACGATATCAACCCGTCCACAGCGGCCTCGGAAAAGCAGCCCGTGGTCGCAGCCCCGGTATCCGATGCTGCCAGCATCGCCTCCGACATCGTCGATCCCAGCCGGGTGATTCGACCTGTGCGCCGGCGCCAGACACTCCCCCCTTTGCCAGACCTACGCTTCGAGCAAAGCTATCTGGCCAGTATCAGGGATGCTGACACCTGGGGGCGAGTGGCGTGGATTACCATCAGAGACCAGGTACGGCAGCTATCTATCTTGGAATCCAGGGGGAGCATGCACATCTGAAGATGGAAAAAGCGACATGCAAAGCGGAACTTCATAGCTAACATCAACTGCCCCCATCAGGTACTCCTCCCTCTGATCCAAGGCACAGTCTGGACACTAGCCCTCTCCGGTTGGCGCTTTTGGAACCGCAACGCCTCGCTCAGCGGTCACACACTTGGCAGCCGAATCCGCAGGTGGTGGTACGATGTGAACAACTGGAAAGTGCCACCGCTGGGTTGGACTAAAGATCCGAAGGTGGCCGCGCAGGTCGAAGATGTGAGCTCGTCTTTCTAAAAGCCTTGCTTTTTTTCCGGAAAGGACCTGTGCGGCTAACGCTTTCGGAGTTCTTACAGTTTTACGGGGCCGAGTTCTCTAACACGGGTGCGGACTAATTGTACGGTTGTACAGTGTATCTGAAGAGATTTTATCTCAGGGGCTGAGGCGATCACCTATTTCACTAGCATCATCGGCGTTGAAGTGTGGCGTTTGGTTTCATCGATTTTATATATTTTTTCCTCTATATCCCACCATTATAAATGGTTCTCAACTGGCAAAAGCCATGTGTACGGGTCTTCTTGTCTCCAATCAACAATAGCACATATTACTGGTCCAGTAAATCTGGATTCCTTTTGTAACATTCTTAAGATATTAGGATTTACTACGGGCTTGAAACATCAATGGGCATCACAGTGGATTAGAATTCATAGTTTGAGCAACTCCATGTTTACTCCGGACAATCAGCCAGACTCGGTGGCCAGAAATCGGCCTGTTGAATATAAGACAGGGCGCGGGGATGGATTAGCTAGTCGAGCTCTATCTTTGCGTGAAAGGGGCCTGCGGATGAGATATGCCTGGGACAGGTCGGCGTTCAGCACTGGCGGAAAGTCCATTCAGGCTATTTGTCTCGGCTGGCTGGGTGGGCTTTTGAAAATCGACAGGCGCAGGAATGGGATTTGTAGGAACCTGGAGGGTGGCTCCTGAAAGATTTGACCCGAGAGGCATAGGTGGTGCAGCCATTGTCGGCGCCGGCTGAGGCACCTGGGGTACGGGTGCAGGAGGTAAAGAAGGTGCGGTCACTGCCGGGGCTGACTGCGCAGTGAAAGATGCTGGTGCTGGAGTTGGCAATGATGTTGGCTGGAGTGGTAGAGACGGATGTGCAGATGGTTCAGCTTCGCTGGCATCTTTCATCTCGGTCTCTCGGGCAGGGGGAGGCTCGTCCTGTGCAACCTTGGGTTGACTAGGCATATTGCCTTTGCCGTAGCGAAGTTGGACCACAAGACTTTGAGGTTCTCCATTCGTGATGGACTCGTCTCCACTAACGTTCCCTCCCTCGTCGTCGCCCTCGAACTCATTCTCATCGTCTTCCTCGCCGCCCCATTCTCTTCCGCTGTCACCAACCTCCGATGGGGCTGCTTCAGACTCTTCCTCTAGATCATCGTCTCTGTATCCCGAATACCCATTAGGATTGATAGAGGTCCGGGCTCTCTGGGGTCTACCCTCATCCTCCTCATCCTCGTCAAACTCAGAGTCCTCGCGCTGTCCGGTGAGCAGCGCCTCTCCGTACAGACCGCCGGCACGGGACCGAATCTGCCGCCCGCTTGCAGTAAACCGAGGACGTGAAGGTTCAGCCGGTGTCACATTGGACGATGCATTGCGAGTCGATCGTCGGGAAGGAAGCCCATCCGAGAACATATCTTCATCATCGGAGTAGGTGTACTTAAGCTTCTTACCGCGAGTACGTCCTTCATACATGGAAAAGCCAGGTTCCGGTCGAATGAAAGCCGCTTTGCGCTGGAGACGGTAGTCCCGACGCTTGCGTTTCTGGTAGTATGGTCAGTCTAAGTCTCTTGTCGATTCTATGGATAACTTACGTCCTCTGATGCCTCAAATCGAGGGATGGCATTCCGAATCCTCTCGCTGAGCTTCTTCGAATTTGTGCCTTTTTCTTCTTGGAGCTTATCGGCAATCTCCTGTATCTCTGGAATACTACCGGCAACACTCCACCAAGTGTTGTGTTTGAGAGCGGGGTTGCTCTCCCGGTATAAACGAAAGTGTGTATCATCTTGACCTTCGATAAGCCAATATCGGCGTTTTAAGCTGTCGCGACCCCATGGCTGAACGGAAAGGGGTTGATTTAGGTCGTCATCGTGGCGCGCCTGCTTGTATGATTCCTTAATCTTGGCCTGGATCGCATCTGATGATGCCAGGGACCAGAGTATCAGAGACCGAAGCAGCTCCAGCTATGAGAAAATACAAATCAGAATTGAATGTTACATTTCCAGGGTCACAGAAGCGTACTCTTTCTTCGGGCGCCATCGTCATAAAGCTGCGGCCTCCGTGAAGGGGGTTCCTCCCCTGCCATGCCTTGGGCCATTGCGACTGATGTGTTGAAATAGCTTCTTCGAGGGGTCGCGTATAGTGATTCCGCCTACAAAATGCCATAACCAGGTTAGCTAGCTCTCCTGTGGTTAATTGGCGGGTGGGAGGCAATGCGCGCGTTTCAGAGACTCCGCGCGGGGATCAAGGTATCGGGTGGCGACCATACTCAACATCCTTCTTGCGATTCAAAACGAGACCCAGCAATGCGCATAGTAGGCGCTCAATATATTCTCCCGGGGGAGACTCCTCAACTCCTCTCTCGATGTCCTGGGGTCCGAAATGTGGAACTCCCCGAGGGAAGGATTCGTGGAAACGCGCGCGGAACGTGACGATGAACTAAGTATTGCGACAGCTCAGCGAACGTGTTCTTGAATGGTCTGAACGCGTTATGGACGTGTCCAGGCGTCTAGCGATGAGCAAATTCCACACGATAGTAGTTTAACTCACTGCGATGATCGGGTTGTCGGCCAGAACGTATTCATGGGGTGGTGATGGCTCCCGCTTCGGCGGCGGCGTCTCCGACTCTTTCTTGAAGTACTTGGTGATACCAATAGGTTCATCGACTGCCATAGCTGCTTCGTCGTCTGTCGGCGGTGCCGATGATAGCGACGAGAGTTCTGACTCAGAAGGTGCCATGTTGGATGTTGTGGGGAGGTGGTGTGAAGGACAAGGTTGGCGTCCGCGCAGGAAGCGTCACGTCGGCAGTACCTGTACCTGCGCCCGATTATTTAATGGAATTCTTTACGCGACAGAGCCATTTACAATGCGCTCTGAAAAACATCCCTCCGCATTTGTCTACAATGGTCAGTAATGTCTAGACGCAATCAATGCAAGATGCGCTCTATTCGGGGGTCTATAAAGTCCCGTACCTATGACAGGGGTGTACTACGGAGACCAGACTACAAACTGCGCTTAGGTACCGCTTGAGATCCTGTTTTGCAACTGCCGAAACAAACCTGTGAGAACAGGCTAGACTGATGCAGTAGGATGTTTTAAAGAGTGTTGAAATGAGAGATCACACAGATTTGAATCAAGATAATTCAGAAATGCTCATAGGATGATAGATCGGTAGATTTTAGCATTTGAATGGAAGCTGGTACTGAAATCAATGAGATCGAGGTGCTCGTGCTCGTGCTCGTGTAGCTTATAGTTAAATCGTCTTCTGTGTCTAATAGTTCGATCTTGTAGTCTGATGCTACTGAATATGTTGATCAATTTAGCTTCATATGTTGCTGATGGTAGCTGGCGGGAGTCATAGTGTCATGAAGGGGAGACGCGGTTATTAGTAGAGAAGTTGATCAAGGCCCACCGATATCAGGTGAGTTCATTTGTCTCCGCAGACACTTCAGGGCTATCCTTGGTGTCACGTGATGGGGTTAGTAAATAGCAGCCGAGACGAAGACACAATGTCAACTTTTTGTGAAACATGATGGGACAGCCCAGATTGTTATGAAATCTTCATTCCACCAGGAATTAGCTAGCCATGACAAAAAAATTCAATATTATTGCTACCCCGATGCAAATCTTTGGTTCTTGCAAAAGTTCTCTCGCGAAAGTGATTACATAATGCGGTCCGCGCTAGTGCTGATTGGGTTAGGTTAGCGACCGCACCCTAAAGCCCACACAGTCCCGTCCTCCATCGATTTCTCATCCTCCCAACGACAAGCCCATCGTCAATTCGAGGTACGATTTTCCACACCCACGACTCTCAAGTCGATATTCGCCTGTCAACACAAATACTAACACTGTATTCTAGACAGTCGCCATGGGTCGTGTTATCCGCAACCAGAGGAAGGGCCGTGGCTCCATTTTCAGTGAGTGCGATCGAAAAAAAAAATACCCTCCTTCCACCAATTTTTGTCGACGCTGCGCTGCGAGTAGCGATGAAATTGCGAGAACCAGGATACACACAACAGGAGAATGCGAGTGCTGATTTCGAATTTTTCTGTTTACAGCGGCCAACACCCGTCTCAACAAGGCTCCTGCGCAGTTCCGTACCCTCGACTACGCCGAGCGTCACGGATACACCCGTGGTGTCGTCAAGGAGATCATCCACGATGCCGGCCGTGGTGCTCCCCTCGCCCGGGTCCAGTTCCGTCACCCCTACAAGTTCAAGATGATCACCGAGACCTTCATCGCCAACGAGGGCATGTACACCGGCCAGTTCATCTACGCTGGTAAGAACGCCGCTCTGACCGTCGGCAACGTTCTTCCCCTCGCCTCCATGCCCGAGGGTACCGTCATCACCAACGTCGAGGAGAAGTCTGGTGACCGCGGTGCGCTCGGCCGTACCTCCGGCAACTACGTTACCGTCATTGGCCACAACCCCGAGGACGGCAAGACCCGCATCAAGCTCCCCTCCGGTGCCAAGAAGGTCGTCAAGAACACTGCCCGTGGTATGGTTGGTATCGTCGCCGGTGGTGGCCGTACCGACAAGCCCCTCCTGAAGGCTTCTCGTGCCAAGCACAAGTTCGCTGTCAAGCGCAACTCCTGGCCCAAGACTCGTGGTGTTGCCATGAACCCCGTCGATCACGTACGTTTCCTTTGCATCTGGTTCCCTTCTGGCCATATATCTGACTGTTTCTCCTATAGCCTCACGGTGGTGGTAACCACCAGCATATCGGTAAGGCCTCGACCATCTCCCGCTACGCCTCCTCGGGTCAAAAGGCCGGTCTTATTGCCGCCCGCAGAACCGGTCTGCTCCGCGGTACCCAGAAGACCAAGGACTAAGCGTCCAATTACGTGGAGTTATTCTTGTGATGGGTTGAAAATGGATTTCTGCTATGAGACAAATGTACTTAGGCGACTGCGGATAAGCGTCCCATGCGCCCTAGCGAATCAAGGTTGTGGACACCACCTCTTCTATATCGAAAATAAGGGTGATAGAATGGGGTCGGGACTGGCCTCAGTGTTGTCAAGGCAGAACGGAAGATCAAAAAAGGCCCTTGGGGCTGAAATGATACACCTTTAAATTTTATGCTGGTGCCCCACCCTGTAGACTGTCCGGTACTGTAGATACGTGCCTGTAGGCTGATGTTCGTCCTTGGATGTCAACATCAAGTCGGATCTTGGATAGTTGACCGAGCGTGGAAACGTTTCCAATTGGAAGATTGCAACATTCTCCACAGTTAGAGTTTCCTTCATGTTCAATGCTGAAGAGGCCACTGGCTACCTACCTAGGTCCTATGCACTTTGTCCCTTAATTCGACTAAGCCCATCTGGTGATTCTCGACGGGGTACTCCACGACTTCCCACGTGGATGGGAACTAAGCAGTTGGACTAGTTAAGCCACAAACATCATCCATTTCGCTTCAACCCCTTTTTTCACAATGTTGAAATGATCACTTGATACTACAATTGTGTTTTCACATAATTGTGTTCCTTTATCTCAAATGTGATGTGCCCGGGGGGTTGTGTGGATAATATGCGGCAATATATATCATAGTAACGCTAGAGATTTACCTTGCCGATAGTTTAATATTCGACGAATATTGAGCAAAAACAGAATCGAAATCTAGACGAGATACTGAAAAATACATCAAGGTCACCAGACTAGCGCTAGAATCTTGCTAGATCGATCGAAGCTCTGTCAAGTTGAGGTGACCTCCCGTTGATTTCAAAATGACCAATCAGAGACGCCCCAGCAGAACAGAACCAACTCACCCCAGCACCTTATATTCTCCCATTTCCCACGTCCTACGACAATGCAGCCCCCAATACCAGAGTGAAAGGACCCATCGTTCATGTTTCCCAACATGTCGAGCATACAAAACATCCCACAAAGGATCCCGCGCCTCAGCCGATCTGGCACAGCCCTCACCTCCGCTGAACGGTGGCAAGCCGTGACCAAGCGCGACGCAACAATTAATAACTTCGTCTACGGCGTCCTTACCACAAAAATTTACTGCCGCCCCTCATGCCCCGCACGCCTAGCCCGGCGCGCAAACGTCGAATTCTACGACACCCCCTCCCAAGCCGAAGCCGCCGGACTCCGACCCTGCAAGCGCTGTAAGCCACAATGCGACCTCATGGCGGCTGCCAATTCGCAGGCGACAATGGTCAATAAGGCATGTGAGATGATACAGGAGGCGCTGGGTGCAGGGATGAAACCCAGTCTGCAAGATCTGGCGACTCACGTGGGACTGACTGCGAGTCACTTCCATCGCGTGTTCAAGAAGAAGATGGGTGTTACGCCTGGGCAGTATGTGAGCGGGATTCTGGAGGAATCTAGGGGTGGTTCGCCAGGGTCGGGGTCGAGGACCCCTGATAATGTGTCTATTGTTGAAACGCCGCGCTTAGGTTTCATGAATGAAAGCGGGCTGGGAGTTAAGGATACGAGTGAGAGCCTTGTGTTGTCTGGGACATGTGAGCCGCCTGTCATATTGGACGCGTGGAACGCATGGAATGAGTTTGATGTGCTGCTGGCTGCTGAGCAAGGGCAGATTTCTCTGGAGACTACTGGCTCCATAGATCCCCGCATCATCTCGGCGATGTGACCGTGGGGTAGCCCTATTGGGTTGGAGTGTTGACCATGGGACCGTTGCATCATTCATTGAATGGAGATACACACACATATATATATATATATATATTGTATAAGCCATCCAAACTTTTAATCAAGATAGGATCCGTTTAATAGGCTATGGACATTGTTCAAGCATGATACAGATTAAAAAAAAAAAAAGGCTCCACTCAGGAGGCGCCAAGGTGCCAAAGCAAAGAGAGCAAACTCAATGCCATGGACCTCGCCACCACGACGGAGGGAAATGTGAAACACAACCGAAACCTTTTGTGGAAAGTCTTGGGCCCCGTGCGGTGTATGTAGAAAGAGGTTGGGGAGGGGGGCGCAGGGAGAGAGAGACGCACGCGTGTGCAGCTTACGGCGATCGAGGTTCGGCTAGTCCTTATTTCAATTGGCGCCGGGAATAATGGGTATCCCAATCCCAATCCCAATCCCAATCCAGATCAAGTTGGATCAAGTTGGACCCTGTTCCTTGCGGTGGCAAGTTAGAAACAGGAACAAGTTAATTATAGTACACGCTGATCCGGCGGCGGTTCCAAGTCTTCCAATTGGAATTGATTTTCTCCACCGTCGGCCCACCAACGCGTGTCACCTTTAGCCGTCGAGTCTAGCCCAAAGCTTTGAAACACTATTGTCTGGCAGATGAGAGACATCCCGGTCCGGTCAGAAAGCCTGTTGACCGTGAATGGCGTTGGATTGAAACCAATTTCTATTACAGTCCATTATTCAAGAGAAGACAGAAGACGTTCTCCACCGATCGACAATGCACTGCATGCAGTGAAACGGATTGGGGGATTCCAGAAACTTTGGGTGGCGCCAGACGATAAATAACAATTCGATGAGAATTGCGTGCCAGGGATATTGCAATCTCATTTATCGCTTTCTCCTCCCTTGCGATCCTTTCCCTTTCCCGCCTTTCCACCCAACCTTCTCTTCTCCACACCACCTTGCCCCCCCCCTCCGGGATCGTCCTCTCTTTGCTCTCTCCTTTTTTAACTATTGATCTGTGCTCCTGCCAGATCGCTTCACGATCGTTTCATCATCCTTCGCTTTTTATATCACCCAGTGCTCGCGTGCGCTATTCACTTTTGATTGTTTACCCGAAACTACCATTCATCTCAACGCCAGCCAACTGTCACCATGCACATGAACAAGAGGATCGGCCGCCTGAAGCAATGGGCCGGAGAACGGATGGGAGGAGAGGTCAAGACGTGCCAGTCTGATGACTTCAAGGCCATGGAGACCGAGATGGGAGTGCGGCACGAGGGTAGGTCTTTTCCCCCTCCATTCATCGGCAACGCTAACAACGGGCACAGGCGTCGACCGCATTCACAAGTCTATGACGGCCTATGTCAAGGCTATATCGAAGCGCAACGAGGGCGATGACAAGGAGAAGACTCTCCCCGTGGCGCATTTGGGAAGTAGCATGGTTACTCACGGAGAGGACTTTGATCAAAACTCCGAATATGGGCAATGCCTGACCAGTGAGTTTGAAACCAGATATCGGCCTAAAAGATCAATATCTGATTGTGTCTAGGATACGGAAGGACCGAAGAGCGCATTGCGCGCATTCAAGAGCGTTACATTGCTCAGGCGACTTCGAGCTGGCTTGAATCCCTGGAGCGATCCTTGACCCAGATGAAGGACTATCAGGTAAGTCACCTCTACCTATTCATCCGATCCCTGCTAATATCTCTATAGTCTGCTCGCAAGAAGCTTGATGCCCGGCGTTTGGCATACGACACCTCTCTTGCCAAGATGGAAAAGGCAAAGCGAGAGGATTTCCGCGTCGAAGAAGAACTGCGCAGCCAGAAGGCCAAATACGAAGAGGCCAATGACGATGTGCTCCGCCGGATGCAGGACATCAAGGAAGCGGAAGTGGACAACGTAATGGACATGGGTTCCTTTTTAGACGCCCAGCTGGAGTACCACGAGCGCTGCCGCGAGGCGCTCCTGCAACTCAAGAGCGAATGGCCAGGCAGGACCGGCCAAGTCCCATCACCAAGCCGTCGCCCAACCATCCGTGCGCGATCGAACACGGCTAATTCTTATTCGGAGCGATATGATCCTGTCCAGGAGGAGCTGGCCAGTGTCGCAGAGAGCCGTCCTACCATTCGTTCCCACAGGACCATCACGACCGAGTCCCCAGCACGAGAGCTCTACCCACCCACCATTTCATACACGCGAGGCACTCTCACCCGCACACCCACTTTCGAGGGGCCGTCGCAGCTGCGACAAGAACAGGCACCGGCCGCGTCCCAATGGGTCCAGCGAACCGCGAGCGATACCATGACTAGCGGCCGAAACAGCACACTATTCCCAAATGGCCGACTTCCTATTGACCCTTACGCCGATTCCGAAGAGGTGAGCTCGTACGGACGTTCTAGCCCCGAACAGAGTTATGGCAATCGGTCAAACTCTCCTGCTACATCTCACGGTAGCGTGGCATCTCGGAGGCCTAGCGCAACCACCCTTAGCACAGCTGGACTGGCCAAGAAAGCACCACCGCCCCCTCCTCCCTGCCGTTCTAAGAAGCCTCCCCCCCACCACCCCCGATGAAGCGGAGTCTGGTGACATCGAGTGATGCTTAGGGATTCGAAACTTCTGGTATCGGCCCTTTTTTGGGGGTTGATCTAAGCACGGGGGTTGGGGAGTTTTGAAAGCCACTTTTGACTATGGCAACTGGTTTCTTTTTATTCATTATTCCCACGTCACTCTGATCCCTCGGGATGTTGTTTGGAGTTGTTCATTCCTTATGTCATTCATTTCGGCTTGCACAGAATTTTCCCTGGATGGTACGGGGGTCTGCTTTACACACACACGGAAGGGATCACCAGCAGTTAGTCTGTAGATTTAGCAAATTTTTGCTTTGCAAAAGCAATGTTGATACTCGAATGCGTTGCATGTAGAGATATAGTGGAGTGTAGCGCGAGGTTGTATAGTGTATGGTTGCCGTGACCGGTATCAGATATACGCACAGACGCCGTGGCCCGGGACACGGCCTGAGTCAGCAACACGTGATCTGCGCACGAAATCTCCTCTTCGTCCTGTTGTTAGTCGCCCTTTGAAGCACCAGGTTTCCCCGAGTCGCGCGCAGTTCGGTCCCCTCCATCTCCATTTTCATCCATCCACCCTTCCCACGCGCCCACCCGACGCGACCATCGCCTTTCTAGGCTCCCTCTCCTATTGTCGCGCCTCCTCTCCCCCCCTTTATTCCCTTTCTTTCAATCCCCTTTTGGTACCAAGTACCCGCTCTCACCCCCATCCATCGATCGCATCCCCCGAAGCTCCGACCACCCAACCGCTGAGCTTCCCATCGCCAAGGCCTTCCCCAGGTCTTTTTTTCATTCATACCTCCCCGCCCTGATCGCCTCGACGCGCTCTTGCCCCCAATCGCGACCCCTTTCCCTCTTCCATCCCGGGCGCGACCTGGCTTCGTAGCAAAGTGGAGCTTTGGACCTTCAGTCCAGATCCGCCTCAGAGCCAGTCGCATTGTGCTCCCACCGCGTGCCTGATTTACATATGAATTAAGCCAACACGTGTCGCATCATGACCTCGTTGCAGCCCACGCCAAACATGGCGCGACCGAACCAGGTCCCGATGAACATGAGTAAGGTCAAGGAGAAGTTGCAAGTAAGTAACGCGCACCGCACCCTCCACTACACCCGTTGTATTCAACTACCTTGCGTCACCTTCATATTCTCATCATCAAAGATGATAACTAATATCTTCGACAGCGATACCAGCAGCTGAAGGCCGCCAATGTCGCCCACGACGATCCTGAGTTCGTGGATCTCCAAAACTTCGTCAGGAAGTTCCAGGAGTTCCAGGAGTTCTCGAAGAACAAGGCCGCCATGTCTCAGCAACAGATGAACGGTGCTGGTCCAAATGGTGTGCCCAATGGCGCTCATGGTAAGCCTCATCCCGCCTCATTCTACCATGCCACAGTTTTGCCTGTGACTCGCGACTTACCTGTCTTATATAGGCCGCACTGCCTCTAACTCTTCCGCCGCTGGCCTCTCCCAGCGAGCACCCACCGCCCCTGGTCAGCCCCAAACCCCAGGTGCTGGTGCAAAGGGACCCACTGTCGGAAGTGGTCGCTTCACCCAGGAGCAGGTCAGCATCTTCAGAGACCAAGTTACGGCGTTCCGGACACTGGCTCGGAACCAGCCCCTCCCGGCGGAGCTTATTGAGAAGCTCTTTGCCGACAAGAAGGCCAAGGCTCTTACCCCCGCACAGAATATCTCTACAGCTGAGAAGGTTATTGATAATGCCAACAAGAAGGCAGCTGGTCAGGCTGTGGATATTACTGAAGGTGTCATTTCGGGCAAGGAGTGGTACGATGTTGCTAAGCTGCCTGATGTGCTGCACAAGCACATCACCTACGGAACTCAGCCTTACCGTATTTCAAAACGATTCCCAGCCTTCGCTCCTGCCATCGGCATTGATATGCAGCAAATTCGCGCCGATGGCGAACGCATTCTATACAATCGAATCACCTCCCGGATCAATGAGCTTGAGCAGCTCTCGGCCAACGTGGGTGCTTGGGATACCAGCAAGAGCGACGTGCCCTCCGGCGATGACTCAACGAAGCTTTCTATTCTTCTGGAGCTCCGGAAGCTGCGTCTGTGGCAAAAGCAACAGCGCCTTCGCCAGCAACTCCGTAACGAGGAGCTCACCTACAGCGATCTGCAGGCCCGACCCAACCACGCGCACCACCGCCGCATGAAGAGACCTTCCCTGCGTGAGGCACGGATTACCGAGAAGCTCGAGAAGCAGCAGCGTGATGCTCGCGAGACACGAGAAAAGAAGAAGCAGTGGGACCAACTGCAGGCGATTATCAACCACGGCGCCGAGCTTGCCAATGCCACGATTCAAAGCCGGACTCGCTCACAGAAGCTGGGTCGTATGATGCTTCAGCACCACCAGCACATGGAGCGCGAAGAGCAGCGACGTGTGGAGCGCACTGCCAAGCAGCGTCTGCAGGCCCTGAAGGCCAACGACGAGGAGACTTACATGAAGCTCCTGGGCCAGGCCAAGGATTCTCGTATCTCGCACTTGCTTAAGCAGACCGACAAGTTCTTGAAGGAGCTCGCTGCATCCGTCAAGAGGCAACAGCGTAACCAGGCAGAGCGCTACGGTGACGATGAGGACCTCGAAGATGATGATGAAGAGATCGCTGATAGCGAGGAGGACGAGGAGGAGCAGCAACAATCCTCTGGCAAGAAGAAGGTTGACTACTATGCCGTTGCTCATCGTGTGAAGGAAGAGGTCACAGAGCAGCCTAGCATCCTCGTTGGCGGTTCTCTGAAGGAATACCAATTGAAGGGTCTGCAGTGGATGATTTCGCTGTACAACAACAACCTCAACGGTATCTTGGCAGATGAGATGGGTCTGGGAAAGACCATCCAAACCATCAGTTTGATCGCCCATATCATTGAGAAGAAGCGGAACAACGGGCCGTTCTTGGTTATCGTGCCTTTGAGTACATTGACCAACTGGAACATTGAGTTCGACAAGTGGGCGCCTTCAGTCAGCAAGGTTGTCTACAAGGGTCCTCCCAATGCACGCAAGCAACAACAACAGCAGATCCGCTGGGGCAACTTCCAGGTCCTTCTCACAACCTACGAGTATATTATCAAAGACCGACCTATTCTCAGCAAGGTGAAGTGGACGCATATGATTATCGACGAAGGTCACCGCATGAAGAACAGCAACTCCAAGCTGAGCAGCACCCTCTCACAGTACTACGTCAGCCGTTACCGCTTGATTCTTACTGGTACTCCTTTGCAAAACAACCTGCCCGAGTTGTGGGCGCTTCTCAACTTCGTTCTGCCAAACATCTTCAAGTCCGTGAAGTCTTTCGATGAGTGGTTCAATACGCCTTTCGCCAACACCGGTGGCCAAGACCGGATGGACCTGAGTGAAGAAGAACAGTTGCTCGTCATTCGTCGTCTTCACAAGGTTTTGCGTCCCTTCCTGCTTCGTCGTCTCAAGAAAGACGTCGAGAAGGATCTGCCTGATAAGCAGGAGCGTGTCATCAAGTGTCGCTTCTCTGCCCTGCAGACCAAGCTTTACAAACAGCTTGTCACCCACAACAAGATGGCTGTCAGTGACGGTAAGGGTGGCAAGACCGGCATGCGCGGCCTCAGCAACATGCTGATGCAGCTGCGGAAGCTTTGCAACCACCCCTTCGTTTTCGAGCCTGTGGAAGATCAAATGAACCCCACTCGCATGAGCAACGATCTTCTTTGGCGAACTGCTGGAAAGTTCGAATTGCTTGATCGTATTCTGCCTAAGTTCCGTGTCACCGGTCACAGAGTTTTGATGTTCTTCCAGATGACGCAGATCATGAACATTATGGAGGATTTCCTTCGCCTGCGTGGCCTCAAGTATCTCCGTTTGGATGGCTCTACCAAGTCTGATGATCGATCCGACCTTCTGAAGCTCTTCAACGAGCCCGGCTCTGAGTACTTCTGCTTCTTGCTTTCCACCCGTGCTGGTGGTCTGGGTCTCAACTTGCAGACTGCAGATACTGTCATCATTTACGATTCCGATTGGAACCCTCACCAGGATTTGCAAGCTCAGGATCGTGCCCATCGTATCGGTCAAAAGAACGAGGTTCGCATTTTGCGTTTGATCAGTTCCAACTCCGTTGAGGAGAAGATCCTGGAACGTGCACAGTTCAAGCTTGATATGGACGGCAAGGTTATCCAAGCCGGAAAGTTCGATAACAAGTCCACCAACGAGGAGCGAGATGCCCTCTTGCGTACCCTTTTGGATACCGCGGAAGCTGCAGAGCAAATTGGCGACCAAGACGAAATGGATGATGATGACTTGAACGAAATAATGGCCCGATCCGAGGATGAGATCGGTATTTTCCAAGAGATCGACAAGCAGCGCCAGCTGACTTCAGAATACGGTCCTGGTAAACGCTTCCCTCGACTGATGTGCGAGGAGGAGCTGCCGGATATCTACATGCAGGAGGACAACCCTGTCACCGAGGAAGTTGAGGCCGAAGTCATGGGCCGTGGAGCTCGTGAGCGCAAGGTTGCACGATATGACGATGGCCTGTCCGAGAGACAATTCTTGGAAGCTTTGGATGACAGCGATGATGACGCTCCTACCCTGGACGAGGTCATCGAGCGCAATGCACGTCGCGCTACCGACAAGGTAAACCGAAAAGAGGCCCGGAAGAGTGGCAAGCACGACATCGAGGCTTCTCCTGAACTGTCTCTGGATGAGGAGGAAACCCCCCAGCGCAAGAAGCGTCGTCGTGTTCCGGTTCCTCCTCCCAAGCGCAAGGCCGAGGAAATCGCCGAGGAGACCCCTCAGCCAAAGCGCAAACGCGGTCGCCAGCCCAAGATTCCGGACACGCTCAGCAGTGCTGATCGTGCCACCCTGAACCGTATCGTCACCTCCGTCGTTCAATCGCTGAAGGAGATGGAGCAGGAGATTCAGGGCGAATCTTCCGACAGCGAGGAAGGCCCGCTCGTGCGTGCAATTATCGATCCGTTCATGAAGCCGCCGCCGCGCGCACATTATCCCGACTACTATATGATCATCAAGAACCCTATTGCAATTGATACCATCGAGAAAAAGATTAAGCGTGATGATTATCAGAGTCTGAAGGAATTCCGGGACGACATCCACCTGCTCTGCCAGAATGCCAGAACTTACAACGAGGATGGCAGTCTCTTGTACCAGGACGCCAACGATATCGAGGTATGTCCTGTCTTTTCGCCTTTACCTTTGTTACTCTTGAGCTTTGTACTAACTCGTCAATAGGCCAAGTGTGTCTCCGAGTTGAAGAGGTTGACCGAGGACCATCCCGAGTTCGCCAACTTCGACGATCCCGGTTCCGTGATGGGCGACGGCCAGTCGACTGGTGCTGACACACCTATGACTGCTGGCACCCCCGGACAGCCGAAGCTCAAGCTCAAGTTCAACAACAACTTTGACAGTGCCTCTCTGAACGGAACCGACTTTGGTGACGAGGAATGAGCAACTCTTCCTCCAACCTCAAGGCTTGAACTACTCTGATGTCCGCTTGAGCTCATGTGTACCCGAAAATGCGTGCTTTCTTCTTTTTGGGAAAAGGCGTTCTCCGTGATTAACCGGTTTGGGCGACCCTGGAATGGAACGGACATGTGAGGCAGGGCGCTGTATTTTTTTTTTATTTCTTTTTTTTTGATGAGCGATCTATTTCTCAGGGCTTTCTACAGATGCTCCTGATATGTGTTTAGTATGTACTTTACAGTTCAGAACTGGCTTCAAATATACTGAGTCGATATTTGACCTAACTTCGTTGGATAATGTACTTTTCTGCGAGCTTCGTATGTGCTTGTGGACACACCGGCCAGGTGCAAATGGAGGGGCCAATGCGGTATTACAGTCGACGCATAGTGCATGTCGACTACAGCCAGTTGCAGCTGGCTGCTCACCGATTGTTTCCCAGGCTGTGCTGGAGGGGCAGCTCTAAATACGAGCCGCCTCCCTTGAACGATGTCTGATGTCTCCTGAGAAATCCACTCTCTATCAACACACGATCCACCATGTCCGAGAACAAGAACCTCGCTGGCAAAGTTGCAGTAAGTATGTTCCTGACCCTTCCAACTCTCTAGTCCCTAAACCCTCCTTACCAAAACAAAGTCACCGGCTCCAGCCGCGGCATCGGCGCAGCAATTGCCCTAAAATTCGCCTCCCAAGGCGCCAACATCGCCATAAATTACTTGACCACCGCCTCCGCTGCCGATGCCGTGGCTAGCCAAATCCGCGCCCAAGGCGTAAAGGCAATTGCCATCCAAGCAAACGTCTCGCAAGAGCAAGATGTCAAGACTATGTTCGAGACTGTCATGCGCGAGTTTGGAAGACTCGATATCGTCGTGAGCAACTCTGGCATCGAGCACTTTGGAAGTTTGGAGCAGGATACAGGAGATGATATTGATCGTATCTTTGCGGTCAATGTCAAGGGGCAGTATTTTGTTGCGCAGCAGGCGTTTCAACATATGAATGAGTTTGGAAGGGTTATGTTGACGTCGTCGATTTCGGCTGTGAGGGTTCGTACTCCCGTTCATGTGGCGCTGTGTAGATGGCTTTGTTTACAAGTGCTGATGATATACTAGGGTGTGCCGCGCCACTCGATCTACGCTGCGTCCAAATCAGCTATTATCGGTATGACCAAGTGTCTTGCCGTGGACTTTGGAGCGAGGCAAATCACTGTCAATTGCATTGCTGCTGGGGGTGTCAAGACGGATATGTATACTGAGATGGCGGCCAAGTACATCCCTGGCGGCGAGAAATTGACCCCCGAGGAGATTGACGAGTGTATGTCCAAGTGGTCGCCGTTAGGTAGACCTGGACTACCGGAGGATGTTTCCGGTGTTGCGAGCTTGATTGCTAGTCGTGAGTCGCAGTGGTTGACTGGGCAGACGTTCCATGTTTCTGGTGGTGCGCATATGGCTTCTTAGGGCCCATTTTTGTTACCCCGAGAGATATTCAAATGGTTGGATGATTCGCCGCAAATCCCGAGGCATTTACATAATGTATCCAATCTATTTTCTGAAGAGTTACAAATCGAGAATCGTCAATCGTATAAAGGACTCGGTCTTAACTCTTGGCGAGATGACTAATTTATACCTAGATGAGGCTGACTTTTATCCTGACTTCCCTTGATTCAATAAACAAGTAAAGAATCCTCCATGTTGAGGAGTTTCATTAGAAAAAAAGGAATGATGCGATTCACTGAAGCTGATTAGGTTGCAAGTTCAATTCTTATCTCGAGCAAAATATAGTGACCTACTAGGGAGGTGTTGTATCGCAAAAAAGAATGAACCGTGTATTGGTATTGCAATCAAAGACTCGCAGGTACGTTATGGGTATGAAGAGGCAAAAACGAGGGTATATATAGTAAAATGAAATCCCAAATGATCAAGACATTCCATAAACCCCCTTAGTCGGCAAGAAATGATGCGATCGCAGCGCCGATGTATTAGAAGCACGTCCGTCAAGAAGATACTTTGCATTTACATCGGGCTTAGTATCCTCAAGGGGTACGGCGCCATTTGAGCTATGGGTCTCCAGTGCATCAAAGACATGGCCAAACACCTGGCGGTCGACGTCTGATGCCCACAGGAAGTCAAGATGCTCATAGGAGGCAATTGGTTTGGCGACGGTTCCATGTGGTAGGCCTTGCAACATGACGTTGATATCGACGAGGCTGTCGCTGTCACCGTATAGGAGCACGATGGGTGTCTTGATGTTGCGGGTTGGGTATTTGACAGGCTTGTAGAACCGTTCACTTGCGACGACGCTGAAGGGGGCGTGGACCTCGTCGTCAAAGAATTGGAAGTTCTTGTTGCGGATGATCTGGAACCAGTGGACGACTGATTTGGTGCTCGTGAACGAATACAGATGCATATAGGCAGCGAGCTTTTGTGTCTGGGTGATGTTGCGGCATTTCCAGTTAAATAGCATCGAAAGCATCGTGTCAATAATGCGGACATAGATCGGTGGGTAGAGGATTGTTTGCCACATTGTTGTCGATGAGAGGATGCTGCGTCGGCCGAATAGTAGGAAAAGGAAGTCTGGGGATGCTTTCATGAGGGAGTCGACGATGCGGTTGCGAAGACCTGAGGGGGCCATTGCAGGCGCCAGTGCCACGAAGACATCAACCTTCTGATTCAACAGAGGGTGGATTGCGAGAGTGGCAAATGCTTGTGCGGTGCCTTGCGAGAAACCAATGTACGAGAGCGAAGGCTGGCCCGTCACCTCGAGGATATACTGGATGCTGTTGGGAATATCGTGGAAGGCGAATTGGTCGATCGAGAAGTCCCAGAACTCATTCGAGCCTGGGGAGTAGAACACCGACTTCTTCGCGTACTTATTGCCGCGATTATTGCCAAGCCACACATCGTAGCCCTTCTCTACCAGTTGGAATGGGAGGCATCGTTGCTCGTCTGTCAGGGAGACCCACACCTCACTGGACATGAGTAGACCGTGGTGGAGGTAAACAACTTTCTTGCTGATACTTCCAGCGCCTTGGTTAACGCGAGTCTTCTCTTCGCCCTTCCGATATGCCAATCGGTGCAGGCCAAGCAGGTATCCATCGCCAGTCTGAACAATGTGCTCCTCTGCTTCGTAGCCAAAGAGAGCGCAGATGTCAACGAAATCCGAAGCCTCAGCTACAGCTGAAGCCAAAACCTCTTCTTTTGTGCGCTTATCTTTCTTGACCTGCGCCTCGAGAGGCAAGATCTTGTTGAAAAGAGACTTGGATTGTTCGTAGCAGAAGCGAATGATGGGCGTGGCTGGATGAGAGTCAGTAGCCGCTTCCTAGATTCAAACAAGAAGCGGATAAGTCACTCACGTAGACAGAAAGTGATTAAGTGAATAATTGTCTCAAGTAGGACAAGTACCAGGGACGCAAAGAGTGCCAGGTACTCGAACCTAGGAGTTACATGTTAGTCGCCACGACATGAAGGTGGGTACCAGATACCCAGCAGGGGACATACCAGAAGAGCCTCCCAATAAAGGGGACGCGCGCCATTATGAGCAATGGCAGATTCAATGCATGCAACTGAACCAAATTCGTCTCTATATAGCAAAAGAAAAAGGAGAAGTGAAGATCGAGAAGTTGAGGACGCTTTGAGCGCGACGTCATGTGCATGTGAAATTGCTGACTCATCCGGGGTCCAATCAGCGAATGTTGAGATCGCCCGAATTTGCGATTCGATCGTCTCGATTTAAAGAAGGCGAGTCTTATATTAAGACTCGACACAAGTGAGCCATGCCAAGCTCATGCAATGATATCCGTGAGTCGCCCAGCTCCCGGTACCACAGATCCTACGCCCTGTCAGATGAGCTAACCGCATGTCCAGGCGAGGCACTGGCCCAGTGCCTGCAGGAGTCGGACTGTATTATGGTCCAGCGTCATACGCCGCGCGAATGTCTCACCTCGCCGCTGGCTGATGAGTTACCTACGAAGTGTCAGCAGTTGGCGAAGGGGTTCAGCGAGTGCAAGTGAGTTGATTACGACGTGACACCGGATTCGGCGGACCGGCCAAACGAGAGGGAATGATGGCTAATATGTGGATCTTCAATGATTTAGGCGCGGCATGGTCGATATGCGCAAGCGATTCCGCGGTAATCGTCCCATTGCGGTCGCTAAGGAGATGGACGCCGAGAAGTCATATTCGGGCGGGCAGCTTTACGCTGGTAAACCGGCCTACCAGTCCGTGAAGGAAATCAGTGGTGACGAGGTGCAAATGGACCCCGAGAAGACTCGCGGTCTGTAAGGCTATGTCCGATATATTGTTGGAGTTGCGAGAGCAGCACTGCCGAGCCGAGAACACTGTGCAGTTGCTATGTATTATCAAAGCGTGGAGGATATTCTGATTCATGCTGGCATGGTCTGGAGTTACCTTGTTTCTTTTTCACATTTGAATGTCAGCGCCATCTCCAATCGCAAATAGACACCGAATGTACAATACACATGGTGCAATGAACTACGGAACGAGACAACCGATCCCTAGTATATCGACTTTGCATGATTTGAAGCTATAGGCATCACAAGAAAAATAATCCACATCATGACAATATAATTGAATACAGATCTACTGCGTCTTCTTAGTCTTGTCAGCCACGGGGGCCGAGTACAGCCAGACAACGACAAACGCCAGGAAACCTCCAATCACCGACCACAGACCAGCGATCCAGACCCAGCCAGCGCTGATGGCCCAACTGCGCGCGTACTCGTCGTGCGCAAAGTGGCGCACCGTCACCTCGTGCTTCTCTTCGACGCTGGTGAGGAAGGGACGCTTGTAGTTGACGCGGAATGAGAAGATGCCGTGCTGATCGGGAGTGACAAACTTGGTGCTGTACACGGTGCTAGTCTCCGTGCGGCTGGTGGGCTCGAGGGCCAGACGGTGGAAGGGCGAGAGCATGGTGAATTCAAGCTGGAGCTCATCATCGGCAGGGAGCTCGAAGGGAACCCACTTGTCGTAGGAGTATTCAGAGATCTCAATGCTGAAGAACTGCAACAATAAAATGTAGTCAGTATGAGTTTAGCGAAAGCTTTGAAAGCGGGGAGCACATACAGTCTCATTCTTAATACGGTAGATCTTGGGGTTCAGATCCTCAAGAGCAACTTCGCCGTCGGTGACCAGGTGGTGCTTGATCTCGCCAACCTTCAGGACACCAGTCTCCTTGAAAGTCCAAGCAGTCAATTGCTTAGCGAACTCCCGGTTGACAGTAGTAGTCTTCTGACCGTTGGGAGTCTTGACGGAGGCGGAGAACCACTTGTCCTCCAGAGCCTCAACGGAGCCAAGAACAGTGAAGCGAGCAGAGTTGCGAGCTTGCATAGTCGAGACAATGTTCAGCTGGGAGCCAGTCGCCTCAATATCCTCAGCTGCGGGGATTTCCTCCTTAGGGTTGTACGCGTACGCAGTGTTCGGAGCTCGCAGGATGGGTGCGACGAGAGCGCTCTCACCACCCAGAGTCTGGGGAGCAACGCGGGGCAGGGCCAGGACACCCTCGCCATCGAAGAAGGCCTTAATATCAGGACGGAGCGAGCCGGGGCGCTGGAGGAGGAGAACGTCGTGCTTCTCGGCGGCCGAGATGGTGTCGTAGTTGAAGTGGTCAATGACGACAGCGGAACGGTCGCTCGAGAGGTGAACGTCGGCTTCGAGGAGGAGCGAGCTGACAGCGCTGGAAGTGGCGGACTTGCCGGAGAGAGCGAGGAGGATGTTGCCGTCCTTGTTCAAGAAGTCCAGAATGTGTTTGGGAGTCAGATTGGGGCCGAGTCCTATGCCATTAAGTCAATTGAAAGCTCCGTCAATAGAAATATACGATACCCACCCTTGGATTTCGGGGGGAGGACCAGAAGGTGGTCATAAGCTCGTTCGCCGTGTTCGAAGAGGGACAGCTTGTCGCTCTTGGGTGATTCGAAAGATACATCGTATCCACGGCCTACAATTGATGTTAGCAGAGTCCGTGACAATCGAATGACATCCAGTCACCTTCCAAATCGGACCACAAGGTCGAGAAAGAGCTCTTTTCTGTAGAGTCGTCCAAAACCACCAGCAGGCGGCTTCCGGAGCTACTCAGAGCGTTAACTGCTGCCAAAAAGCAGCAGAGAAGCAACGCAAGGCACCACCGCATCTTGGAAGAATCCGCGCAGCGGAGCAAATGCCGAAAAAGCGGAAGTAAAGAAGAAAAACAGGGTGGTGGAGAGGGGAAAGAAGAGTCGAGTATAGATAGAAAGGGCGACGTGTTAGATGGGCGATGCCAAGACCGACGCTGGGACCTGCGCATCTCCGAACTTCGACTTCACTTCTTCCCCACGGCCTCCCGATTTTGTCTGTCTCCCATCCCCGCCAACACTACCTACCAACCACCGGGTGGTTTCTGACTCTCTCAGTTCGTCTAGTTTCGAATTGCGATCTAGTCCGCCTCGGTCTTAAGACCCATCTCTCGGAAAACTTCACTTGAACCGTCGTTCGACTCTGCCCTTCACCATGTCTACCCCTCAATTCTGGTCGACTCCCCTCCGCTACCTGCGCTGGGCCTCCCACGAGAAGCCTGCCATCTTCTGGTCTATCGCTATCGGTGCAGCCGGTCCCGTCGCGCTCGTCGGCCTTCCCCCGATCCGCCGCGCTCTCGGTGACGTCGACCCCGAGCCTATCCCCATGTCCTACCCCAGTAAGGCCGACCACGACCCTTTGAACCCGAAATTGAATCGTCAGACTGCTATTTGAGACCATGAGGCTAACCATGAATCCCACGCGCACAGTTCCGAGCGGCCCGCGGAAGATCCCTCAGGGCTACGAGGACCAATAAAAAGGACGCAACAGTGACAAACCTTGCACCCGTGGAGGAATAGAGCCTTAATGGGCACATTTGTCCTGGACGAAATGGAAATTTAGCCCAAAGGAGAGGGGCTGTTAGCGATGCCTCATGCACAACTGGGATCCTCGGCAATGTCGTCCGCGGACCATTGACTCAAGCGACCCGTTCTGTCATTGTTTTCCCGAAAAGAGGCGCTTTGATACCAATCTTGTTTGTACTGCGATCTCGGGATAGTCGGATGTCGAGATCGTTGTGCCGTTGTATGTACTATGTTTTGAGAAGACCATCTATCCGACTTTTGAGTCGATTTCTTGTGTTCAATTCGGGGATTCTAGGCTGCGGGCTTTTGCTGGTGATTGTGGCATTTTGATAGGTGGCGTGTTACCAGGATGTGTATCGTGAGTCGTAGAGGAATACTGCGGAACTAATTGCTCGATACTGCTCACAATGAGCGACAAGGCATTTTTTCAAAGCATCATGGGCGACTATGCAGGTATATGAGTATTCTCTGCGGGGTTGAGATAGCATTTGACATACTCCTTCGCATTTCCTTTAGGTAAAACCTCACGACGCTTAACATTGAACTCGAGATGATCGGATACGACTTTAGAGTGTGCTTTGTGCATTTCCACTATCAAGGCTGTTCAATGCGAAGTGTGCGAGCTGTTTAATTTCGACCTAGCTAATCCAGTAATATCCATTGATGAAAGTCGCACAGAGAACTTAGTTGAGAAAGACTACAGAAAAGAAACCATGTGAATGGAAGAGGTGGGTTCGATTATGATTGTAGAACCGTCAAGTCAGCGGCAACCACAGAGCAAAAAAACGCCGTAAATGCTCATATCTACATGTAGGTTCATCAACATCGCTTTATGAAAGCAGTCTCTCCCGATATCCCGCGAGCCGAAGCCCAACAAAAGCAAACATGAAAACAACAAGTCCCGTGGCCCCAGGACAAGTTCAAAATCGATAAAATATAAAAAGCAGCCACTGCTAAAGAGACATAAACCCGGTACACCGTCAAACAACCCAGGCAAGGAAAACGCGGAACCCCACGATGGATATCCGGAAGTCATTAAAGCAGAAGAACAAAGCTCAAAAAAAATCCAAGAATGCCACCTTTTCGAAACCCGCACAATGCTCTTACTCCTGGGCTGCCGGTTGCACAATGGGCCCAGGGTAATTAAAAGAGGATGCTTTTTCTCCCGGGAACCATGCCCGATCTTTGAGCCGGGTTGTTTCCGCTGGAATTCCAGAACCATGGCACGAAACGCGGTGAATGGTAGAAATGCAATGTCCGGTCGTGGGAACTGTTTCCCGACTGTCGAATCTTCTGATCTAGGTTTTCCTGGTTCCTGGACTTGGGAGTATTCTCGGGGATGTAGAGTCATGGAAGCATAGTCGACATGTTGAGGGGAGCGGAGAAGAGTCCAGGAGTATGGAATTCGTCGACATCATTATTTTCCCAGGTTGTATCATAAGTCCAAGGGAAAACCAGCGAATTCATCCAGTGGAACCACGGAGAGAAAGAAAAGCAAGCATGCACAAATCAAAAGGCTTGGTGCCATTCTGGTTTTTTTTTTTTGGTGTTTTGTGTGTTTTTTTTTTGTTTCTCATTGTTTACCGCCGACGGTGAGGGTCACGCTCTCGGGTGGGTTGCGGCCTACTGCGCTCGTATTCCGGAGTATATCTCGGCTCCATTCCTATCCGGGGATCCGGGGCAGTAGTGGTAGGGTATGCCATCCCGGAGGTCACGGGGGAATAGTCCGACTGGTCATCATAGCCTGGTCCCGGGTATCTGGGGGCATTTCGGCCACCGCCCTCGTAACCGTAGCCACCAGCGGCGGAGTAGGTGTAGGATGCAGGATGCATGTCAGCAGCCGTCACAACGGGCTGAGAGGATCCAGAGTAGGAGACCTGAGGCGGAGGGTAAGGAGCCTGTCCTGCTCCGTAGGGCGAGTGAGTGGAAGTGTAGGAAGGAGGGTTGTTGTAGGAAGCATTCTGGGATCCGCTGTACGGACTTGGGGAATATTGATCCATGTATGGCTGTTGTGCCGGAGCGGCACTGAATGTGGGCGGGGATGGCCCCGGTTGCTGGCGAACCTCATGAATGGCAGATGTGGCATAGTTCGCTGAGTGGTTGTTAGGGGCATGAGATGGGTTAACATCTTGATTGTAACTACCTCTCGGATAGCCTAGGTCAGCCCGTCGCGAGACATCAGCCTCCCAGCGGGCGGAGTCAGCCTTGATATCAGCAATCATCTCCTATCCGGTAAAAAGGTCCTTGGTCAGATGGTTGTTCCCGGTATTTGTGATTGTTGTCGTGATTTAACTTACAGATGTGAGATTCCGATAAGCACGGATGAAAAACCCTTGGCGACCCTGTGGATGGTCAGTCAAACTGTTCGATTGTGAGTCAAAGGGGGAGAGGAGACGGACACCATGGTTGCCAGGTCTCACGAGCGCGTCGTTCCCCAGATAGCGGCAGATATCTGCTTGGATAACTTCGCGGCTGATTCCATCGCCGGGGATAAAGTATTCATTCTGACGGCCTGTCATAATGTGTCCTGGGGTAATAGTCCTGAAATCAAGTGGTTCCTCAGGGTCGGGCCCAAACAGAAAAAAATGAAAATCCGGGGCTGAACTGAAGATCCTGGGAGAGTAGAGAGGGTGATGTGTCCGTTATATTGGAAGAAAGTACAGAGTTTCTATGAGGCGACCGGTAGGCAAGATCCAAGGTTGACTCGTCACCACTTTAAATGACGAAGTATGTGTAGTTCGGGTCCAAAGGGTATTGAGAATCGAAAACAACAGTCCACGGGAATACGGCCAGATATGAGTCCTTTGGTCGGGTAGCAAACAGTCCAGTAAAGTCCAGTGGGAGAAAGTCCGGGAATAATCCTAGGGGTAGAGGTCCAGGGTGGTTGTCCGGCAATGTATCCTGGGAATATCGAGTAAGAAATCACACCGTAGCCGAGTGACTAGAGATGGTTGAGATTGAGAAAGGCGAGAGGATGAAGAGGAGAGGGTTGAGAAGCGATCAGGAGAAGAAAACACGGTCCAAGGTGGGCCTGAGGGTCCTCTAGGTGGCCTTTGTTTCTTCTTTTCCTTTCCACTGGGAGACGGAGGTCTAGGGGAGAAGAGCAGGGGGCGTAGGGAAAAGGTTTGAAAGTTTGAAGGAGGGAGAGGGAAAGGAACAGGAAGAGGGGGGGCGAACTCTGGCGGTTGGGCCGTCGTCTTGGGCTGGTGCCACGACTCCCCACTGTGTGAACAAGCATGCATGGTCGGATACGGTTAGCACCTGCAGTGTACCACTCTGCTTTGTACCCCGTCATGACTATCTAGCTGGCCAGCATCACGGTCGTTCTGTTGCTGTACTCTTGCGAGACTACTGTATTCTCCCGTCGGATATTCTATGGTACATCTTGGGCAGCATAGACTACTGGATAGTCTGTGCCCTGTACAGTCGTCAGCTCCCAGTGGATCTTGGGTCGGAAAGCAGTTACAGTACATGGGAATCGTATGGCCAGGGCCGGGTACAAGGACTTCTGCCCTGTGTTCCTTGAGGCGACAAGGTCGGACAAATCAGGCCTAGAGGAGTCGATCATCAGGGCTACGACGCCAGCCAGGGCCGGTCGTGTGGATCAGGGAATCAAAAGACGTTGCCACCAAAGGTCAGAAGTGGCCTAAGCTGGTGCACCCTGGCCAGGTTAGGGCGTTGGGCAGAAATGCGTGGCTTTGGGCAGGAAGTCGTTCCGAGGCCGCCACTCAGCATGTCAGACTCCGATCGGGGATCACTTTTGTTTGCTGAAGAAATCTCATTTTCTAATCAGACTCGATTTAACTTTGAGCTAGACGAGCTCGGGGCATACAATGTCATCCTATCACTCAGGTTCCCTAGAGGCTGGGGGAGTCGCTAAGAGTACAGGAAAAGATGAGGCACAATGAGACAAACGTAAACAAACATGTTCGTTTCAACCTGAGGCTCTACCACGTGCCTTGCACTAACCCTTTTCGGGATTTACATCCAAGGGTCAGATCCCCAGATCCCTTCAGACTCGACGCGTCAGGTTCTGATTGATCTCCATGTCGCCATGACGCAGAAATGTCCTTTGACCTTCCCGCGTCTCCTGATGCGGTGAGGCGATCTCACTACACCCACCGCCATCTCCAGCTTCTACGACATGGCTCGACAGCCACCCCACTCCGCGCCATCGCGCATGTCGATCTCGATGCCTTCTATGCGCAATGCGAGATGGTACGGCTGGGGACACCCCGTGACACACCCCTGGCTGTGCGCCAGTGGGACTCACTAATCGCCGTCAATTATGCAGCGCGGCCATTCGGAATTACTCGTATGCTCTCAGCCACTGAGGCTCGAGAGAAATGCCCCGATATCGTCCTGCAGCATGTCGCGACATTTAGAGAAGGAGAGGGAGGAAAATGGGCATACCGCGATGATTCGTTCAGGAACATCAAGACCGATAAGGTGTCGCTAGATCCATATCGGGCGGAATCGCGGAAGATCCTCAAGACTATGAAGGATGAGCTGGAGCGATGGTGTACGGATGGCTCGGAACCGGAGCTGTATGCTCTCACCCAAGGACTTACAGCATCTCTGGAGAAGGCGAGTATTGATGAAGTATTCATTGATTTATCTCCGTTGATATACTGCGTCTTGCTGCGGAGGTACCCTGAACTACGGCCCAGCCCGCAGGAGGAGAACAAGGATGCCGCTCTCCCTTTCCCTCCAACCACGGCGCTGATGTGGGGGCCTGAAAGCTGCTTGATTGAGTTGGGTGAGCATGGGAACGAAGAAGATGACCCGGACTGGGATGATGTGGTCATGCTAGTGGGCGCAGAGATCGTACATGCAGTGAGAAATGCCGTATGGGAGAAGCTTCACTATACATGCTCTGCAGGGCTTTCTCGCAATAAAATGCTCGCGAAGCTTGGCAGTGCATGCAATAAACCCAACCTGCAGACTGTGGTGCGGAATCGGGCAGTGCAGCATTTCCTCGGTGGATACAAGTTCACCCAGATCCGGATGCTGGGTGGAAAATTGGGAGACCAAGTTACTGCTTTCTTCGGCACGGAGAAAGTGAGCGATCTTCTTAATGTTTCTCTCGAACAATTACGCGCAAAGCTAGATGATTCTACTGCTTCTTGGCTGTATGGTATCATCCGTGGCGATGATCGTACCGAAGTCAATCCTCGGACGCAGATCAAGTCCATGTTATCTGCGAAATCATTCCGACCAAGCATCAATTCAATGGAACAGGCCGAGAAGTGGCTGCATATTTTTGCGGCCGATATCTACGGTCGACTTGTGGAGGACGGCATACTTGAGAATAGGCGTCGTCCTCGAGTGATCACACTGCACCATCGAACGGTTCAGTCAAGATCTCGCCAATTTCCCATCCCGGCCGCTAACGCGATTGATGAGAGCCTTCTATTTGATCTTGCTAAGAATTTACTGCGGCAGGTCGTTGGCGATGGGCAGGCATGGCCTTGCTCCAACCTCTCGTTGAGCGTGAGTAGCTTTGAAGATGGCGTGGCAAAGAACAAAGCCATCGAGGGTTTTCTGCTCCGAGGCGAGCAGGCTAAGTCTTTGAGCCATTCAATAAGGCCCCGCGATGCAGAGAGTATTCCAAGCGAACATCCATCTGATAAGAGGAGGAAAGTTGATGACAGTGGAATAAAACGGTTCTTCTTTCAGCCACCCAACGCCATAGATCCCGCCTCAAATGTTGAAGATTCCGACCTGACTAGTGAGAATTTCGCTGCATCTGACAATGAAGGCCTGCAGCCACCATCAGAGCAAGGCTCGGGCTTAGTCACTCCGGAGATCTTCGAGGGCCAAATAGACAGCGCCGAACTGATGCAGTTCATATGCCCCCGATGCTCTAAATCTATTCCTGAATATGAAAGGGAAGAGCACAATGACTGGCATTTTGCGAAAGATTTGGATATACAAGACCGGCAGGAAGCGGTGACTACGCAACAGTCGCGTCCGGCGAATCCGACTACCCCGAGAGGCTCGAACACCCGTGGAAGGGGTGGTCGAGGAGGAAAAAGCAAACCTGAAAAAGGGCAGATGCGCCTAGCCTTTCAATGAGTTGCTTTGGCCCATAATGATAAAAAAAAAATCATCTACGAATGAAAAAGGTACCCAAAAATATGATGAATTATGACATTCCTTCAAATTCACCAAATCCCTCAAATATCATCACATGCTTGAGTAAAGGAGAGACAATTTTATCGCAAATACGTTCCTCAAAGTTATGGCTTTCCCTGCAAATTGTGCTCACGCCTGATCATGAAAGGCAGCTATCCACGAAATTCGCGTAGTGCAAGTCACTCTCCTCATAAACCTCTTTCGTAAGACCCAACGCGTTGTTAATCATCGTGCCTTTGTCGTCTTGAGTTGCCCAATTTGGAGCCAGCAAGACATCCATCGGCCGACCGAGGGAGAGCTCCACGAGACTGAGCCCAAGAGATTGCAAGACAGACTTTTTTATCAGAGTTAAAGAGCGTAGATGAGCCTCTCAAGCTGCATGGGTTTGACAGAGGCCATGAAAGAAATACGCTATCAAATGGCTCGGCGACCAAATGGAAATCGGAGCTGTCCCATTGGTCCTTGAGCCAGTTTCCATGATACTGTAGAACCGCGCAGGCAATGCTGGCCGCTATGTGTAGTCGATCACGGCGGCTCATGGAGGTCAAGGCTTCACGCAAGGAATGTTTAAGTGTCTTGTGTTGAATACTTTGTACTGCATGCATGACATATCGAAAGGCCGGATTCCGGTCTTCCAAAATGAATCCTATCGGGGTTCGTGGCTGAAGAGGTGACTCGAAACCTTGGAGGGATGAGCAAAGGTCTTGTATTTGCGAAGTGGTAAACACTTGAGGCGTCATCTGAGTCGCTTTCTCGGGTATGTCCTCGAATCGAACACGGCGCTTCTTTGCCTCTGGGCCCGACTGTTCGTTGGACGAATGGGTCAACATTTGTGGGCATTCAATCTCTTGCGGTTCAAACATGACCTCTCTCCAGTCCCAAACACCTGTTATACTAATAGGCTTGGCATTGGAGAAAACGACCCGGAAGTTGGATAGTGGCTTCTGCTTGGAAGGATTGCTGGCATGCTCAACTAGGTTGACCTGGAGCTGGAGATGTACGCAATGATGTTCTCTGCAGCGACATCGCCAACAATGACCACCGGCAATAGCTTGAAACAGAGACTCTGAATGCTGTCGCTCCCTCTGATATTGTTTGAGTAGCGGTGCCCATGGTGGTCGGCGCTTTCCTCTCTCCTCTAGATGATTGGCCTGGTCGATCAAGGTTTGGAGTATAGAATTTGCCGCAAAACATTTACCAAGAAGATCATCGTAAACACTTCTATAAAGAATTTTGTGGAATTTTCAAAGGGAAATAGCTTCAGTGGAAAGGCTCTGTTGAATATAATTAGCTTCAATGAATGCCATCAAACACCCGATTCGTTGAAAGATGGCGTACTTACTCCAGTATCTGTTGTTGGCAAACCTAGCCTTGTTGAAAGCCTCTCTAATAGCTCACATAGTTCATTGATATTTCCCACGAATGGCTCATAGTTCCGCCCAAACTTTGTTCGAAGCGCTTGTAGCAATTTAGGGCTTCTCCACCCAGCTCCCCGGGGATTTAGGATAAGAGCAACAACTGCTTCTTCATCCTCCACGACGTCCTCGGGAACTTGCTCCAAGACGCTTTGTAAAATTGTGTGCTGGATGTTCAGCCCCACGCAGTATGTTTCAAGTTCTCTGCGAAAGTATTTCCAGCGCTTCGTCTTCTCGATGCCTCGCGCGTAACCATCAATTTGATTGACCAGAAGAGGGATCAACGCGAGGGCAAGCCCTGCGGCCTCAATACCAGTGACTATGATCGATAACTCACAATGACCCAAAGCCAAAGAATGAATGAACCCAGTGATGCTCGCCTGGAAACTAGCCCAGGCTGTAGGTGATGTCAGCACGACTTCAGCAGCTGCCCAAGTTGCCGCAATGCAGCAGAGCCGACCAGCTTTTGTCACGCATGCACAGACCCTGTGCTACAAGAGACCGGCGACGTGCTAATGGTTCCATCCAAATATGCCCAAAAATATGAATATGAGCCACCGTCAGTCATCAGCCAGTACACGGAGGCTCAATCTTCTGGAGATCAACAGTCAAGAGGGCCAAGCCTCCCTCTGCAAGGAAGTATCCCCCGATTTTCGTCAGTTATACTTGACCTCCGCGCTCTCCAGACATCAGCTTTCGCAAATGAATGCACAATTTGAATCCATGGCAGGCCTTACGGAATATTCACTTCCTAACGAGCCCATGCCTGTATTCAATTACAAATGCCCAGAGTGTGATATGTGTGACACCTCCAACAAAGGTATCTTCGCCCGTCATGTAAATGACAAGCACTACCCGAAATGCATGTTTGTCTGCCCGGAGACCAGCTGTGATATCAGCAGACCCAAGGAACATCGGCTTGCGGATCATATTCAGGTGAGACACCAACGTGTGCCCACCGGGGAAGAGCTTGAAGCTTGCAGATCAGATAATGCTGTTCTATTTTATTGTCCCATTTGTTCAGAGAACATTGATTCGTGGAAAGCATTCGACAATTGCTACATTGGACATTGCTCCTACATGGCTTCTGCGCCGGAGTAACTTCTCATTTTGGAAAGCTCCATCGAAGATACAGTGGAGGGTGTAGATTCAAAGGGGAACAGATTTGGGGTGTGCATGGACGTGTCTTCGGGAAGCATACAGGTTAGACACGCCGAAAAGCTCGGCTTGAAACCTAACCTCTAATGAAAAGTCATTCGACTCGGGAATAAACACCCTTTTTGAAGCTTTAGCCGCACATGCATGCAAATAGCGAAAGAATACTCAGATGGCGAACGAGAACATGCGATCTTCAGGGCTGAAGCCTACAACCCCTCCCGGTCAGTTCTTTAGTCAGAATATACCATTGAGGATCCACTTCAGAAAAAAAAAGCATTCCTCACAGGCCGACTGTTGAGGCTATAAAAACCCCGCCATGTTGTCATGACTTAAAGTCGACGGTCCATGTTATGTGGGTTAATATACGGTCATTTCACAGGCAGTGGGTGTACTTCTCTCAGGTAGGAAAGGTAATTGAAGATACCCTCCTTGCTAGAATATCAAGGGGCCTTTTAAGATAAATCACAGTTGCGATATTTGATCATGTCAGACGTCGTGTGGTGCAAGACAAAGTACATTGTGTGGTTCCAAGGTTCGACCCAACCATGGCTCTGCGATCCATGGATGAGTTTATGAGCTTATAATTTCCCATCTATACCTTGTTTCCTTGTTTCTGCAGAGGATCAACAGATACAGATCCCATTGTTCTTGCCACTACACTACGTAGCCTGCATGAGTTGTCCCGTCTAGGGTGTGACATCAGCGCCGCGACCATCGGTCATCGGGCTGCGACTGCGACTGCGCTCAGCCTCTCCATGCCGCTTTTCCTTTTTACTCCCATTAGGCTCCAATCCTCCGTTGTCACTATCTCCCACTTTCCCCTTTGTGAAGTAAACTCCAACCACGTTGATTTTCGAATTGTGCCGAGATAGGCGACGATAGGCGATAATGCGCGACAGCCCCGCCGAACCCTCGAGCCGACATCTGTGACAATCATCCGTTTCGAACACCCGCAAAAGCCTGGGGAACTCAGGTGACAGTGCCGTGAACTTGACAACCTTAGCGCCCAATGACTTAAGCCCCTTACACCTGGCCCAACCCCCTCTTTACCACACCATACCATGTCCCGCCGACCACCCCACGATTACTACGAGGAGGATGATTTTGAGATCGAACGTGAACGTGATCGATATCCGCGATCTCGCCAGCGAGACCGCGAGTTCGAGGAGGAAGATGTTCAGTACCGTCGCCGCAGATCAATGCCCCCAGTCGAAGACCTGGAGCGCATGCACATTCGCGATCGCCCGCCCCGCGACTTTATGCGGGAGAGCTTTGCCCCGCCTACGGATCGCGCACCTGTGTCTATGAGGAGACCACGAGATGAAATCGATGGTGTCATACCGGAACGCGAGCGCGATGAAGTCTACATGCGTCCGTCACGCGAAAGACGCCGGCCTCGTCGTGAGATTGAAGAAGAGAAACTCATAATTAATGAGCGTGAAGGACATGGTGGCAGGCCACGACGTCGCTCTGAACGTGATATCGAAGAAGATCTAGTTGTACGACGCAGAGGGCGGCCTTCTCGTGACTATGAGAGCGAAGGTGACTTCAAGCCCCGCGAAAGGTTCGAAGAGCAAGATGAGACGTTTGTCCGACGCTCAGGACCACGACGCAAACCGCGCCCTCGCTCGCGCGAAGAGGAGCTTGAAGAGCTTCTAGTTGATGAGAGCGAAATGGACCGGCCTCGACGCAAATTATCTCGCGAAGAGCCGATATTAGAACGAGAAGAAATTGATGAAGTTATGATTGACGACCGAGAACGACCCCGCGAGAGACGGCCTCGCAGAGAATCAAATTACGACAGACACAGAGAAAGCGACGACATTATTGATGATAGAGAACAAGAACGACTACGAGAAAGAAAGCCACGAAAGGCAAGGGTTAAAGAGGAGTTGGTCATGCAGTGGAAAGATAGGCCATCGCCGGGCGAACTGGATGAAGAAGAAGTTCGCATTAGAGAGACAAGGCGGCCTAAACGTCGTAGTCCACCGGTGCCAGTCTTTGCTCCAGAACCACCGGGTGCTTTGCCTTTGCGTGGGGATAGAGTCGAAACCGAAGAAGAAATTCGCATCCGCTCGCGGGTTCGCCCAAGACCTCACCATCGAGATGTCGAAGAGGAAGAAGAGATTGTCATTCGACGCGATGAAAGAGAAAGAGATCGTCGACGACGAACTGAGGATGATGAAGAAATTCTTTTGCGACGAGAGGACAGAAGCCGAGGTCACAGGCTAAATGCCGAAGAAGATGAAGAACTTCTCATTCGGCGCGAAGAACGAGATCGAGATCGTCACCGAGTTACTAAAAACGAAGAGGAGCTCATTATTCGACGTGATGAGCGAGACCGACACGGGGAAGAGACAGAAGACGAGGTGATCCTTCGCAAGGGTAAACGACGGTCTCCGCCTCGAAAGCCTTCACCCGATGTTGCGTCCATTCATGCACCTCCGATCCATCAGGATGTCATTACACACCATCGCCACATTGACCACGGTAAGTAATTCTATAATTGGCGCGAAAGTGGTATCGACTAACGGGTGCCAGGCTTTGAAGCGTCGCCACGAGCTCCCAGCCCCGATGCTTCATCTCAGACCAGTATCGACGAGGTTGATTACCATCACCGGTAAGGTCAATACTAGAATTCATCACGAGCAAATCTGACACCGAGTAAAGCAGTAAAAAGGGTGGCCACAAGTCTGAGGAAGATCTTGTTTACGAACATCGCTCTGAAAAAGAATCTGTCTCCCCAACCAGTCGTCCTTCGCTCGATTTCAACAATCCCTGGGAAGCAGACGGTGTTTCCACTTCACGACGCAGGCCCAAGTCCATAGTCGACGACACCGAATCCATCAAACAATCTCTAGCCGGAAGCATCCATAGCCGCGCAAAACGAAGCCTGGCTCGTGAGCTAGAGCTCGATGAAGAAACTGAAGAGGAAGAGATAGAGGTCCATGAAGAACGCTCCGGACCTCGCTCTAGCACACGTTCGCTAGGCAAGGGTATCCCAGACGTCGTATCCGAGTGGTCTATGGTCCATGCACCCAAGACCGAGGCCCTTGAGATGTCCAGTGCACTGAACGTCATAGAAGTAGCGCCCAAGGGTGCGATCGACGACGAAATAGACCGTAAAGTCGTCGCGCAGGTATCCAAAGAACCTCTCGACGAACGGTGGACGGAGATAACCAAGGATTTGGTTGTTCGCGAGGCGATTGAGCGACTCGGATATGAGTTTGAAGAGACGAGAACGTTTTACTATGTCTTCTCGTATCTGAAACCGGTAAGTTAAGTCAATCTTGAGTCTATCGACGGGTATCTAATCTGGTTATAGGGTGATATTGATGAGATCGTTGAACTATCCGATGAGATCCGCTCCGCAAGACGACGACGGATTCGTGAAATGCATCGTGAACGAACTGTACCGCCGCCTCGACCACCTCGCCCTAGGTCTCTGGTAGATAGGATGCCGCCTCGGGCACGCATGGCTGCAGAGCGGCGGATAAGAGAGCGAGAATGGATTATTGATGCTCGTCGCTAATCATTTAGTTGCATATTCGAGCAATCTCTTCGGGCAGTCTACTATACTTGATGAATTTATGATTCTGAATCTATTTGTTTTGAACCTTGAGCCCCGTTTACCAGAACGCCACAGGCCACGAGCGGCCTGGCATCGTGCTGTCCCGATTAGGGAATCTCCAGCCCGGTCCACTTCAGCCTCTTTAAGCTCCCTTGACAACCGAAAGCTCTTCTAGCGGTGAGAACTACAAAGCGGATGGCTTCGTTCCAGGTCGCGATCCTCGTTGGACCACAGCCGCATTTCAGGAGGTGCATACACCCTGACAAATCACCTTGGCATGAAGACGTAAGACATGTACTGTAAGAACACACAGCCGCACTCTACACGTAGAACAAAGGACACCCTCTGGGGTTAAATCTCCAGAAACGAAGTGAGAGCTAGGGAGTGTGGATTTTGGAGGATAGAAATAGCAACCGAGCGAGCCGTGTGTTCACAATGCGGATGTTTATAGCCGCGACGACGAATCAGGATAAAAAAAACCTTGTAGCCAAGAAGCAAGAGCAAGCCACCATTTAAAGAATTCCATCAGTCTATGCCAGGTCCACGAAACCTGGTCGCATCGCATCCACACCGGACTCCGGCGAGGCCTCAAAGGTACCACGGGAAAGGTAACTGACGGGCGATCCTGGGGCAGCATACAGTAGATCCTTCTAGACTTCCATGGTGGGTGCGACGCGCAGGATTTTCATTACCTGCTCCCCCTGCCGCCACCAGAGGGTACAGTGGGCATGGTGTGTCTCAGGAAGATTGTCTTTGGGCCACATTATGGACTTACGGGTGGATAGGGGTGGAGCAGTCAGGTACCGAGATTTGAAGGGTTAGGTGAGACGATTAGGAAGCCATCATTGGCAACTGGGTGACCCAAGCTGGATCTCGGAAAGTTTCGATGGCCGTGGAGTCTTTGGAGATGTACAGTACAGTAGATGGGAGATGGAGATGGAGATGGATCGGAGTGGGAGGCCCGCTTTCTGTGTCTTCGGGGATTCAAACTCTGGAAAAAAGCGCATGTTTCAGACACCAAGGAATCGATCGATCAGGACTCGTCCGATGTCATCGAGGTGCCCATTTGCGACCGTACTGGGCCAATTTTACATGCGTCAAGCCAGGATTATCCACTCGCAGGATTTTGTCTGGCCGATCACCTTACCCACTACTGTACACTAGGTAATTGGAACCGAAATCTGATCAGGGGGAGGCGAAAAAGGATGTGTTTTGTGCTTTGTGCTTTGTGCTTTGTGCTTTGTGCTTTGTGCTTGATACTGTAAGCTCAGGGATGGACAGCCGAAAGACAGAAAGACAAAAATACACAAAAAAACAAAAACAGGGAAAACAGGGAATTCAGGGAATGAGAACCGGGGACGGTATCGGGACAGGGGGCATCCTATGAGATGCAAGAGCCGTCACACTCGGGTATCTCTTCCTTCCGTAACTGTACGAGCAGATCGTCTCCGCGTCCATTGCGAATGGCCAATTGATAGCGCAGGTACAGCTGGCCGAATTGTAATCCCCTCTCGATGACTCCATGGTGCAGGAACTGGGGCCGATCGGAGGGTACTCCAGTTCATTTTCACCGCGGTACTCAGTGACTCTGGTCCCGGACAGAGGCCGAGTCTATGGCGGGAGAGGTGCCTAGGAACTCCCAACCAAGTCCCTAGGATGGTCTGAAGAAAGTCCCGTCAGCCCGGAGTGGAAGTGTTGGTTATCCAGGAAAAAGGTTCATGTGGCGCCCGAACGTCGTGTGGCTTGTTTTGGCCGCAGCTCTAAGACAGGCCGCTTATCCACACATTACGTATACTTGCCTATGGTGCCCTAAGGTCTCCCTGAGAGTAAGCTACACCCTGAGAAGGCTAGAACCAGTTCTTAATCCTTCCGGCGTGACCTGGCCATAACTCATCCCAAGTGGCATAGAGTATGAAGGGTACTGTAGGCATGGGAATGTTGAGAAGGGGGAAGCTTTTCTCAGCCACGACCAATGTTACGCAGTGCAGTGGGGCTGCACCAATTTGGTATTCGGTTTACTGTGCGCCGCGTCAGGTCAAGTGTAAACATGCAGCTCTTGACCTTGGGATAGTCTCGATTTCCCGATTTCCCGATTTCCTTTTTCCATATTTCAGCTCCCTATAGTCAGGGCAATAGGAGGCTACGTTTCCTATAGATCATTTAATCCAGCACTGGTCCAAGTAGGCCAACTCAGTAAGGACGTGCGCCGTCCAAGTATCCACCGAGCTAGCGGCAATGCCGGGATACTCAACTTCTCCGATAGAAACGTCCAACCCGTGACTCCGTTGCTCCCGCCCTTTCTCCTCTTCTCTTCCTCACCCCTCCTCCAATACTAGACGATGCGCTTGGCCTGTTAAGACTTGCGAGGCTTTGAACGTCTGGTGGGGCATTAGGCAAACGCTAATCCGCCCTCTCCTGCCTGCTTACCATTCCCAAAACCCGACCCGGATTCTTCTCGGATTCTTTGCGATACTGGTCGATCCCAAGCCACTTCAACTGCGTCCCTACCTCGAGTCCGTGGACGTGGACGTGGACGTGAGCGTGAACGTGAACGTGAACGTACTCGGTGGAAATCGGGGGGCTCACGGATAAACACACTCGAACCCTGTCATCTTCCAAGACACTCGTTAAATTCAACTCGCCATGCGTCTAACGCTTCTCGCCTCGACACTGGCCCTAGTGGCCCGGCCAGTCGCGGCCAGTCTGGCCTTCTGTGCCACTGAAAACACTGGATCGTCCTTTTCGGCTGGTACGTGGGATTCGAAGCGGTCGGTCTTTGCACTGGTGTTTATTTTTACTAACGAGACTTTAGTAACCGATACCTACCAGTCCAACGGAGCCTGCGAAGATACTTGTGCCGACTATGCCCTTGGAGTCCTGCAGGGAAAGAAGTGCTGGTGCTCAAATGTGGCACCATCGACAGACTCCCGCGAATCGGTCTCGGACTGTGATACAGGATGTCCTGGCTACCCGGCTGACAGCTGTGGAAGTGCAGCAAAGGGTGTATGGGCCTATGTGAAGATCTCAGGCAATTCCATCTCCAGCACAGAGAGCAATTCCGGAACGACGAGCTCATCAACAACCACAACTTCCTCAGTAAGTTTCCCCTGTTTATTTGTTCCCCTGTTTATGTGCACGTGGAGTCGATGAACCTGGCCCTTTCATGGCCAGGTGTATCTCGTATTCTTTTTCATGGATTGTATCTCATCACTGAGATATAGACCACCACCACCTCCGGTTCATCGACCGATACGTCCACCACCTTGGCCTCCTCTACAAATGTATTACCCGAGCGAATACCTCGATTCTTGAAATCTCCCAAACTAACGTCCTACAGGCCAGCACAACCGATCCCTCGACCACCAACAATGTCGTCAAGGAGACCACCAACGCCAGCGGCCAGGTCAGGACCGTCACTGTTGCCGCGGCTGTTTCAACCTCTGGACTCGACACGTCCGATAAGTCTACTGATGGGGGCAGCAGCCTGAGCGGAGGCTCCATCGCTGGAATCGTCATCGGTGTCCTGGGAGGTATTGCTCTTGTCGGCGCCCTGATCTTCATGATCTTCTTCTATCGGAAGCGTGCTCGCTCAGCGAGCCCCATTCCCAGCCAAGACATGGCCGACCGTACCAGCCAGGGCTCCAGCTTTATCCGGGGTGTCTTCCCCCAGGGTCACACCCAAGAGATGTCTGGCTCGTCGTCCCTAGGCCGCAAACACACCTTTACGGATAACCGGATGAAGGCCGACATCTACCCCAACGGTCCCCGAGACAGCAGTGTGTCGCTGCAAGACAACGAGGACTACTCGCGGCCTGTCCTTCGGGTAAGTTTCGACTTTTTCGACGGTACAACGATGCATGCTAACGAACCTTCAGGTCACCAATGCCGATTAAATATGATCTGACCTCATCCACTCTTTCTTCTCACCCATCGCCTCCCGACAAGATCGGCCTCTCCATTAATTGTGCGCAATTACCGCCCAAACAGCTCTGTTATGATACCCAATTGTCGCTTGAATTCTTTCCTTCTATTATCGATGGCGACCGGTGCAAAATCTAATTTCACCGTGAAGAAGAAAAAAAAAACAACTCTTGAAGCCGGGGACCTCGACTCCGCCATCCTCACTTTTCCAACAACCTGCGTGTGGCGTGGCAAGAAAGAGATGGACACCAAAGGACACGATCAGCAAAAAGGCAAAGGGAAAGAAGCCCGAACATGCAAACTGTTGATGGTTTTCGCCGTCGAGACGACTTCACGAGCAATTTAACATACATACCTTGCATACATACCACCAGGGAGACGGTTTCCGGAGAGCAAATTATTTCAAAGTACATACGCCTTTCTCTCCGATTCCGTCCGCCCAATCCCGACTTCGATTTCGACCTCAATCTCTTTTTCTCTTCTTTCTCTTTCATCTCTAATTCCGATCTGTCTCTTTTGTACCATCCAGCCTGCTTTGATCCTAATTTCGTGGTTCTTTCTGTTTGGGGGGTTTATGGCGTCATCGCCCGGCGTTTACCACCTGTTATTTAGAGAGTGATACATCTACGAATACCAATTCTTGAACTTGCAATTGAACTGAATAGCTCCCTGATCGGAGTCGGTCTCGTGTGACTGTCCTGAGTAAGGTAGACCCAGTCGGGGTTTGATTCTGTGCACCGCCACTTGCAACTGTCGCGACACAATCCTGCAACAGTTTCGCTTCGATGCATCATGGTCCAATCTGTGAAACTGTTCGTTTCGGCACCGCTGTTGATACGCGTGCTTTTGTTTTCCTGGCTATGTGGAACATTGTCTGGTTCGTTTCGCAATGGCTACTTGCGTTCTTGCGAGTGAGAAGGACAAGTATAAATTTCTGGGTATTTTGTTTGCTATGTGTTGCTACTCTATCGGTCATTGTTTCTCTGCCTTTTACAAGAGACTTCTTATTAGACGCTTATGCAGCCTGAAATGCTATTTTGATACCAGATCTGAGTGAGTGTTGAACCTGATAATCTTTTTGAGAAACTTGGATATACGAAGACTACAAAGGCACAGCATACTCACCAGTACGGGTGGAAAATGCAAAAACCTTCTAGACGCCTACCTGAATATTAATTGCTAATCTGCTAAAAGAGAACGAAAAGAAAGTTCAAACCCAACTTACGAGGACGCTACCCACGCAAATGGCTACTTAACGAATGACAACCATGGTCGAGTGAACATGCCATCGACTCAAACGACGGTCAGTGTGACAGTCTGGTCTTCCTAAGCAAAACGAATTCTGCATACGCATTGCGGCTACTGCTATTTTTGACCGTCACATCTGGCTTCGTGGAACCACCGAGAAGGACAGCCAAGACCATGACGATTATTCGCATCCGAATAGCCACGTGCAATGGAATATCCCCTTGCCTACTCTGAGCATTCACATCGACACACGGGCGAAGAAAAGTGCTCATTACATCCTCCCCGCCGGCACAGATCGCAAGATGCAGTTCTATCTCACCATCACCGTCATTAAAACCAACCTGACAGTGACAAGTCAGCAAATCCTCCGGCAAAGGAAATTTATGCGAAGCCCTCGGCGCGAGATGAAGTGGCGAGCAGCCAGTGCCATTGACTATATCGGCCTTAGCACCGTGAGAAAGAAGAGAAGACGCGAACTGGGAAGCGTCCATGATAGCTATTTGAAGTGCCGTTCGCCCTATCCTATTCACTCCACTTAGCCTATTAGCAGTGATAAGTGATAAGACCAAGTTAAACATCTCCTGTTCACCACGCTCAACGGCATTAAGCAACACCCGTGCATTCTAAAAGTCCAGGAGCGCTCAAGTCCGCAGTAAGCTCGACGCTCATCGTCATAACTCCCACACTGCAATACCTCACGACCCCGCCAATTATATTGATATCACCTAATCTTCCATCAGCGTGAAGAAGCAGATCAACCATCTTACTTGACCTCCCTAAGCAGCTTGTACCGAGAGATCAAGTTCACAATCCTGTCAGAAAGACAAGCGTTAGCACCGCGCCCAAGGAGTCTCACCAATGCTAATTCTCCGAGAGAACCACAAAACTCAGAATCCAAGTTCCGGCCAGAGTATATGAGCAAGTATTTGCTCCATATTCGACGAGGAGTTGACCATTTTGAGATTGCCAGAATGGGCTGCTTTGCTGAGAGGTTCAGATTGATGGGGCAGATACTCAATTTCTCGGTAGTTCTTGATTGTGACGGCCTGCTCACCGAAACCTGAGATCTGCTTCTTTGCGTACGTATATCGCTGTTCGTACTCGAGGCGTGGGGCCAAAGCACATTGCGCTACGCGTTTCCTTAACTCCGAGATAAGCATGTCGGGGAGGCTATTGCATGTTTCTGCGGGGTATGCAACTGTGGATTCGCCAAGGTGCTCGGCTAAGGGGTGGACCAGCTCGGCTGGTAGGTTGTTGAATGAGACTGACACGTTGAGGAAGAGAAGAAGAATCTGTGTGATTCTGTTTGATTTGTGAATGTGGTTATGGGTGTTAGTTGGAGAGCTCGAGAGTTTATCGAGATGCCAACTGCTTATGAATGAAAATGACTGATGATGAAAATATATCAGGGAGAAAATTCGATACCGTTTAAATAGAGCGAAGAATGATTGTCTTGATTGAGTTTCCAAAGATCACGAAACTGTTTTGCGAAAGCCCGCTGAGGAGTGAAAGAAGCACTTGTCTGGGCTAGAATACTCTGAGCGTACTTACAATGGCCTTTTCCGTGTTTCCAAGAACCTCCCGATATCCATTAAATGAAATCAAAAATGTGGCTTGAAAGAGCAGAGTATGTTCTCTGGATGATGACAGGTTAAAGCCGAGATGAAAGCATAAAACCAAGACATAGACAGGAGCTCCGACTTTTCGACCCTGTTTGGGACGATGTGGACCTTGGTAGTCGAATTAATAGGTCTTGGCCAGATGCGAGTATACTGGCATTGCTCTCAAGTTACACTGGAGATGTATCAGACCCACAGGAAATGAAGGGGTCCAAGCTGATAGTCCCCGCATCTCTTTCCCATCTTTGCCATTATGTCTTTGCCACGATGAGATAATTAGTAAAAGACACATTCTCTATGTCTTGACCATCACGGAAGATACTGCATTTGCCCAGTATTCATAGTCGAGAGTTCTTGAAATTGAGTAGCGTAGCACTCCACGGATAAGACGATGTAGGTGTTGGACTAAGAAGAGGGAATCATGGGGCAAATCACCTACCAAGGTTGTTGACCTGACTCAGTAGTCCCCTATCTCGCATTACCTTTAGCTCTAACCAAGTGAAATCAGTTAGATCTAGAATCGTCTACCCTGAGTCATTCCAATTCGGATTTCGGTGACCCCAGGTCTGGTGTACCTTCCCCAGATGCCCTTTCAACAAGAGGCCCATGCGATGAAAACTGTGACGACTAGTCAGCTTGTGGTTCCCCACCCAAGTCTCATAGTAATGTCTCGGTTCATCTTCGGGTGCACCTATGAAATTCTATTGGCCGAAAAAAAAGCCAAGAGTCCAGAAGAGCAAAAAGGGAGAAAAGTGACAGAGAGTTCCAAGCCGGCACCGGAACGGCCGGCATCTCAAGCGGGCTCAGTTCGCCGATATCACCACTTGAATGTGGCCCTAGCAAGAATGTGAGGGTACTCCTCATTTCCGCGGTGACACAAACAGGAATTGTCGTCCATTGACCCCGGATTTACCACCCCGACATTTACAGTCTTCACCGGGCATCTGGAACTGGCAAGGTGCAAAGACATCTCCGGACCCCAATCCCCATGGGAAAAAGTGACCTGCCACGCGTCCCTCCGCGAAGACTCGGTTCCCCGAGGCTTGGCACCCTATACCGAGACAACGGCAGGTGCCGAAACCCACCAATTTGCGGTCTGCGGCTGACAGATTTGTTACCCAACGGGGCCGGCTAAGACTATATGCCGGGATTGCCCCCGTTTTCCACGAATTTCTCCCCGGAATGCGACGCCTCGTGGCGAGTGGGTTTACGTTCCAGAATCCCCTCGTTTCTATACTGCAAAGTCATCGTACGAGCCTGGAATCGGCTATTCTAGATCAGGAACTGTCTTGATTCAGGAACACCCGAAATGGAGCCCTGGGCCCCGCTGAATTGGCTTTTGGATCTCTTGTCTCCACTGGAAACACGCGATGGACCGTTGTCTGAATCCAGCTGACAGTTGAAAATTTTTCTCTTGTTCCAGAAATACACGGCTCGGTCGTCGTCCACCCGTGCTAGAATCGGCACCTTCGAATGTCAGATGATCAGTCGATGCACCGTTCTAGATAGGAGGATGCGTGAACGCCTAATGATGGTGTCACCTCCCAGGCTACTCTGCACGTACATACAACTGCCACCGGCTAAATATCGGCCATGCAAGTACGGAGTAGTCCTTCACGTAGTCCACACCCTGACCCGTAAGCACTAGAAATGATACCCGGGGAAAAAGATCCCAAGAGATTGGATCAGGACCTCCGAAGAAAATGAATCAAGTAAGTGTTATTAGAGAAACCCACCAATGGTGGCGTTACTTTGGGCCGGAGGCTTGTTCGCTAGGAGGTTCGGCGCCCAGTCGCCCAGTAAACGCCGAGGCTTGACACAAGATTGCTTCTTTCCGATCAAGAAAGCTTGGTGGCGCTCACTAGCCTCCGAAGGTTCTATACGTTTCGTACAGTCCGGAATATGGCATTTCCGACGTCCAACTTCCTCCGAGTCTAGCCAACACCGTCCCTAGCGGTTTCTTAGCGTTGCAGTCTCCTAGAATCCTGTGACCCTGGGTCTACCCACAGGGCAGCGTCAGTATTGTCATTGGTGCCATGGATACCAACACGGCTGGTCTCCATCTGGGGGGAAAGCCTGGCCTTTAGCGCTAACCCCAGGAAGCGAAAAAGCACAAAAGATGGGGATGTGACTATATAATGCCGCTGGTCTGCTCGTCTGAGTTTTTCTGGTCTGTGGATCTGGATATCTTCTCTTTTATTTCCTATTGACTTCCCTCATACATTCGTCAAGATGGGTGCGGTCAGTCAGTCAGTGGTTGCTCGCAACAATGCGGACAAGCCTCACGGTCTTGCGGGTATGCTGAAGAACCCCTATGTCTTTTCGACATGTCTCTTCGCCTCGCTGGGTTGTATCATGTACGGTTATGACCAGGGTGTTATGGGTCCTGTGCTTGTCATGGAGAACTTTAAAAATCACTTCCCTACCTTCCAGGGATCGACCATTCAGGGTTGGTTGGTCGCTGCTTTGGAGCTTGGAGCTTGGGCTGGTGCTTTGATCAACGGTTTCCTCGCTGATCGGATCTCCCGAAAGTACGCCATGATGGTTGCTGTTATCATTTTCACCCTTGGTACTGGCTTGCAGGCGGGTGCTCAGAAGCCCGCATACTTCTTTGCTGGTCGTATCGTTGGTGGTCTTGGTATTGGCATGTTCTCCATGGTCATTCCTCTCTATCAGGCTGAGGTAAGTCACATTTCAAGAAATATTGATAATGAACGCGAACTAATATTCATGTTTATAGATCGCTCCCCCGGAGCTCCGTGGATCCCTTGTCTCCCTCCAGCAATTGTCTATCACTATCGGTACTGCTATCGCTTTCTGGATCGACTACGGCATGCAATATGTCGGTGGCACCACCTGTAACCCCGAGGGCATTTCCAACCCCTACCTCGCCAACGGTGACTACAATGCGGTCCAGAACCACGGACACACTTGCTTGGGACAGAAGACTATCTCGTGGCGCCTTCCCCTTGCCCTGCAGATTATCCCTGCCTGGATTCTGTTCTTCGGCATGTTTTGGTTCCCATTCTCGCCCCGTTGGCTCATGATGAAGCACCGCGAGGAGGAAGCCGCTGCCGCCCTCTCCAAGCTGCGCCGTCTCCCTACTTCCGACGCTCTTCTCCAGGCTGAGCTCCTTGAGATTAAGGCCGCTGTTATGTTCGATGAGGAGACTGAGGCCGAGGCCGTTAGCGCCAATGGAGCTTGGGCTCCCTGGAAGGCCCTATTCGCCCCTAACATGTTCAAGCGTCTGATGCTTGGTTGCTGTATGATGGTCTTCCAGCAGTTCACCGGTATCAACGCCGTTCTGTATTACGCTCCTCAGATTTTCGCCAGTTTCGGTTTCTCGTCTACCACGCAGACCCTCCTAGCCACTGGTGTTACCGGTATTCTGCAGATCATCTTCACTCTGCCCGCTGTCTTGTACCTTGACAAGTTCGGTCGTAAGACCTTCCTCATCGCTGGTGCTATTGGCATGTTCTGTTGCCACATCGTCGTCGCCGCCGTCGAGGGTACCTATGAAGACGCCTGGAACCTGAACAAGGGCCTCGACAAGCCCCAGGGCTGGGTTGCTATTGCCTTCATTTGGCTGTTTGCTATTAACTTCGCTTACTCTTGGGGTCCTGTCACCTGGGTGTTAACTCAGGAGATCTTCCCCAACAGCATGCGCTCCCGCGGTGTCTCCATCGTCGCCTCCACCAACTGGATGTTCAACTTCGTCATTGGTCTTACCACCAAGGATATGCTGGGTTCCATGAAGTACGGTACCTACATCTTCTTTGCCATCTTCTCTGGTCTCGGTGGTCTCTTCATCTGGAAGTTCGCCCCTGAGACCAAGGATAAGACCCTGGAGGAGCTGGATATCTTCTTCGGTGGCTCCGAGGATAGCATTGCCGAGGCCGATCGTATCCGCATGCAGAGAATCTACGAGTCTCTTGGTCTCGCTGGCTTGGAAACCGTTGATGACCTGAAGACTGAGAAGCACAGCATCTCCGAGCAGTACGAGGAGACTGCCAAGGTCGAAGCTTGATCAACAGAAGCTTCGTTTGGGGTTTGGAGTTGGAGGAAAATTACGGTATACGAAGTTAATTAGTTACGTTTTGATGTAATTGAATTGTTGGTAATCCATCAATGTCATAAAAATATATACTAATTAGTATAATTCTTATAATTCTTAGTACTCTGGTTTACTTCCTACCGTAGAGAGTCTGAGAATCTTCAAGTGAATAGTTACTTGTTTTTACTACTGTTTTTAGAGGCCTGAAATATCAAGGCTCCGGGCATCTATGGCCTGAGTCTTCTGCTGATTTGTAGTTAGGTACCCCCTTCCAAGCTCTTTCCCAAGGTTATTATCAAGGCTACGAATAGATCGTGGCTTCTCGTTTCCCTTGACCATTCTTTTCTCTCCCGACTCTGGAGATTCCATATTTGAACCCTCCGCGTCTTGCCATTCCGTGTCCTACTCTTCATGATGATGATGACGAGTTTCGCTAAACCTTTCCAAGGCGCAAGCCACACCCGATCCCCCGCAGCTGGTCGAGATTCTCAGTTCGGTCTCATCTTAATTGCAGGATTCTGATGCAAGAAGTGGACTACATATTGGTGTAAAGCCGATTATGCCTTATTTTGGAATCCAGCGCCGACCCCGATATGCCAAGACTCAACCTTGGAAGTGATGCAGGAACGGTGTTTATCGGAGCAATTCATTTCCCAGCCCTTGACGAGATGAACGCCTTCACGTTGTGGCTTGTGCTCAGGCCCTTTCATGCAAGTGATATCGCGACCAGGAAGCCTCGGTCAATCTTCGATATTCAACGGCGTTGAAATCTTATTTAATTGTCTTGAATATATATTTGTAACACTTTGACAAGCGTAGACCTTGTTGATCCCAAATGATACTGATGTTTTGCCCGAGGATATTCCTTGGGGTTCCAATACTCCGCCGAACAGCTCCCGTTCCTTCATTCACTAGTTTGGACATGCAGTGAGCTTATACCGAAGAATAAGGGTCATTAGTAGGGTTGGAGCTGTAAGCGACAAAGACATCGGAATTTCCTAGAGGCTCGTCGCTCGCTTTTCACATTCAAAGTCCCATGAGAGAATACTGGTCAGAACCAAGCATTCAATGATAGGCTCCGTTTTAAGTGAAATCTCAGCTCTGTATACCGTCCATAATCTGCCATCCATAGTGCTTGAAGCCTCAACATGTTAAACGGTCTGAGACAACGTGGTCTGTCTCCTGGACAAATGAGTCATCGTGAGATGCCAAGGAGATTTTGGCGGAACTAAATTACTCTAAACATACTTGGCTTACTAGTTAAGCAACCATTAGCGATTTCAATTAGAGTGGTTCTGCCCAAGAGCGGCTGGAGACGGATACATGAGGGGACAAGTATGCCGACATCGGGTGAGAGGAGCGTCAGTTGAACAATTAAGATGCTTATCAACGTCTCTTTGGATGCTCACTTTTCTTCGATCAGCTGAAACCCCCAAAGAACACATTTCCATGATGGCACCCACATTAAATATTGAGCAACTGAATAGCAATCCTTCTCCTCAACGGATCATCATTGTTGGGGGAGGTATCGTTGGCGCAGCGCTCGCGTTCCACCTGTCCAAGGCTAAAAGTGATTATCACATTATACTCGTCGACAAAAGCCTGGAAAATTTATTGGGCTCCACCGGCCATGCTCCAGGATTCGTTGGCCAACTTAATGAGTCGCCTGTCTTGACTCGGTTGGCCAAAGACACCGTCCAGGACTACCTCTCAATTCCGGGTGGCTTCGAAACAGTTGGCGGCTTGGAACTTTCCTCTACGCCATCTGGGTTGGAGAATTTACAGCGCCGACAGGAAACAGCACGGGGGTTTAGTCTACCTGCCGAGCTTCTCACTCCAGAGGCGGCGGCGTCTCTTGCCCCAGACTTTATCGACGCCAAATCGGTTAGGTACTGTGTGCATTTCCCAACCGATGGAACCGCAAATGCAGGCATCATTACTTCTTACTATGTCGATCAAGCTCGCACCCGAGGGGTGGATTTCCTGGAAGAAACCGTAACAGGCTTCGCGACCAACAGAGACGATGGAATTTCGAATATAGCGACTATCAAGACCACTAGAGGAGATATCAACACGGAAGGCAGTACTGTGATTCTTGCCACTGGGATCTGGACATCTTCATTAATTGGCAACGACAACTCCCTTGTTACGCAATTTCCGATTCCCATTGTCCCTGTCGCACACCCTTACACATTTACTTCGCCTCGACCTAGACGTGTGGGTACCTCTTACCCATTCGTTCGCTGGCTAGACCATCACGTCTATGCAAGAGATCATGGAGATCGGGATGGCCTAGGCACTTACGATCATCCCCCAATGCAGCTTGATCCCACCGGAAGCGCAATTGGAGCCTGGCCGTCAAGCTTTAATCAAGTGCTGTCAGACGCCTCTTCGAACTTGAGGAACGGAACCGAGTTCCAGGTCCAGGGACAGAGTACCCACCTAGGAGAGCCTTGGGTAGCGGACAAGCCATTCAATGGAATCTTTTCCGTCACGCCTGACAACTTACCCTTTGCTGGTCGGGTGCCTGATGTTGCAAATCTATGGCTTGCCGCTGCCATTTGGGTAACAACTGCTGCTGGTACTGCTAAGCTACTGGCAAGAGAGATTCTTGGCGATAGTGAGCATTCGACAACTCCCGAAGACAAGGCTCTCCTGGACGCCCTGAATCCCGCACGCTTCCAAGGCATTGACGCGGATCTGCTTGTCCGACAATCATTGTCGAAATATAACGATATCTATAACCGAGAGACCTAGACTGATCTGAATGAACCATACAATCTTGTAGGTTGGGCTATGTTCTACAAGGCTTTTGTTTCTCTGAGTGGGAGGGAATTCATGAGAGGTGGAGCGTCCAGGATGACGTCGAGCTAAGAAGTGATCAGTCACCAATTGAGACACCACTTTGATGATCCAATGTAAAATTCTGCTCAATATAAGCGATGAGGATGAAGGCAATCAGTCTGAATCGAAGTCACCTGCACTGCCAAGAGTCTGGACATTTTTACCCTTTTGGGTATAGCGGAGCCCTTGTTCCCTTTCAGTACACGCAGTCCTGCCTTATCTTTTGCTCTTCCCTAACGACATGAGCTGATTTTAATTCCAGTTGTTTTTCAATGTATCTTCTACTGATCCTTTTCGCTTGTCGATAAACTTCTAAATGTGTCCCCTATTCTCCTAAATTCGGCGTATACCTTTCACCCGAGAAGCTCTAGCGACACTGACAGGAACAATCATGCAAAGTAGATCTTGATAATAGGATAACGAGATAAGCCCAGGCCATTCATGTACCAGTAGAAGCCAACGTCGTCATAGGAGAACGGCGCCTGCATTCCCTCTCCAAACACGGCAAAAGCAATCGAGTGTAGGCCAACCAAAGAAGCCATCCGATGCGTCTATCTGGTCCTCATTCTTGGATGCGAGCTTCCCCGCTTCGAAGATCCGGGTCTGAGTGCAACACATTAAGTCCCGTTAGTTCATCCTAGTCAAAAGCAGAAAGTATTTATTGACCTGGGTTCCTTTCGTCTGTATCGCGATATTTACTTGGATAATTCAGCCCCCGCCCATACCCAGTGCGCCTTCCATACATCGAGCATATCCATTTTGGGGTTCATTTTATACCAGCCCATTCCAACCCACTACCCTGCCCTAATGCGCATGGACTGAATACCCATGGAGTCCCCAATGAGCACCGAGAGCGCCTGGCGAATAGGCCTGTTCCTCATAGCAGCCACCGCCGTCTACACATTCCTATGCAGAGTGACCGGCAAATCCCTCTTCAACAGAATATCCTCACGCGGCCGCAAAGACTCAACAGCAAAAACCCCGCCGCGATCATTCTCACCAGACACAAAAGAACCCAAAAGCGCTACCTCGCCTCCAACTTATAACCATGTCCTTCCACCGTTGCGTAGGGAATCGCTGCTCCAGTTGAAAGGAGCTGCTATACCCTGGTGCGAGGTGGATGAGGTCGACATGCAGAAGAACATGTTGCCGATGACTGCAAACTATAGAACCAGCTCTGGAAAGCTGTACACCCCGACTGGATTCTCGGTAGATGATATCAGAAGCCTTGGAGACTTCCCGAACTATGCAGCACTCAGTGGAGTGCCCCTGCCGAGTGCGTATCCTGAGCATGATATCAACAAGGCTATGCCTCGTCCCTATCGACCTTTCCGATGGGCGTATCATCAGACCATGTGTATGTATAACCCCGATTTGCTGGAAATGTAGACTAACCAGCTGAATATAGCATTGACCCGAATGGAAACGGATTGGTGGATCGAGCTCGAAAGTACATACAAGAGTCGCATTGCTCAGAGGAAAGAGCTATACACCAAATATGGCAAAGCCGTCCTCGACGCAATGCCCGGGTCCGAGCTGGCATGCAAGGAGCTTATGGAGATGGTCTTGCAGTATATCTGCACTCGATATCCACAGCATTTCACCTTGGTGGATAAGCGCATTTTGAGGAACCATATCCTCGGCACGGAGCTTGATGTTAAAGCCAAGCCTCCGTTAGAGATTCTCCTTGAGAACGTCCCTGAGGATTTTGCGATTATGCTGCGGGATGACGAGACAGGGTTCTATTTCCTTCGCGCGGCGGTGATCTGCTCTGCTCTCGGGTGGAATGTTGCTTCCAAGATTGGCAAACGACTGGATCAGATTCATGATCCGATTCCGGATTACAAGGAGAAGATGCAGTTCTCGATGGATCGGTATGTGTCGTCATCTCTTGAAACGAAGCTTCAACTAACCAAGCTTGAAGATTCTTCACGAAGATGCCGACTGAAAAGCCTATTCAGCGTGGATCTTGGGGTCTTGAGGTAGGCGAGCTGCTATACATGCCTCCAGGCGACCCCCATGCATCACAACGACTTTGTCAAGATCATAATCTCGGTATTGAGGATTGCTCATTGCGCGTAGACTGGCAGACTCTTCGTCGCCTACCCCTTTCAGCATCTATCATCTTCAACTTCAAGGCGATTTTCACACCAGTCACTGAATTTCGTGACGAGCCTGGTGTTCCTGCACTGCTTACGAAGCTCTTGAAAGAAGGCAAGCGGAGTTTAATGCAGTACAAGGGGACATGGCATGTTGAGCATGTTGTCCTTCCCAAGATGGAGGAGTGGGCGAAAGAACAAGAGGAGAACAATGTGGTTCCGAATGATTGGGAAGTAGCTACTCTGGACGAAAGTCCGTGGTTTAGAGGCTGGGAAGAGAAGTGGCATCGCCGACAGGGGTTCTAGAACATTTTTTTTTGTATATTGAAATGGCTGGATGTTTCATTAATATTTTGCGATTGTCATTGTCGGAGTTGGGCGGACTTTGGGTATATGAATTCATGACACATATGATTGTAAGACTTTGCGGTGGAGATGCTACGGTGCATGTTTGTAATTGGCACACAGAGAGGCCCATATGACAACTGTCGAGGGCTATTCATCCACGGCGGGAGGACTGGTGGGTTGAAACCAGATGCCCGTACATATCTCAATACTGGACAAAACCGTCGTGGGTTAAGTGGCGCCCCAGGTTTAGGCATTGTCTTCCGAGAGTGGGCCTTGAGCCCACGTACTCAGTATGCGATACACTTCGCTGCTTCGCAGAAAGTTTGGGGTGACTGATTAGGCCATGTGGAGAATAATCATTCAAGCGTGGTGAGGCGAAGCCGGAGAGGGTAACTGCAGCTCGAGTCCTTCAATCATCGTCTTCATCTCTTCTAGGAGATCGCGATCGTGACTGTGACCGCGACCGCGACCGCGACCGCGCACTGCCCTCAAGATCTACCTCGCCCTGCTCTTTATCGCTATCCTGATCGAGTTCTTCCAGCTCATCTGCTAGAGGACTGACACGCTCGTCCAGCATATCGAGATCCTCTAGCTGTGTCCGCGATGGCAGCTTCCACAGACTAGTACCGCAAACACGATCTTTCGTAAGAAGGTCGTCGATAAACTGATCCATGTAGGTGAGGGTGAACGTATCTCGAACTCGACGCTTAATTTTGCGATAGTCGAGTAGCAGAGGTTCGAGAGTCTTGTAGACATCCACCGCATCAAAGGTCAAGCGAACATAGAACGCAGCCAGCGCGCGCAAGTACTTGAAGTCTCCAGCCGTCTTCACCACGCCATTCTCGCCAAATTCTTCGTTCTCTTCGCTGCTGCCGGGGTCGCTGAAGTTCAGATATTCGAGGATGACGTCGCGGTTGGGGCCAAGCTGCAGAAGCTTAAAGGCAAGGCAAAGGAAGGGTGTCGGCTTTTCAGAGACTCCATAAGTACCACCGATAGAGCTTAATTCGACTGCGCGATCGCAGAGAGTGGCAGCGTTCAAACCGAAGCACTGCTCTTTCCAGTAGTAGGAATCGGTGATGCGGTCGCGCACGGCCTTCTCGAACAGAGTGACCGGGTTCACACCACGGACGAGAGGACCAGAGTAGCCCCGATTGTCCAAGAAGGAGCTGGCATCAGCGCGATGAGTAGCCATGGCTGGATTGAAGGAGATGAACAAGCGGAGCGGAAAGAGAAAAGCTGGCGCCAAGACCCAAGCTCTCCCTTATCGATAATCGCGCGGCCAACCTGACCCCGTAAACAAGAACTGATGTCACACATCTGAGACAAGATACTTGAAGATTCACAGTCCAAGCATTCCATTCCTTGTCCATATGTCGTCCAGCCATGGTGCTTCTCACTTCCTCCACGGTCTCCGCCATCATTTCAATGGCGGTGATCGCGTTATTCACCATACTATTATTCTTCTCCGGCTACGTTTTACAACAACAATCAGTGCGAAATATCCAAAACGCGATACGACCTCGATCGGACCCCGCTTCCTTAAAAGATCATGGAGCCGCATTCCCGAAATCACAGAAACGTGGCCTAGCGGGACCAGATCTAGGGCTAGGAGATGATCAGGGGATCCTCCAAGGAAGTCAAAATAGTCGCGCAAAGGGAAATTACGCGTATCTGCAATTGCTATCCAGCCCAGACCCATCCGACATCTGCTCCGCTATTCTCTTCTTCAAACAATTGGCGACAAATGGGACCGCTGTTCAAGACCGCCTCTTTATGTACCCAGAACAGTGGGACCGCATGTCCGCTAAGAAACTCGGAAAGCCGGCATCAGTTGCACTATCCATCTTACACGCAGCGAGCATCAAGTACGGTATCTGGCTGCTCCCTATCGATATGACAGCTGCCACGTCACAGGGCTATGAGACGACGGATACCAAGTTATTACGTTTAGGGCAGATCCAGTTCATGCAGTACGATAGTGTGCTGTATGTACAGTCACCAGGCATAGTCCTCGACACGGAGCGACTTGATGACGTCCTGCTCTCACGACCGCTTCCAGGAAGGCACGACAAGAAAAGGCTTGAGTCATTCAATAACGAAGCGTGGATTCCAATGGCCCTTCGTGCAGAGCGCGATGATCGTCTGCCCCCGGTCTACTTGATCACGGTCAACAATGTTGGCGGTGGGCATGTCCAAGCCCGTACACACATACCCAACGTTGCTCTTCCGGGGTTTGGCAGCCTTATCACTCCACCGTGGGGGTACAAGCCTGGAGATACCGGCGATGAGACCATTCAACAGCCCGCTTATGTTTATTTTGAGAATGACCGCGACGGTCAAGTCAAGTGGGCTGGAAACCCACTCTTCGGAACCTGGCGAGCCCAGCAGTCCGAAGTATGTGAAGGACTTGATCTTGATGATGACATCTACCACGAGCAATGATTTGAACATTTTGATTATCTAGCATACCCCTAGGACTGTACATTTTTGGATATGGATCGGATATGGCGTTATATTTGTGATTTGATTCCTGAGAAGTACATGCAATACACGGTTTACGATCTCACATTGATAAACAAAATATTCATATGTTGTCGTTCGCTAATGAGGTCGATATGACCAATCAGCGTTATAGGTTCGTACATTACTCCCCCATGCCCAGTCATACAAGTCGTGGATGGTATCAAGGTCATACAGTGGCTCGACGCAGCACGGGGATTATTGGGGAACACCGATTTCGTAGCCGAGGAGCACCTCCGTGGTGTTGCCTTCCCAGCCACGGTTGCCACTGGTGGAGATCATGAACCGGCAAGCATTATCGACGAACAGCTGGGAGATTGTGCCAGTACGATGGCCTGGAATGATGAGGAACGGGGTGGTTGAATGGCGAGAGCTCTGTTCATGTTGCAGGTCGTAGAGACGGAGAATATCATGAGACGCGCTGCGAGAGTTAGAGAATGTTCTTTTTTCTGACAATGAAAAATGGCATACCAGACAAGATGGCGTCCGTTAGGCATCGCTTTGAGAGCTGTCACTGGTCCACTCCCCTGAGGGAACTTGAATGTCCGCTCAGGATCTCGGAGTCCCTTGTGTAGGCTAAATTCTTCGACGGTGCCGTTGCGTCGTCCGGCGTAAATATAATTCCCATCCGGAGACCAACATGCATTCATACACCAGTAAGGGACACCATTACGAGGGGTGATTCGAGCGACCGGGTTGGGCTGCCGCCTGTCCCATATCCGAATAGTTCCATCGATAGACGCGGCAAGGAACGTGGTGTCCGCTCCTGAGCCTTCTTGTTGCATGCCTTGGGAAAGATCTGGACCTTGCGAATATGACTCAAGGTCCTCTGCCTTAGGAAGACCGTTGGCAGCCGGTTGTGCAGGCTCGGTCGATATATGAGTGTTTGGCTGATCGTGGTTTGCGTTCGTGTCTTCTGCACTAGCATTGGCATCAGTTGGTTGTGTGCTTGGTTGGGGCGCCGCCTCTAGTTGTGGCATCTCAGTGTCGTCCTCCCCAGGGGCGTCTTGATCTGCGAGAACACCATTTGCCATCGCGCGGCCAAATTCATCATCGTCATCAACCCCGAACACCCCTGCCGATGGCTCTCCTCCATCCGCAGCTCCACCATCGGCATCGCCAAATAATGAATCCGCGCCACCGAATAGTGAATCTGCCGGTGAGCCCGCCTGCGGGTTCTCGGCAACACCTGTATCTGCAGCATCCTGGGTTGTATCCATGAAGCTGGATTTGTCCGCCCCAGTAGCTTCGTAGTTTGATGAATATGTACCATTTGAAAGCATTGGATTAATGGTGTCTTGCGGAACAGGTAAGCTAGATTCTGGCCGGATCTGCACCATCGAGATTTGACTGGCACCTCCACCGAATGATCGTCGCGACTGCCCGGTGTTCAAGTCCCAGTCTATGACTCTTTTATCCCAGCTTCCTGAAAGCAGCGACTGCTCATCAGAAGTCAAATTTAATGATGATACCGCAGAGGTGTGCTGTCGTAATTGCACAACCTCCTTGCCTTCATCATGGCGCAGCGTCTGTAGTCGAATAGCACCAGATTCCAGCCCTGACAGGAGCCACAATCCCTCACTTTGGCACGCTAGAGAGTAAACCGGCGACAAGCTGTTCGCTTCCATATTCTCCCAATATGTCATGAGCACGCCAGCTTTGACAACACTATCGACAAAGGGGTGCCTTTGCGCCACGGTCAACATGAGCTTGCTGTTGATCGAATCCGCCCAATTAAATTTCCGCACGAATCCGTCAGAGCCTCCACTAAAGACCCAGCGCATGTCTGCCGTGGCGGCGATCGCGTTGATGGATGTGCTATGCGGAGCGGCGGTGGTAGGCACGATGTCATAGGTCTTCGCAGTCAAGCATTCGGGGCGTACGCTGGGGTGGTAGATAGAAAAAGACTCCGACATGGATGTATCGGCATTGCCTGGGGTGTTTCCATCGTGATTCTGCTGCGAGACCATACCACCACCCTCCGACGCCTGACTTGCATTGGACGGGCTCCCAGGGTCATCGTCGGCGTCGGCGTCAGCATCGGGTTCAATGTCACCGTCGCCATCATCGGCATCGCGCATTGTATCGTCAATCTCATTCTCGTTGTCTGAGCTTCCGTCCTGGGAACCTAATGGGGAGAAAGTATTAATCATTGGCCATTTATTGAAAGTCTGTTGCGGGTCGAAGGAACAATCTCACCCGCCAGGTCGCGGTCCTCATCCTCCTCAAGTGATGCCATGATTATTCCAGGTAGAACTCGGCTCCGGTCCCAGTTTCGCGAAAGTCTTGATCGATGTAGCGAGGCAATTGGGTGAAAGCGGGCTGTTGGGAGAGCTTGGCTTGCAAGCGGAGCTTTGGTCAGATCCCGGCGTGGGGCTCAGGCTCGGTATGTAGCTTGCGAAAGGCCTCAGCTCAGAATAGGGTCTGTAGATGTTCCAATGTCCGAGTCAGTGACCCAAGAGTTGAATAGCTCCGATCGTGGAGAGCGAAAGCGGGCAAATGCGCAAGGCGGTCGCGATCTCCGCCAGGGTCACGTTTCGGGCCAATCATATTGCCGGTTTGTAGATACGGCGTTGATGCCCTTCGGACACACTTGTTTTCATGCTATTGAGAGTTGAACACTCGTTGAATGCATTTTAAAATACATGGAATACCTTTAGTGGGTTTGGTAAGCCTCCTATGGCTTACGGGCCATGTGTGGCCAAAATGTGGTTATATTCGAATACTTCACCTGGCCCAAATCTCAAGGTAAGCCTTTCAGGGTTGAATATACCACTGGAGTTGTTAAATCTGCAAGAAATGAGATCGACATAAAATACGAGCGACTCATTCAGCTCGAAGGGGAGAAAGAACCGGAAGCCCATGATGGGGTCTTCAAGGCACCTCATCGAACTCGACCTAAGCTATCGTGGCATCCAGACTGGTTTCAACACCATTGATGAAGGAGTGCTGGAACCATTCTATCTCGTTAATTATTTCTCTGTGTAGAACTATCCATTGGTTCCTAGAATGAGAAAGATCAGATCCAGGTTCTTCAACCACAACTGGCCCAACACTGGTGACAGCCTATCCTCAAAACATATGAGGCGACGGCAGCAAGCGTCAGCAATCTGTACGATTATCTCCTAATGAAAGGAGGCAACACAGGTAGAGTCACTCTCTTGATGTTTCACAACGGTCAGCGCAAGTTACCCTTAAAAAGTATGAAATCAAATCTGTATCTCCATAATCACCATCCAAACATGAACTGTCGCGTGCCAAACACGGGGCTCTTCATCCTTGGTAGCGCAAAGTGCCTCGTCAATGGCGGAAGACTCTGTACTAAATTGTCCTCTTCATATCTGCCGAAAATTGCGTGGCCCCAACCCTGCCCTTGATGTGCCAGAATCACATCATACAGACATTGAAAATGGGTGAATTGACTTTCATTATACATGCTAAGAAGTATGCTAATCATAAATTTGCCAGGTCTACATGGCTGAGTCAGTGACAACGGAGGTTACGCAGGGCCCTGGGGCGAGAAATTGAATTGCAGCCATTCATGCGCCTTGAAGTGCTCCATATCGGCTATATCCCACGGACCTGTTCCCCTTTGACGGCTCGAAGCTAACAAAAAGCTTGGATTTGATCATTTATGGATCATCTGTATGATCGTGCCCCCACATTCATTGAAATGAGACCACAATTGCAGTATCCCCCACTCTCACAGCTGCGATTGCAATCCACCAGATGCAGAGTATACAGACTATGCAGAATTCGCAGACTATCAAGAGTATGCTCTCAAGAATATGCAGAGCAGACGCTCATCGAAGCCGTTGAAGCCTATGGTGAACTTCATATTCTCAACGCTCGCATAAAAAAGACCATCGTGCTTCACCAGAGGTCTTCTGGCGGCTCAAACAGACGATCTTGTGGGCACGTGGGTCGCACGAGGCGCACCCGTTTTACTGGCCTACCCATGAAAGACAAGAAAGAGCCCAGGGAATCAGAGAATAGCCTAATTATTTGCGGGCTGGGGTGCTCAGGTTGATGCTGTTTTCTGGGAACTTCGAGAACTGGCTGTGGCGGATGCTGCTGCTGCACCGCCACGTAGTGTGGTTCGTCGGGGGTAATCACTCCAATGGTTTGTTGGTTAGAAACAATAGGGGCATGGCTCTGGAACTAACCAGAGTACTTAAGTGGGTTGTTGACGGATATCAATCCGAGTGGTACACCTAAGACAAATTCCAAGTCTCCGGTTGTTCTTGAAAGTCAAAGTTTGCTCGATTTTAGTGATTAGATGGAGGATAGGTGCTTTTGGGAGTTGGAAATTAATTATGTTGTAAGAGGCGGAGCCCGTGGACTTGTTTTAGAGCATGGATTGATTTGTTAAACGAGTTTACCATATAGACATCGCTCAAGCACACGCAACTAGGTAGTAACGATGTAGACACAGGAGTAAGGTCCACCTGGGCACGTCTGTCGTCTCCCCAGGGATATCAACGTGGCCATCGGTGGAATCACCGGTAATATCTAGGCCACCAAGGCTAGAAAGCTAGCCATGCCTATTATGTATGCTAGAAAAATTAACGTGAGTCGCGTGTGCCCGAGAAACGAGTAAGCTTCTACGGGTGGGCGGGCCGGAACCTTCTCAAGTATTGGAAGCGTTCTCCACTCTATCCTCCGATTACAGTATTAGATCAGAGTAGTAAACAACCTCCAAAAATTACGAGGTTTCCCAGATAATTCTCGTTACATAGCTTTATATGGCTGAGATTGTGCGGAAAAACTTGAGATTGATACCGTGCAATTCACGGGCGGGTCTCTACTCTATGAGTTCAGTCTTGCTGCTGATACGTTGGGCCGCAGTGAAGACAGGCTAATTCATTTGAGCGGAACCCTTGAGGCTGTTCGGTCAATATATACAAATATTCACTTACACGCAGCCGACAGGAACCCGCTCGTACCTTCGTGAGCCGCCTAGGGGGTGTGGGGATGACTAACTTACCCTGTGCCCTGGGAGCCCATGGTTCGTTACCTAGATTACCTTCTAGTAAATCTTCTGAGTGAGAAACCCAATTCGTCAAAAGATATGATAACATTTCGTATCAAATATGTACAATCGCTCGCCGTTCTCATAAACATTAGATCATGGCCATATACTGCTCCAAGCTCTGTCCAAGGCAGTTGATAAACGGCCACTGGGTATTATGCTTGAACAGTCTCGCCCATAACCTGAGAACCGCCATTCCTAGAGCAGCGGGCTCAAGATTTGGCGGTGTCTCAGATTCGTCTTCAATATCGATGGATGAGTATGCTTCTTCGACAATGTACCGCGTCCAACGGAGAATACGGCTTTCGTTTTCTGCTCGAGTCATTTAATTAGTATTCTGCTCGCGAGGAAAATTCCATGGATGCTAGAACATACCGCTTAGTGCCTGGTCTGGACTGGCCTCTGCGAGTGTGAACAACCACTTGCTTAACAAGACCGCACATTCAAAGCTGGCGAGTGAATGGCGTACACTCCAGAAGAATGCCTGACTGCGCGCAATATGGTCGATACCAAGCCGGACGGGTATGCTAAGAGCATGTGCCGCATAGATAAGCGCTGGAATGAGGCGGTAGCTTCTTTCAGGCTTGGATGATCGGCAAAGTGAAGACGCGATCATTGCCGGGTCTCGGGTATCCAGGCGGCGATATGGGCCTAGGTTCAGGGATAGTCGTACATGGGCAAGTCCTAAAAGGGCGCTCGAGGTGAACGGTATTGGCCCGTTGGCATTATGTGGATCGAGACTTGACTCTGGGGCTTGTTGCCAAACGGTAGTCCAAGAGCGCAGAGCTCGCCTATGAGGTTAGTTAGATGTTGAAGTGCAATCAATGTTGGGAGACTTACTCTATTTTGTTAAGTTCTTCGGTCGGTAGGCTTGTTGAGTGGTTCCCATTTGGCAACGAAAGCTCACTGACTATATGGATTCGCTGGAGCAGACCGTGAAGTAGAATATAATTGCCCAAAGGAGCTGGTATCGGCTCCACTGGTGTCGCTGACCGTGATTTCTGTAGCAACAGGGTCAGGGCATCCTGAAAGAATAACTGTTGGGGGCCTCTGTCTCGCTGAGCAGCTTCCCACTCAGAAGCACTGTTTGCGGTCCATTCTCGTGTTGAGCAAGGAAGTCGCAAATGCATTTCGCTGCTGCGAAGTGACGGATAAACATTATAAGCAACGCTGTGGATATGAATGAAGCAAAAAGAAATGAGCTTTGTCCGTCGAATGGATTCCTGATCAGCCCATTCATACCAATCCAAAGACTGAGCGCGAGAATCCGAGTGTTGCTCTGACAATCCAATATCGCGCAAGTGTTGTACAAGTTGTCCCTGTAGCTGGAAGGCCTCCTGTACCAGTCCAGCTCGTTCCCAGGTAGCATAACTCATAAGGACAAGAAGACAGCGTATGACCTCCATTTGCCTTGAAGTTGTATTTGCTGCCCCATTATTACCTGATTGATTATCGGTATAGGGAGGGACTCCCATGGGAACTGAATAGGCTGCTTGCGATGCGATACGAGATTCTCTTGACATGCGTTCATATAAGATTGCTTTCGAGACATGGAATATCCGCTCGGCATTGCGATGCTCGAATCGATACTGTGCTCCAATTGTCATCATTGCTAATGCCAGCTCCGGGGAACATTCATTAAAACGGAAGGTTGGGATGTGTATGAACGGAATATGTGGGTGAAACCCCTCAAAATAAGATGTAATGTATCGGGTCAAAGTATGGCGTGAAGGAAGGGTAAACTCTGGAATAACATTGCGGAAGTCCTCAAGGGAGGCTGCGAGGCGGAAACGCTGGTCCTCCGAGATATTGAATCGAGAGGATTTAGTCGCTTGTGGGGGTTCTGGCGACTATTAGGGTCATAGTCCAAAAAAGACAGCAAGCTTGTGAGCACTGTGAAGCAAGACGAAACATACCAGAATCCGAGAGGGCTCCTAGGCTCTGGTCGCCCCGTGGCACTGATGGGAGCCACGATCGGAAAGGAGAGTCTCCCCGCGATTCCTCTCTTAGGCTGCGACGAGATTTTGGTTGTTCCTGGGAGACAAGAGACGTCTTCTGAGGATCTTCAAGGACGATCTCATTAAGCTGGGTCGCCTCTCCCTCACTAGGTAACCACTCGGCCGGCAGACCGATCGAGTCTAAGAAAGTAGTGAACTCCTGGAAATGGTTGAGGTCCTCAGGCAAATAAGGCAATGCTCGAAGTAACTGTTAGCAGTAGCATCGTATGATAACTCGGAGTACCCACGGGCAGCTTGATAATCGCCAGGAATAAGCAACTGAGCAGCTTGGATCATGGCCGGATCATGCATGCCAGGATGGCCGTCTGGCACTGGACTAGGATTAGCGGCCCCTGCAGGCATTATGTTACCAGGCTGGTTCTGTGCCAAATATACGGCATGTTCAGGTTGTGTAGCCGGCCATTGGTGTACAACAGGAGGCTCCGACACAGACCCTACTGGGCGAACCGATGCATCATATTGCGGCGAAATGGGTGCAGCTGCAGGTGCAGGGTGGTGGGGTGGTTGGAGACCCGTCTTGGTCACAGAGCTGGACTGAGATTCTGGAGAAACGAGGCCATCCTGGTGAGAGATGCGTGTGTGGCGCTTCAACAGATCGCGCCTAGTAAAAGCCGCCCCACAGAAACAAATGAACGGTTTCTCCTTGGTGTCTGGGCCTGATCAGCATTCTCCATTCCATATGGTCGGATGACCCCAACGGTACTTACGGGTGCGCACATGGCGCTCTAAATGTTCTGTACGTCGAAAAGCCCGACCGCAATGGATACAGATCCGGGCCTTTGCGCCGCGGCCCGATGTCTGGGGTGATGGGGATGGCATCAGGTACTCCGAGCACTTGGAGAAAGGAAGGAAAGTGGACTTGAGGGGCGAAGTGTTGCTGCGGAGAGCGCTACGGTCGCTTCTCCAACCTTTAGGAAGCGGTGACTCCAACTGCCCCCCACTTTCTAATGTTGCCCTTATCGCCTTCGTCTTTATCGGCCATCTTCCTATCAAGGGTCTCCAAGGGCCTTGGACAGCTAAGATATAATAACCGATATTGAATCACAGTAAGAATAACAATCATGGCTTTACGAAGTTTCTTTCCCGGAGTGGCCGTGGTGACCGGTGCTGGTGGAACTGGTATGTCCCTTTGTAACGCAGACCCAGATCGGCAGATCACTCCACTAACACCTCAAAGGTATTGGAGCAGCCGTTGCAAAGGCATTTGCTGCAGCTGGATGTGAAAGAATTGCTATTACAGATGTGAATGAGAGTACTCTTGAGCAAACTAGGGCAGCAGTCGCTGCGGCTCACCCTAAGGCCCGCCTGCTTGCTATGGCCGGGAACGTCGCTGACGATCGATTTGCGGAATCTTTCATTGATAAAGTCGTGGAAACTTATGGACGAGTTGACTATGGTGTCAACTGTGCCGGTGTGATCGGTATACCGGCTAGATCATCAGAGACATCTCTCGCCGAGTTCGATCGAGTCAACAATATCAATTATCGAGGATGTTGGTTATCTTCTCGCGCCCTATTAAAGCAGATGGCTGCTCAAGATTCTCTGCCCAGTCATGATCCAAGCCGCCCGCCACAACGTGGAGCAGTGGTAAATATCGCCAGTCAACTGGGGGTTGTTAGTCGTCCTAATGCCCGTAAGTCTCTCTCGTTCTATCATTGCTTCCAACTCTGGAGGTCTTTAATAACAAAATTTTTATCCAGCTGCATACTGTGCATCAAAGTCTGCTATCATCGGATTGACACGTGCAGATGCAATAGATTATTCTCAAGATGGAATCCGAGTCAACTGTGTCTGTCCAGGAGTTATAGAAACGCCTCTCGTTATGGAGAAGAAGGAGGTTCGCGATGCTATCCTGCCAGCAGTAGAAACAGCCCCCATGAAAAGAATGGGAACACCGGCTGAAGTAGCTGACGTGGTGCTTTTTCTTTGTTCGACACAGGCATCTTTCGTCCAGGGCCATGCGATGTTAGTAGATGGCGGGTATATTACCGTGTAAAAGAAGCGAAACTCGGAATGAAATCTCATGACTCAATTACTTATTGAACCATATGTTAGTCCATCAAAATTACTAGAGAAGGCTACATAAAGGAGCGACCTCGGTATACCTCTTTCACTGGCTGTTTAGATGACATAGTTGGCCGAGAATGCTAGATGAAACACGGCTAAAATTGATCAAAATATGATGATATCTGTAGGCTCGAGCCTAGTTCTGGTCCGTGCTAAATTGCATTTTCTTCCAGTCATAAGAAGACTCCCAAACATGTCCAACGCGCAAGACTTTTCCCTCCTGCCACAGGCCTCCAACAATCTGCATACCAACCGGCAGCATAATTTGATCATCTTCCTTAGCTGGAGCAAAGCCAATAGGAATCGAAAGAGCCGGATGACCCGTGACATCGAAGATAGCGGTATTAATAGTGAGGCCCATACTGGGCTTGAGAGACTCCAACGGAAGACCTCGCTTCCCGTGTTTGGGTGCAACCACAGGTGTGGTAGGCATTACCAACACATCATACTTCTCAAACAGTGCCTGATATTTGTCGCACAGCTGACGCCCGATGTTTGCAGTCTTGCCGTAGAGGCCTGGGAAGCGAGACATAAGATAGAGGCCGTTTATTATGACGTTCTTCGTGGATGGGAATGCGCGCTGAAACCCTTCGTCTGTCCATGGCAGTCTTGCTTGCTCCGCTTCTGTCATGTATAAGCCTCTTCGGCCGGTGTTTTGTCCCAGCAGAGTCTGGGCTCCGGCAATTCGTTGCTGAATAGTCCAGATTGCCGGTCCGTGGAGGTGATCTGGAAGAGATACTTCTTCTATGCTTGCACCAAGATCTTCGAACTTCTGGGCCGCAGTCAAGACTGAGTGTTTGACACTGGAGCTCACAGCGTCGTGTTCGAATCCTTCTCTTAAAATCCCAATCTTCAGACCGTCCAGTCGTTTGGGGCTCTCCTTCAAGTCCTCTGCGAAAGCCGTAGAGCCTGGCTGCGAACTGGCAAGTGCCTTGTCATCGATGCCGTCGTATCCACTGATGGCATCCAGGCACGCTGCAACTTCGAGCGTACTTCGAGCTAGTGGCCCTGCATGGTCATTGATGGCATCCCCACTGGAAATGCCGGTAAAAGGAACCCTCCCATGTGTCGGTTTCAGACCGACACATCCACAAAATGAAGCAGGGACCCGGATACTTCCACCTTGGTCACCTCCGATAGTGATGTCCACGAAGCCGGCCGCAACCAACGCTGCCCCTCCGGATGTGCTTCCTCCTGCTGAATACCCAGTAGCATGCGGGTTTTCTACTGTCCCTTGGGCACTGGTATATGAGGAAGTCGAGTGGCAATGATTCTCACAAGTTGACGTTCCGTGAATATCAGCGCCAGCTTCTAATAATCTTGTCACGACTGTCGCATCAGTGGTCGGAGTCCAAGAAGGAACAATATCGCTGCCCAGCAGCTGAGGTACACCAGCTACTGCAATAACGTCTTTCAAACTAACGGATTTTCCTGTCAAGTTGCCTCCTTCGGGGTTGCCACGAATGAGAAACCGATGTGCCCAAGCCTGGCCTAGCACCTGCTCGCCTTTCGTCGGTCGCCGAACATTTTCACGAGGATATTTGACCTGGTCAGGAACGGGTTGATAATCCGGCAATGCAGCGACACCCTCGGCGCAATCATGCACAGCTGCCAGCAGAGTGGTAAAATCGTCTGCTTCAGAGGGATCGATAGTAAGCCCTAAGGGCCTAATGAGTTCCTGGGCATCGCCGGGCTTCACTGGATTATTCCTTTAAGACCATGTGTCAGCTTCCGGATATTTAGATGCGACCATGGATCTGTGCTCCTTACTCCGAAATGCTCGTGAAGAGGACCGACATGATGCAAGCTGGCGCGAAGGCTTTGACACTCTACCCACCAGGGGCTTTGAAAGATTTTTATGAGAGAAAGCGAATTAATCGGCGTTTGCCGATGGGCTGATTTTACATTGGAGTCCGTCGGCAATGCTATTGTTGACTAATGTGCCTGGCTCCATCGTGAAGAGGCCGTTCGAGATGACTCCAATTCGACTCCAACATGGCCCACCGACCCAACCCCTCGGGCTATCGTCCAGCGAGGTCAATGGAATTTGATATTGGAGACGATGTTGACAAGATAATGATAATGGAATCATGACATGATTCTGTAATGTAAAAGATGGCGGCGTTTGGCTATCTGAATCCGATGGGGCCGAGGAGGGGTCATCTCTTGTAGAGTTCCCCGCATATTCAGCCGACGAAAAGCTATTTCTTCAACTCTCCTCCTTTGAACAACTACACCACTTTGCTATACACAATGGGTCCAAAACGTGTCCTGATTACATACGGAGTAGATGTCGATGCCGTGGCCGGTTGGCTCGGTTCCTACGGAGGCGAGGATTCTACAAACGACATTAGCCGGGGTAAGTTTGTTTGTTTTGGTTACTACGTGTCTTTCTGACGCGAGAATAGGAGTATGGGCTGGAACAGTTGGTACTAGACGTCTATTGAAGATGTTTGCTAAGTATAACATCAAGACGACCTGGTTCATTCCCGGTCACTCGCTGGAGACTTTTCCCGAAGACATGGCCGCAGTGCGGGATGCAGGACATGAGATTGGATTGCATGGCTACTCCCACGAAAACCCGACCGACATGAGCATTGAGCAACAGCGCGATGTCCTCGATAAGACCTATCGCATGTTGACCGAGTTCGCGGGCAAGCCACCACGAGGCAGTGTTGCACCGTGGTGGGAGACCAGCCAGGAAGGTGCACAGCTGCTGCTCGACTATGGTATTGAGTACGACCACAGTATGAGTCACGAGGACTGCCAGGCATACTATCTCCGAACGGGCGACAGCTGGACTAAGATCGACTACAAGGAAAAGGCCGAGACTTGGATGAAGCCGTTGGAGCATGGTCCGCAGACTGGGCTGGTTGAGATTCCCTCGAACTGGTATATTGACGACCTGCCACCGATGATGTTCATCAAGAAATCACCCAACAGTCACGGCTTTGTCAACCCGCGCGATGTGGAGGATATCTGGCGTGATCATTTCGACTACTTCTATCGCGAGTACGACGAGTTCATCTTCCCTATCACAATCCACCCTGACGTTTCGGGAAGACCTCATGTGCTTTTGATGCACGAACGGTACGTGAACATTCAGTTATTGTCGTCCTGCAATTACTAATCACCAACAGCCTCATTGAGCACTTCATGAAACATGACGGTGTTGAGTTTGTGACCATGGAGCAGGTGTGCGATGATTTCAAAAAGAAGAACGCGCCTCCACCCGGTGCTTTGATGCCCGCTCCGGCTGGAGCAATGCTCAAGAAATGAAATCATGTAATACTGTCTATCAAGGAATCATACTAGAACAACAGAACCATCTTTTGGATATCTATCTTATCTTCGGCTCTCCTTCTGTAGCTATGTGACCCCAACACCCTACTCCAACTCTACATCGTTTGCATGCGTCTGTACAAAGATAGCTACCCCCATCAAGTCAAATTCAGATCATATCACCAATCAAATCTTATCTAGAAGTCATGAGATATCTCCCAGCCTTCCTGGCACCTGCCCGGCTTACCCCAAAGGCTAAACCAGATTTGGCCAATTGAACCTCCTACCCCAACGCAGACCTCACCCGAAGTTCTGGATTGCAGCTCCTTGACCCAAATTGATCGGCCCCTGTTATCAGACAGCTCGAATTCATGGGGAAAATACAGTGGAGCAAGTCCCGCCGATCCACTGCCCTCGTTATCGCACGCTAGAAGGCTCCATACGTTGAAGACCCCCAGAAATCTTGACTCGTGCCGGGCGACGCAAATGGCATTGTCATGTCTGGGTGAAGTCGGGACGTGAGATAAGTCCCTGTTTCGCGTGCATTCTTCGTCCTATATATTTCTTGCATTAGACCCCGCTTGTTTTGTGTACTTTTGTCATTGGTTATCACAAACATCCAGACATTTGGCCTCGAGGTTTGGTTTGCCACAAGAGCTGGGTTTTTTGTCATGTCCTCGTCGGATAGATTCAAAGAGTCCCCTTTTTCCAAGGGTGACTCCCAATTACCGGATTTGCAAAGCGTCGATATGCAAGATGCTGAGGTTGAGGACCAAAATGAGGTCTTCAAGAGGGGCGATGGTCAGGTTGACTTCCGCACCGTGAGCTGGATCAGGGCGAGTGTGATTTTCTTGAAGAGTAAGAAACCCGTGATATCTGACCAAGAATATAAGGCTGATAAATGTTTCATGTAGTCATCTTTGCAACCGGTGTGCTTTCCATCCCGTCTCTGATGTACGAACTGGGCGCTTTTCCTGGTGCCGTCAATGTCGTGGGCTGGACTCTTCTGAACACCTACTGCGCCATCTTGCAGGGCAACTTTCGCAATCGCTATCCAGGATGCCATTCCATCGCCGATATGGCACAAGTTGTTGGTGGACCGATTTTGAAAGAGATCGTTGGCTTCTTGTTCACCGTCAGCTATGTGATTGTTGCTGCATCCGGCATCATTGGTGTCTCAACTGCATTGAATGCATTGTCGCTGCACTCCGTCTGCACCGTCTGGTTCTCTTTTATTGCCACTATTATCATCGCTATGTGTGCGAGCGTGCGCAAGTTCTCTCACATCGGCTGGCTCACTTGGGTTGGGTTTGCCAGTGTTTATGTTGCTGTTTTCATTATTGTGTAAGTTCCGTTCATCATTCTGAAATATCAGCGTCTAACAGATTCAAGGATCGGTGTAACCACAAGAGATCGCCCAGCTGCAGCACCCCAGACAGGCGATTTCGAACTTGGGTTCCGGGCAATCGGTAACCCCAGTTTCACGACTGGAATCACAGCTGCGGCCACAATCTTCGTGTCGAGTGCCGCGACCTCTGCTTTCCTCCCTGTCATCTCAGAGATGCGCAAGCCAAAAGACTATCCCAAGGCGGTCTATATGAGCATGAGCCTGGTGACTGCATCCTACCTGACCTTCAGCCTGGTGATCTATGCCTGGTGCGGCAAGTGGATTGCATCCCCATCTCTCGGAAGCGCAGGCGGCACCATCAAGCGGGTGGCCTATGGCATTGCGCTACCAGGTCTGATCATAAGCGGTTGCCTGTACGTGCACGTCGCAGCCAAGTACCTGTTTGTGCGGATCCTGCGTAAATCGCGTCATCTGCAGGCGAACACCGTAGTGCACTGGGGGACTTGGCTTGGGTGCACCATTGGCATGTCTGCCATTTCCTTTATTCTGGCTTGCGCCATCCCCATTTTCAACTACGTATTGGCCCTAGTGGGCGCTCTTTGCTTTGCGCCACTGGCAATCTGCCTACCCGGCTGGTTATGGCTCTACAGCCATGGGCATTATCTGAAGGGAAATGTATTCCGCAAAGCTGTATGGGGATTGCATATCTTGTTGATCCTATTGGGAGTGTTCATGACAGTCGGGGGAACATACGGTGTAATCGTCCAGATCAACGATGCATACCGCGATGGGCAGATTTCATCGGCATTTTCATGTGCTGATAACAGCGGATCGACCTAGGAGGACGTCGAAGTGTACATACACGAAAGTTTTCAAACTATAATAGAATCAGCTAAGCGAGATTAATACGAAATAATGAAACATTTGAACGGAGGCATAAAAAACTAAACTCCGGTGCCAAGCCCCCGGGACCCGCAATTAGCGCCGAGCATCCGAATACGCTTCTCAGTTATCTTGAGTCTTATTCTTTTTTCTTTCTTTCCCACTCTCCTCTGTTCTCCTCCAGCTTGATGGTCTCATATTCTATACGTGCCCTCGAGTGCTCGCTCCCGCTTTAAGCTCTCACCTTGACTGAACAACCACCCCCAATGTGACCACGCCCGCCTCTTATCAGTTCTTATCAGTGCAATTCCCAACATGTTTCGCCAAACGTTACTCGCCCTGCTGTCCCTCGCACTATTCATTAGTCTTGCAACCGGCGCAGCAATCACCACCTCGCACCTCCGACCCGAATATGAAAAGGCATCAACTCCGATCGAGACGGCGTCATGGTCGGCCCAACCAGCGGAGTCCGATAACAAAGTCTACGACCACGCCCTCGCCAAACGCGCTCCCTACTACTTCCCAGAAACAGTCCCAGACGCCGAGGAAATTGCCAGCAGACTCACTTCCATGCGCGAGGCTGGTTATGTCGCAGACTCCCAAATGCAAAAGTCAATGGGAGTACCGGAGGCAGGGATCGACCATCACGCACGGATACTTCCTTTCCGGGACTTGATGACCGAGCTATCGGCTCGTGCGGAGGCGTCCACGCCAATCCCTCTGCCTCCCATGGTCTTCTTTGTCTTCCTCGCGTGTGCTGCCTGCGTCGCCACAGTTTACCGAAAAATTAACTGCAAGCACTGAACCAGTATTCTATTTTTCTGCCATCGCCGATCGGCAGGAATTGTTTTTTTCCCCCTGGGCTTATGCGTCCTTTATGCGTGGCCTTGGACTTATCCACGCTTGGTCCGGGCGCGATGCCTATCACCCCCGCCGGAGTCTGCGGCAAGGGCTGTCGCACGAGTCTCCTAGTCGGTGTGGGTTTTGTGCAGATGGGACAATGCACCGAAACATTCCCCTCGCGCTACAATATGTCTGAGGATCAGTTTCTCGGGTAGCATTACGCCAGCTCAATTTGATGCACTGTTCAAGTTTTTGTCCGCCAAGTGCCGAGCTTCATTAGGCAGCGCGGGTAGCAAAACAGCACTCTTTAATATGGATGCCAAGCCACCTAAGATATTATTGCCTGAAAGCTCTAAGATCGCCCGTGATCACGCTTTTTCCTCGTGGCGATAATTTCATCGTGCGACCTCAATCCGATGCACCACGCCCTCCTACTCCACCATGGGATGTGAGATGTGAGATTCAGGCATCCCTCGCGCCTGAGCTCGTTCCCAGCCATCCGAATACGCCACGCGCGATCGGCGTCCGTGTCGTCTTACGTCAGGCGACAGTACCAGATCCACCTTGGCGCCCAAATTACTCGGCTCAGGTAATGCAAACAGCAGGCACCAGCAAGATCCTATTATGTACGATCGGCACGGTCTGAAATGGAATTCTAGGCTCGATGTTCAGCCTGTGCTATTACTAAGTTACGTGTCGGGTATATTGTAATCACACACACTGATGGATGAATTTTACCCCCTATGCGTGCGAGCTCAGGGGTCGAAACTCCTTTTACGCTTGTCTTTGAATATATCAACTATTTTAAGAAGATGACGAGTTGTGGTTCTCTGGGTGGACACCAAGCAACGTTATGCAGACTTTATGCTCGTGCTAGGTACAATTTGGGTCAGGCCCAGGGGCGAATCGATACATTCACTACGTTCTCCACACCAATTGACTTTCAATCCATCTATAGAGTGATCTAGGCAAGCTACACAAATACAATTCTACAGAATGGCACATACATGTAAATCAGAACCAATTCCCCATTGTCTATCTAGCGACACATAAAGTGCCCAAGCCATTTCTCGATCAGAACACGTCCAGAGCCGGAAAAGCAAGGGTTACAAGAATGAGAAAAGCTGACGGTAATCCTTGAAACAAGGCAGAAGGGAAAGGGAAAGGGAAATGGTCGGTAAAGCGATGATGTCCATGTACGCCATGAAGAATGAAGGAAAACGAATGGCCACTAAAAATGACCAACGCAAGACAAGACAGCAGAACAACCGCCTATAACGGACAAATGGATTGTGGGAATTACATGGGAACTCTTTTTTGCAATCTCCAAATGCGGAGATACCAGACAGGAATATGTACGCGGATAGGAAATATGAAATAGGGAATGACAGACACGTGGCATGTGGTTTAGGAGTCGTCGACAAGACGCTTGGCGGCGAACGCGCGCTTGGCTCCGTCGAGGAGAACATCCATATTGCCGCTGTTGTCGCACATGCTGCGGAACAGGCCGCCTTCTTTGGTGATCAGGGTCCAGGGGTGGTCGAATTCGATGACGCGGCCGTGATCTAGGACGAGGACTTTGTCGTAGTCGATGATTGTCTGGAGACGGTGGGCGATTGTGATGATTGTGCTGTCGCGGAGCTCGCGCAGGGTCTCTTGGATCTTGGCGTCGGTGGCGTAATCGATTGAAGCGGTGGCTTCGTCCATCATTAGGACGCGGGGTTTCTTGAGGAGGGCGCGGGCGAGACAGAGGAGTTGGCGCTGGCCTTGGGAGAGGTTGGAGCCAGACTCGGAGACTAGGCTATCCAGGTTGTGGAAGATGTTCTTGTTATCGGCGACGGAGAGGGTACTACCGTTCATGCCGTTGCCCTCGACGGCGGTGAATGTGCTTGATGTTGCGGGCGTGGTGGCGCCAGAGGCGCCGGAGCCGATCAAGTGGACACGGCGGATGGCTGTGAAGATCTCGGCGTCGTTGAACAGGCCGAAGGGGTCGAGGTTGCTGCGGATAGTACCCGTGAACAGGGTGGGATCCTGAGGCACGATGGTGATTGCTTCACGGAGATCCCGCAATCCAATTGCGCCAATGTCAACGCCGTCAATCACAATCTGGCCCTTCTCGGCCTCCAAACCACGGAACAGTGCCAAAGCCAATGAACTCTTACCCGCACCGGTTCGACCGACGATACCAACCTTTTCACCAGGCTTCACAGAGAAGGAAACTTCTTTGAGCACGGGATCGAGGTCCGGACGGTAGCGGGTAGTGTAACCCTTGAAGTCGACAGCACCTTGGCTAGGCCAGTCGGTCGTAGGGCGGTTTTCCTCGATAACAGGGGCTGCCTCTTGCTCAACCTCCAGATACTCACGCACTCGCTCAACGGAGTTCATGTTCTGCTGAACCTCGGAGTAGAGGCGGACAAGCCAAAGCACGTTCTCAGTGAAAGTCACCGCGTACGTCAGGGACAGACCAGCGGCACCGGCATCAATCTTGCCAATGTTAAGTAGCACAAAGGTTGCGGAGAAGAACGAAACCAGAGCACCAGTCCAGTCGACACGCAGAGCAAGCCAGCGGTTACTAGCCCAGAGATAAATGTGAGGGCGGTTGTAAGCGTTGATGCGGCGGTGGTTATCGACCATGAAGCGAGGACCATCACCATAGGCACGGATAGTCACAATACCATTAAGAGTTTCGCCAAACTGCTGGTACAACGGGCTGCGTTGCACAGACTCCAGACGCTTAAGATCACGAGAAGAGTTCAGGTAGACGGCACCGAGCGCAGTGTACACGAGAGTGATGAACACACCCGCAATCAAGAAACCAGGAGTAATAACAGAAATGAGAATGACAATCATGATCACGGAAGCCAAGCTGTGAAGCATGCCGATGGCGACAGGAGCAACTTCTTGGTCGACAGACTCGACATCCTTTGAGAATCGGTTCATAAGCTGACCAAGGGGCGTAGAGTCGAAGAACCGGAACTTGGCGTGCATGACTGCCTTGAGCAGACGATCGTGGATCTTCCAGGATGCGTGAAGCGAGCCCCAGAACAACACAGCCTCCCGACTCAGGGAGATTGCGATATACAGGATGCCGAGGAGGGCATACACACCGAGGTAGTAACCCACATTGACCTCGCCATCTGCGGCAGTGCTTGAGAAGCGAGAGCTCAGTTGCTGAGGAACCCAGGTGCTCACCTTGGAAACACTGCCAACGTTGAATGTGGGAGGCTTGAGGTGAGCTGCAGCGGCATAGCTACCAACATCCTCCTGGTTAGCACTAGCAGTGTGGTATGCGTTGGCCCACTGGCGAATCCAGATATTAGTCGACACCGAACCAAGTTGCTGCATGCAGAAGATTGAAACGGCTAAAACCCAGTAGTATCCTGAACCCATGGAGCGCAGATACATGATAACAGTTGACCATTTGATACTGCCAGTGGCCTTGCTCTCAGCCAACTCTGTCTTCTCATCCTTCTTTCCGTTGGCAATTCCGTTTGCGTTTCCATTTGTGGATTCGTCCGCGTTGTCCTCTTCGCGATCCGAGGGCGCACGCGAGAGACCACGAGAACTGGCGCGAGAGCCAGGACGGGACTTGAAGAATTCGTCTCCGAGGGCGCCAGTAGCAGCGACATCATCGGGGCGACCTTGAGCAGCGACTTTTCCATTTTCCAGGACGACAACGTGATCGGCCTGGGGGACAGCGAGGGCAACGTTGTGGGTCACCAGAACGCAAGAGCGGTTCAACATCAGAGGGCCAGTAAGAGCTTGACGGAAGAGATGTTTGGCTGTGTGAGAGTCGACGGCAGAAAGACAGTCATCCAGAAGCAGATGGCGAGCACTGCTATAGACAGCACGGGCGAGAGATATTCTTTGCTTCTGGCCACCGGACAGACTGATACCCTTCTCTCCGACCAGTGTCTGGTCTCCAGCATCGAGTATTTCAATATCGCGTTCCAGAGCACATGCCTTGAGGACAGCGCGGTAACGCTTTTCGTCAGGAGGGGATGCGAAAATGATGTTCTCCTTGACAGTGGCGTTGACCAACCAGGCCTCCTGGGCACAGTACGCAACACTGTCAACCAAACCAGTTGCAGGGTCAACGGGGAGATCCGCACGGCTCGTCATGCCTCCAGGAAGATGGACACGGCCTTCAATAAGTTTCATTTCACCGAGCAGGGCCATGAGGAGAGATGTCTTTCCGGAGCCAGTGGGACCAGCAACAATGCTGAGACGACCAACAGGGAAGTCGACATCAATGTTGATCAAACGGAAGGCATCAGCACCATCATCGGAAGAAGAAGAGGGCTGCGGCCGAGGGCCGGAAGTGCTCCAGGACAAGGTAGCCTTCTCTAGAGCGATCTTGGCCGGTCCATCGGAGACACTGCTATCACGTAGCTGGTCATACTTTCCGGTCTCCTCCTCGTTCAGATACTTATCTACACGATCAAGAGAGACCTTTGATTCCTGGACGTGAGCAACCATGTCTGCAAGCTGGTCCAAGGGCACACGCAAGAGCGAGAACATCGACAAGGCAGGGAAGGCGATCGACGGGGTTAATTGCTTCTTCTCAACGACGGTGTATAAGAAGAAGGACATGAATGTGATCAAGATCGGTGTTCCGTACCAGACGGTAGCGGCGGAAGACCAAAGAATATAGCGACGGCGCAGGGACTTGAGCTCGGCCTTGCGCTTCTCATTGACGATATCCTGGAACCGTTGCTCCCAGGCAAAGTACTTGATGATGCGGATATTTTGAAGAACCTCGTTGGTTGCATGAATACGAGCATCGGTGCCTTTGAGGATCGCATTCTGGACCTTGTTGAACTGCCGAGCGATGAAGAGGTTAATGGGCAACATGAGGACCATCAACGCGATGCCAGCAAAAGAGCTGAAGCCCATAATCTTATAGAGGAGTGTGATGGCCATGATAATTTGCACCGGAACACTAGCCCACAAGAAGTGAAGGTAGGCGCCAACCTCGCTGACCTTGAACGAATCGATGGCCATCAGGTTAATGATGGTACCGACATTGGCTTGCACGTTGGCATCCTCCAGATCAGATTCTGGCTTTTTGCCAGACTCGGTATCATTATTATTGTTGTCCTTCTTCTTACGACCGAAGGAAAAGAATTTGCTTTTCTTCTGCTTTGTGTCCTTTGATGCAGCAGGTTCCTCGACGACCTTGCGAGTGGCTTCCATGGACGCACCGGCTTTACGTCTGAGCGCCTTGGAGTAAATTTCACCAATGATGATGGCGCGAATCTTAACACCCATCTTTCGGCCAATAAACAGGGCCTGGCCGTCGGCTACACCCTGGACAATAGCGGAGCAGAAGAGAAGAATGGCGTACAACCAGGCCGCATTAGGAGTTGTCGAACGGGGGTCCTCGACGTATTCAAGGATGGCCTTAAGTAGCATACTCGGAACAAAAACGAACAGATTGGCGAAGATGGTCCAGGCACCCTGAATCAAAATAGTCGAGGCGAAGAATCGAATCAGCTTCCAGGCCAATGAACCCTTCATTTGCCTCTTACGGAAGTCCGTCAGGACCGTGGCAGCCTTCTGGGACGGAGTCAAGTTCCAGACATCCTTCAGCTCCAGAGGCTGTCGGTAGCCTTTCATGACCAACGGATCGAGCCAGGAGAAAGTCGCAAGAGACAGAAGACTAGCCATGGGGTGTCGCGGGGGCTCTAATCCCTCCTCATGCTCGACCAGGACCGGCTTGTTGCCTCGACGGGTAGTCAGGGCAATGAAGAGAAGCAATGTGCTCAGGGCGAATTGAATGCTACTGAGGGTCATGGCGTGATGTGAAATCGGGTGAATGATGGCAGATCGGAACACCATGATGTTCAACAGCCATTGGGCACTATACAACAGGGCGGTATGGGTCCAGAGTCTGGGAGCCGTGAGAATATCCATGGTGGACAGTAGAAGGCGAACCAAAACCAAGAACAATATGTAGCCCCATGAGATCAAACCGGCTGTCGCAGGAACGGCTCCATGACGGCCCCAGCCGTCTGTGGTCAAGCCGACGACGTGAATCGCGACCAGGCCGATCAGCGAGGCGATTTCGATGGCGACAATGGTGACTTCTCCACGCGGGCGATCGACCTCGAACTGTGATTGTTCGCTCTGCACGGCCTGGAGGAGTATGGGATCGGACTCGCTTTCGTGGCCATTGGGAACGTCATCTTCGGGGCCATTGTTTGCAAGGACTTTGTAAGCGACACCTTTGCGGTTAGTTGTGAAGCGATGGGCGAGACGGACGATGATCAAAAGCAAGGAGATAGCGCAGACCGCGAGCGGAAGCGTGATTTGCAAGATACTAGCCGATTAAAATGATTAGCCGGCGCGCGGGGCCTCAACGGTCTCCGACGGACTTGGTGCCGGTCGGCAAAGCAAAGGGGAATATGCGAAGACTCACTTGCGCTGGAAGCATTTGGAGAGGTCATCGATGGCCCAGACGGGGCCGGTGCATTGCGGGAGCATGATCTGCGGGGAGCAGAATGTGAACGGCTAGGATAGCTCTCCCGAACAGCAGTAGCAGGAGCAAGTCGCGAGGATAGAAATAGGCGATGCAACAGGTATTAATATGACCACCACCCCGGGTCTAGCAACAATCTTCCACTAGCACGCAGGACGAGGCTAGCATTGCAGTCGGAGCGAAACTGGAAGTGAAGCGTTTTTTTTTTTCGCTCTGGCTCTGGAGGACCGAGGGCCGTCGGGGAGAGCCTAGGATGAGATCAAGGGAGAGCAGGCGGGGTTATCCACGGCAAAGAGGTTGAGGGAGGAGACGAGGACAGTGGGGGGAGAAGAAGAGCTTAGGTTGTACCTAGGGTAGAGATCTCGACCAAACCCGGCGGTGGACCGTAGGGTCCGTTCCCGATAGTAAAACCTCAAGGTGACATGCGCCGCCACCACGTTTGCGTGGTGGAGCAAGTATCTCAGGTACGAGATCCGTCTACATACTACGATTGACCTAAGAGTTACTCGAAGTAGTCTTACATCAGGCCCTAGGGGCCTACTGTAAACTCCAATCTACCAATGTGCAGGTCGGAAGATGGAAGTTAATCCTATGACTCGTTGCAGCGTTGATCGTTCCTTATCGCGGCCAAGTTCCCCACCGATAGCGCTCGCCTTGGTCTGCCCCGTTTTATGATCGATCTCGTGCCTATAGCCTAGGCCTAGTTGCCTAGGTGGAAAGGGGGAAGGGGAAATAGAACAGGCAAGTAGGAGAAGTTCTTTGGTTATTTGTGGCGAGCCTGACGGGAAGAATCGTGCTCCTTTGCCACCGGAGGCTGCCCGATTCCTTGAACGTTCGCGAAGCCTGCCCTTTTGCGCCCCGACATCATCACTCCGCTCTCCACTTCCACTTCCCCTTCCCTTACTCCTCCCCTTCCCTTTCCACTTCCCTCCGGCCTGTGAGATCCCGACTCGCATCATCCGTACCCTCCCTCCACGACTATGGCGGAACGCATCCTCATGAACGAGTTCCGTGCCCTGAGCAAAGAGAAATGGGTCAACGTCGAAGTGAGTTCCACGCCGCGTTTGGAGATCCTGTTTTGAATACCCCTCAGATCAAGTACTGACTCTTGCTCGGTGCTCAGCTTCACAATGACGACATCTTTAAATGGGACGTCGCCCTCGTTGTCCTCAACGAGGACTCCCTATACTACGGCGGGTACTTCAAAGCAACTATGACCTTCCCCTCAAACTACCCTTACAGCCCTCCCCGTAAGTTCACTGTAGAGGACTCCGTTAATGGCGGCGTACATGTTACACAGGATCACTAATACAATGCTATACAGAGTTCCGCTTTCTTGTGCCCATATACCATCCCAACATTTACCCCGACGGCAAATTATGCATCTCCATCCTTCATCCGCCAGGCGAAGACGTAATGTCCGGTGAATCTGCCGCCGAACGCTGGTCTCCCGCCCAACGAGTCGAGTCCGTCCTCATCTCCATCCTCTCCCTCCTCGATGACGCCGAGGTCTCGTCCCCTGCCAACGTCGACGCTGCCGTAATCTACCGGAACGATCCAGACAGATTCCGCTCCATAGTCAAAGGCAACGTCGAAGAATCAAAGGCACACCGGCCAGTCGACTTCGAAATGCCGACTCTGATTCAAGACGCATCGTCCCGTGAAATCGTGGAGAAGGAGGATGAGGACTTCTGGGCTGAGTCGGGTGACGACAGCGATCCCTTCGGTGGGAGTGACTCCGACTCGGACATGGATATGGATCATTTTACCGGAAGTGACGACGATGACGACGACGATGAAATGGACGACAGGATTCTTTAAGCGAATACATCCTTCCCCGCCCTACATATCACCACATCACACTACAGATTTTCGATTTTTTTCTACTCTTTTTCACAGACAGCATAGCATTCACGGCGCAGATCGTGGATCCGGTTTAGCATGGTTTCTTTTCGCTGATATGCTGGCATTCATGGCGATTTGGAAGGGGCATTACCTTGGTTAGCATTTCAATTTTTCAGATAATATTATAAACTTTGTCTTTCGTCAGATGCGGCGCTCTTCAAGCTGTAGCACAAGATCTTAAGGCTAGCCCGAGTAATAACCCTGATCTCACCCACGCTTTTTTTTGGAACTCTGGATCCATCCATCTTGGCGGAATCTCAGCATACGCATACGCATTCGAGTATGCGTATGCTGAGATTCCGTATCGAGGAGTAACGGGGTCGATATATTTTGTGTTGGTAGCCTACAATAGTGACCAACCAAAATCAATAATGTTTTGACTTGGTCCTTGCTCAATATAAACTAGCGGACTGCAGGGGCTGCCATGCCCTGGCGCCGGATACCACGTAAAGTGGACATTCAAGGGCCATCCCAGCCCCAGACAACTCCTTGAAAGCAGCTTCTACAAATACATTTATGGCCACCATTATGAATTTGATCCTTCGATGAGCTGGACGGCATTTATCGCGATAGAGCATGACCGATATATATCGCCACAATTAGTATTCCTCACGAGCATATCTGGCCACTGTACTTACATGCGATGACGAGATGCAAAGAAGCCTAGTCATCATCGAAGGAGATTCAATATCTACAACGTTGAACTAACTTGCTATTTCCTCGCAACCCACTTTAAATGCGAACAACGCACCTAGCCGGGCCTATATCGGAGTAAAAGAACCTCCCAATTGTATATAAACAACCACAGCATATATATACCGGAGCAGTATGAGTGAGGTTGTGACAGATTTTAAGGTAAAGGGGGTTGGAGATCGAATTAAGGCAGAGATTGATGATGAGTTGAAGGTGATGAGCGCCACTTGGTTGTTCATGCTCATGAGAATGTTCAGGAGATGGTTCTGTAGAAGCATGTTGATCTTGCTGTGGGCCTTGTGGAACAGCCCAAGACTGGTGCACAGTTGAAAAAGAAGTCCACCGATGAAAGTGAGCCTTTACAAGACAGGAGAGAGCTAAGTAGGCTGGGGAGTGGTGTTGGAACGTGGAGACGCAGACCGACGTGCGCCGGCCCAAGGATGTGCTTTAGGTGGCCGGGCATACATTAGCTATTGTAGCTACATTACGCTACTAGACTGAATCGAGTTGTGTAGTACAATACTCGCACTACGAATATAGTCAAAGGCCTGGATGTAAACCCAATAGACGTTCTAAATCGAGTTGAAATATATGGATGTCGACAAATATAATACGTAGTGGTAAGGAGAGAAGCGACAGTCTGGTACGCAGGGGATGCGTGGACCACCCAAAACAACGAAAATGAGATAAAGCCAAACGAAATATGATCTGCGCCGTTAATCCTTCATCCAAATGCCCATGTGTAAAGTCCCGTCACAGACAGGACCTGGTCCGAGGTCTACTCTAGACGATAACAGCCTTCTTAATCTCGCTGTAGATGGCGCCGAGCTCCTGGTCAATGACCTTCTCGGCCTTGTTGACGAGACCGCTAATGCGAGTCTCAATGTCCTCGACAGTGGTTCCAGTGGAGCCGGACTTGTAGCCACCTTTGGCGAGGATATCGGTGTAGTTGGAGGAGCCACCACCGTTCCAGGCGAGGAGCTAGAATTATGTCAGTCATATATCTATAGAGTCAATCGTTTGGTACGTAACTTACGTTAGGGGTGTCGGAGGGAATGTCAGTCAGGGCACCGGAGGTAGCGACGGCGATCAGAGCATTCTTGAGCTTCTTGGGGGTGATCTCCTCGACAGCGAAGGCCGAGTCGGAAGCGGGCTGCAGGGAGACGTAGTAGGCCAACAGACCAGCAATGTGGGGAGAAGCCATGGAGGTACCGGAGATGGTGTTGACGGCGTACTTGCTGCCAATCCAGGTAGAGAGAATGTTCAAGCCAGGGGCGAAGATGTCAGTGCACTTTCCGTAGTTGGAGAAGTAAGCACGCTCATCAGCCAGAGTGGAGGCACCGACAGTGACGGCCTTCTCGGCAGCGGCAGGGGAGTAGCTGCACGCATCGGCGTTGTCGTTGCCAGCAGCGACGGCGAAGTGGATACCAGCATCAACGGCAGCGTTGACAGCGAGATCGAGGGTACGAGAGCTACCACCGCCCAAACTCATGTTGGCGACACTGCCCTTGAAACCCTTGACCTTTCCGCTCTTAGCATCCTTGGCCTTCTTGATGTGAGCCTCGGCAGCCCACTCGACACCCTTGACGACATCGGACATGGTACCGGAGCCGTTGGAGCGCAGCACCTTGACAGCATAGACGTTGGCCTGCTTGGCAACGCCGTACTTCTTACCGGCGATAGTACCAGAGCAGTGAGTGCCGTGGCCGTTGCCATCCTCATCAGCGTCGTTCTCGGGGATGGTCTTGCCCCAGTTGGCACGGCCCTCGAAGTCAACGTGGTCGGTGTTGGTACCGGTGTCAATCACGTAGGCATCAACGCCCTCACCACCCTCTTCAGCGTAGATGTACTTGTTGAAGGTACCGAAGGAGAGGCTGTCCCGGTGGGAGATACGGGCCAGACCCCAGGGAGCACCCTTCTCAATGGCGGGGTCGGCCATGGTGTGAACGATAGAGTCCTTCTCAATGTACTCAACCTAATACCGAGGAATGTTAGCAATGGTTTATCATCCGAATTGCCGGTGGTTAACTGGCAGGCTGAGCTACTTACATCCGGGTGGCGGCGAACCTGCTCGATGACATCCTCGTGGAAGTGACCGGCATAACCCATCAGTGAACCAGCCACGTGGAATGTGTGCTTCATGCCCAGGAAGGCATCGGACTCAAAGCCGAAGAGCGATCGCTTCTTCAGCTCCGTGCGGCCCTGGGTGGTGTGGATGTCCTGCACCCAGCTGTGGTGAGCGGCCGCAGCCGACTGGTCGACATGGTTCTTAAACACAACGATATAAGAATCAGAAACCTCCTCGGAATTGGTGGAGGAGATGATAGGAGCTGCCCCGTGGTGGATGGAGTCCACTACCATAGGTGAGGCAGCTGTGAGCAGTGGAAGCAACGCCAGGCCAAACAAGCCCTTCATGATGGCGGATAGATTCGTACGACACAGGAAATACGAAAGAGACTGGGATAATAATGGGATAAGTTAGATAGAGAGAGAGTTGGATGGGAAGGGGAGGAAGGAGGAAGGAGGAGATGAGGAGAAGGAGGAGGTAAGAGTCAACGAGAGAGCTTATCAAGGGGAGACGAAAGGGCAGGCGGAGAAGGATGATGCAAGCGGAGCGATTACCGTACGGAAACCCCATCGGATGACCAGTCGATTGCCGCCGAGCGTCGATCTGCAGCGTAGGAAAGGCTACGCGGTGGAGACATTTACTCCGGGGGTGGATAGTACTGTCACGTACTGTAATGAGGAGGCGCCCCCGGAACAAGGCTCCTGCTGCGTGACTTCCAAGGTTCTCTTATCGGGCGATCTTCACTATCTTCATCATTTCCTTGTGACTGAACAGCTAGAACTAAGCTACACCGTAGGATACTGATAGATAGCTTCCATTCCCTGCATTACGTCGGGTACCTGGCTCTATGTAGGGTGGCACGGACATGAAACTCTGGGACGATCTCCAAGGCAACTCGTCCTCCGAAGTCGCGTGCTTCTGCTCGGATGACGCGAGTGTACATAGTTCGTATAACCACGCACCTCAGTCAGGGCTCAGCGCACTGGTTTCTAGGCAGCATACTCCACACTTCCCTGGACCAACCGTAGGCTTATCGTGTGTCTTATCATCCGAAACGACGATCCCGTAACCCACTGACGCCGTAACCTGGCCTAACCTGGCCTAAAATTGCCTGCCAGTGCCTGACGGGCGTCCGCTAAGCCCCCTCGCTCAAGACTTGTCACCTGATATCATCTCCCCGGCGTTGATACGTTCACATTTTTGTGGCAAGCAGGACCGGCCCTATTCGTTGCGTTAGTTCGAGGTGTTTGTTCTCATGTCGTGTCTTGACTGGACCCGCTAAAGCACAACACATGCAGACCGCCTCAATCTGCTCGCCAATCGCGCTATCACGGTCTCTGGTGGTTATCCGCCATCGGATCAGTGGATAAGATTTGGCAATGCCTCCACTTCCTCCCTCGCCATCCGGATCGACCGAGCGACTAGCCGCCGAGCTTGCGCCCACCGTTGACCAGCTCAAGGGCCTCGGTGCGGGCAATGCCATCACCCTTCCCCAGGCGCTCGCGGCCACCGAACCCCTCCTCCGTCTCCGACATACCTTTATCGATGACGCACGCCCGCGGACCGCCAAAGATGCATTCCGGCACCTATCAGGCTTCCAGACATTGCTGGACCTCGCCGACCAGCTAGTGGAGCTGTACGATGCCGAGGCTCTATCTAAAGATGACAGGAAAAGCTTGCTGGGGATCTACAAGGATGTCTTGGGAGTTCTGGCCGAAGGATTGAAGGACCATTTTGGTAACCGACGATATTTTGCTCGCAGGGTCGCTGGGGGTGGAATTGCTGTCCTCGAAAGAACTCTTGACCTGCTGGCCGGAAAGATAGATCAAGCCGAAAGCGATGCTCAACAACTCTACGGTGCTGTCCTTGCGGCCGCTTTGTGCCAGGAAACAGTTGCAGGTGTATTTGGAACACTGTGTGCAAAGCTTCAGAATAAGACCGAGTCTTCAAAGGAACTTCAGGATACAGCGGGTCAGATTTTGGGGTCTGCCGAGACCGTGGAGGTGGCAGAGCTTCTGGGTCCAATGATCCGTGTTTGGTTGGCACACTCATCCTCGGGGCACGATTCTCTACGCCTCGCTCTTCCCGCATGCCTTTGCCAATTAGCTGCACAATCCCGGAGAAACGTGGTAGCCTTGCATGGCACAGGAATGTT